CCATTGTTGTAAGAGATCACGACCCCCTATAAAAATATAGGTTTATAGCTATATTTGCCACGTAAGGTTTTAGTCTCCCTTTCTGTCCTTCCCGGTCCAATGCAGACCACCGAGTGAACACTGTTGAACTCTAGAGAGTTCCAATTCCCAAAAATTGTACATTTGCTTCCTTAAGTGGCCACTTTTGTGGCCAGGATTTTTGTGTAATAATAGTGATGTCAGCGCCCGTGTCTAAAATGCCATTAATAATTTTATTATTGATTTTTACTTTTAAATGAGGACTTTTATCTTTGATGGAGGTCTGCCAAAATATGTGCTTTTTGTCTTGTCCAGTCTTACCTGATTCTTCATCACTAGTCAAACTACCATCTATAGCAGTGTCATCCTTCGCAATAGACAAATAACTATCTATTCGTCCTGTGAGAGATTGTTTTCCACTGCTACTGGAAACAACTGGACCTTTTTCGATGTGGGGGTCTTCTTGAGTCCCCCTTTGGAGTTTCCTGGCTTTAATGGTTTCCCTTTGCATATCCCTGGTCGATCTACACTCATTAGTCCAGTGTCTGCTCTTAGCACATCTCCTACAGAATCCAGAAGACAGTGGCCTTTTGTGTGAGGGATTTCTCTTTACATGTTCCATTCTACCACAGCTGAAACATCTAGGTTCCTGACATCTTTGTGGTCTCCTGGAGTGGGCTCTTCCTACCCAAGGTTCTGGTTCATAGTAGTGATGAACCCTGGCCTCTTGATACCTATATTGATCCCTGTAAGGTGTTTCTCCTTCTTAAGCCCTTCCGTCATCACCTCTGGAACTCTTAATCTCCTGCTGCCTTTTGAAACCTCTTGGGATAGCTTCTCCTGCCCAGACTCTGCACACACTATAGTCAATGTGGGCTGTATGCAAAACCCATTCTTGTAGAGGAGCTGATCTCATCTTTAAAGGCAAAAGTGTCTTTTTGCATATTGGGTTTGCATTGTCATAAGCTATTGTATATACAATCGAATGTCTTACTGCCGGATCTGTTACTTGTAATTCTACTGCCCTGGTTAACCTGTCTAAGAAGTCCTGGAATAGTTCTGTTGGTCCCTGTTCTATTCTAGTGTAAGTTTCCAGTTGTTCCCCTGGCTCACGAACCTTATCCCAGGCATTTAGTGCTGCTTTCCTGCATAGGGTCAGTATATGGTCGTCATATTCAGCCTGAACCTATGGGTCGGCATAAATACCCTTACCAAGAAGCTTATCCAGGGGGGCTTCATAACCATCCCTTATGGCCTGGTGCTCAAGAAGCTTTACTTTCTCCTTTACCAATGCCTTCCATTGGATTTGACAAGAATTCTCAAGTACAGCTGATCCCAATCCTACCCAATCTGTGGGCGTCACCCTGTTAAAGGTTGCCCATGAATGTAATAGCTGTTTTACCTATGGGCTATGAAGACCATATGAGACAACTAATTCTTTAATATGCTTAAGATCCTTCAGCTGTTTAGGTTGCCATACATAGGCCACCTGTCCCTGGGGGTGTTTTTTAGTTAGTGGCTTTTCTACCATTGTTGCTGGGCAGAACAGTGGTGAACACGTAACAACTTTAGAATGATCAAGATACCTGGGTGGAGTAGGTGCTTCAGAATTGAGTGATTCTGTCTCCGCATCATCCCAACGATCCTTGAGTCTAGTAATGATATCCTCATGAAAAGTTTCAATCTCCTTAATCATAAAAGATTCTAGGCATGTAGCGAATCTGTGAATTGCTGTGACTGCTCATCTATACAGTTTTCTAGGTGTTTAATACGTTTGTCTCTAACTAGCATCTGGGTGTCATGGAGACTGCCTTCTAGGAATTGAAGTTTAGACTTGAGGTCATGATTTGCCTTAGCAATCGACCTGATGGGCCGCTCTAATCTGTCAGCACTGTTCTGTAGGTCATCTTCCAAACATTCAAATTTAGATTCAACTCTATCATCTACCATCTTGTATTTTCCAGCCATTGGTTTAATGGCATTATCCAATTGTTTAAACCTATCCTGGGTATCTTGCATCTTGGTATCCAGATTAATAGGACAGAGAGCCTATCTTAGAGTTTCCAGTTGGTTACATAAATCCTTTAGTTCATCACGGTTCTCTGACCGCCTAGCCTCTATCGCCTCCAAAATGGAGAATCTCTCTGCGTCTTTCTTATCATAAATGTGCTGCATTTCAGCTTAGGTAATAGATAGCTCTGCCTGTATTGTATAAGATATAGAGCAAAGCCTATCATCTAGCTTCTGTTCTACATGCTGCATATCATGGGTCAGTCTGGTTTCCAAAACCCCATTACGTCAAGCTTGTATGTCCTGTAGGCAGGTGGTGAAATTAACTTTATCCCTGTTCCTGAGGCCTCTGGCTAGTGATAATGTGTGTATTAGCATGCTAAACAGCTAGTAAGGCATAGAGGCCAATTATTGGCAGATCAGCACCTTCCTTGAACATTGAATTTACATAAGAAGCGAAAATGTTACCCATTGAGGTAAACGATAAATATTCGGCCATATTTACCAGTCAGCTTCTACTCCAGATGTGGTAGGAGGTTTTTAGCTACGTGAACCTGGCTGCTTCCACTCCAGATGCAGTAACTACTTTTGACCAGCGGGTGGCACATGTGTTTAGTTGTGGTGGTTTTGAGTTGGACCTGAAATTTCCTGAAAAACCCTTACAGAGCGTGTTAAAAACGGATTGGGGGTGTGTTTACTAGGTATGGGAAAACCTTCGAACAATACCGGGTGGAGACCAAGCTTGGCAGATGGCTCCTGGCTGAGCGGGCGCGGCGGGCAGCGCAGATGTAGTGCAGCTTCGGGACCTGGAGCTGGGAATGTAGTGCGGGAGGGGGACACGGCAGTGGGCTGCCTCAGTGGAGGACACATGGTTTTTCTGCCAGCGGCTGCAGGCCACAGAAACTGCGACAGTGGTAGCGCTTTTTTTGGCTTTGGAGGCCCCCACAGAAAGGAAAACTTTCTCGGCTTGGTGAGGCAGGACAAAATCAGGCCAGCCATGTGGCTCTTGAGTCTGGGCTGCAGTTGTGCACACGCAGCTAGATGAGAGTGTGTGGCTGAAGGCGGCTGTGGTATTTGCTGCCTAAGGCAGTAAAAACCTCTATGAAGCCTGTGTGAAATTCAAAACTCCCCCGATCGGGTGGAGGGCAGGGACTGAGCGCAAAATGTGGCGGAGGAGGCGGCAGGCCAAGAAAGTTTAACTCACTGTTTTCGCTCGAACTTTGGTAGTGGCGGGTCAAGGATCTCCATGCACAGGCGGGTCAAACTGGTTGGATCTCGGTTGCAGCGCGGGGACCTGGTGCACAGTCGTAGAGCCCTCTTGGGTCACATGGCTTCTGGGCTGTGCCCAGCCAGCTCAAAATAAGCCGGAATGGGTCATGGATTTCTGATGGGCACCTAATATTGATTGAGAAATAAAAGGAGCTTGGGATAATGATAACCTTTATTAGAAAAACACCAGCCAAACGCAAGTCAGAGCATGCCTGGGGCAGCAAGGCAGGTAGCCCAGAGAGAAGGGGCTCTCATGTGCCTTGCAGCCCCTTAAAACCCTATCACGTGTCATCCTGACCTCACCTTGACCACTCCCTGACAGCAGTCGTGGCTTACACTGTTCCCTACATGGTTTCACTGCCAGAGGACCCATAGACTGCCCAGAACCCCCCCTCAAACTGACACCCATGTTCAGGGATCCTGGTTTGGTCCTTTGCTGGTTCCCCAGCTGTCAGACTGGGGGCTGTGAGCTCCCACTTGCTTAGTTCAGTTGTTTCTGTGGGTTTCCCCAGCATGGTCTTTGCTTATCATTCCTCCCTCCCTACAACTGGATTCTAGGAGTTTGGCTCAGTGCTTAGCTGTGAATCTCTGCTTCTGCTTCTATCAGCTACTGGCTGAAGGTTTATGTTTTTGATTCTGTGTCTAGGTTACCTCACTCAGGATGGTTTCTTCTAGTTCTATCCTTTGGCCTTTGAATTTCAAGATTTCATTGTTTTTTTCTGCTAGTAGTACTCCATTGTGTAAATGTACCACATTTTCTTTATCCGTTCTTCGGTTGAAGGGCATCTAGGTTTCTTCCAGGTTCTAGCTATTACAAATAATGCCTCTATGAACATAGTTGAACAGATGTCCTTGTTGTATGAATGTGCATCCTTTGGGCACATGCTTAAGAGTGGTATTGCTGAATCTTGAGGTCGACTAATTCACATTTTCCTGAGAAACTGCCATACTGATTTCCTAAGTGGCTGTACAAGTTAGCAATCCCAGCAGCAATGGAGCAGTGTTCCTCTTTCTCCACATCTTCTCCAGCATAAACTGTCATTGGTGTTCCTGATTTTAACTATTCTGATAGGTGTAAGATGGTATCTCAGCGTTGTTTGGATTTGTGTTTTCCCTGGTGGCTAAGGATGTTGAGCAATTTCTTAAGTGTCTTTCAGCCACTTGAGATACACTGGTTTCTCTTCAGATCTTATAAATCTTTCACCTTTTACGTATTTGTTTTCAAATACTCTTCTTTCCAAGGTAGTATGTTGGTTTTGAGAGTTTATTCTCTTTTTAAAAATGTTTTTAACTGAAATAGAATTACTTCACTTTCCCCTCTAATCATTTATGATACTTCTTTTATTAAATAATATGTTTGTATTAATCCTTGGAGAATTTCATACAACTTATTTTGACCATATTCACCCTCTTTCATGCCTCCCACTTTAAACATTTATTTATTTTGGTTATTTTTTTCTATTGTGTGTGTTTTGTTGGGGAGAGAGAATTAGGGTAAATTATACAGCTTGCTACTAATGGAAATAGAATAAGTAAATTTGTTTTTCTCAGTTATTTTGGGAAATGTTCAGTAAAGTAGTTTTCACTAGATGACTGAATTACTCTGAATTGGAAGCACTTAAAATTGTTGAACAACTTATCCCTTATATTCGTTATAGTACATGCCTGTTTTTAGTTTGTATCTAATGCTTTTCTTATTTTAGGGGTTCAGACATTTCCATCATGGCTCATTCAAAGACAAGGACCAATGATGGGAAGATTACTTACCCTCCTGGTGTCAAGGAAATCTCAGATAAAATCTCTAAAGAGGAGATGGTGAGGCGCTTAAAGGTGAGTGAATAGCGTATGGTTCAGACAGCTGGGCAGTGTGGGGCTTTCCTTTGGGATCTTCATGTAGGACCATGTAATGTATTTGCTAAGGGAACAAAATTTTAAGATGGCAGAGAGTTTGTGGAAATAGGATAGGTAAAAGGAACAGTGTGGGGCCCCTGCTACTCGAAGAGTGATTGGCAGCACATGTCCCATGATATTTTTATATTCTCCATTATCTAGTTATCTGCTCTGTCTTCCTGTTTGATGCTTACTGTCGTCCCCCTATCCACACCTTCTCCACCCCCAACTGTTCAGGTGTAGGAAAAGCAGTTGTAGGTATTTACCTGAGTCCTTGGGTAAAGGTTACTTCCTTGGTTACTTTAGAGTAGTTGGAGCTTGATTGTTAGTGTCTGCCTCTGTTTTTGGCACACAGTAACAAACCAAGATGGATGGTTACCCTTGTATGAGGTCTTCTTCTTGACAAGGCTCTCTTTAGATTATACTTGAATAATGCTTCATCTTTTTCCTTAGGGCATTAATGGTCCCCGTGACTGTTAAAATGTTTAAAGTAGCATTAACAGACAAAGTACATGTGAACCTGGTTGACCAGTTGCTCAAGATCACTCTTACACTTGAGCACTTTTTTCCTTCTGTGTGTGCATTATCTAGACATCTGTTTGCTATAGTATTATAATACTCATTTCTTTCAACTGATGCAAAACATCATCTACTAGTTGGTCATATGTAGTAATTTCAACATATGCATTCTATAATGTTTACTGATCTGTTATTCTGATTGTCAGTGTTGGAAAACTTCAATACTGAAGGTCCAGAAGCCTTACAAAACAGTAGTATATTAGGTTGCTGTCTGATATATATATCATATATATATATATATATATATATATATATATATATGATGCTAACACTAACATAAACTTCACTTGAAGTCTGAATATTGTTTACTTTTCTTTAAGCTATTAGAATGCTGCTGTCAGAGGTTTATTACTTAAATGAAAAAGTGCCTTATCACAGATAAGATATCCATCTACCTCCTGACAAGCTCAGTCCCATTAGAAACCTGTGTCTGTCTCATTCAGTAGAGCCAAGCTCAGCTCATTTATGTACGATGTGTTTACTTTTCTATGTATTTATCTTTTTTGCCTGTTGAATTTTTGTGAAACCAACACCTTTATTTTCTCAGGTTTATCCCAGAAATGATAAGAAAAAGTGCTATGAAGGCAGCATGCACATACAAGCTTATTCACATTTAGTAACTTTTATGCGCACTATTTTCTCAGATATTTTTAAAATTAGAGGCCTCATCTGAGTTATAATTGAGGGTTCCCCTTCTCCCTCTTAAGGCATTCTTGCTGTGTAGCTCAGGCTGGCCTGAAACTCCATATGTAGCCCAAGCTGGCCTTGAATTTATAATCCTGCTTAAGCTTCCTGAATGCTGGGATTAGTGATAGTTGTTAATGGGATTTACAATACTGTTTGAGTACACAATAGTGAAAAATTCCTCTTATCTGTGCTTGGAGCAAATTCGATTGTTTCATTGTCTTCATATTGGGTGTTGTGCAGTGTGCTTTTACTGTCAGCTGCTTTCAGCATCAGCAAGCTGCCTAGTACACATTTTCACCATTTTCCATATTTATACCTGCTACGATTTTTAGCATCCTCCTCCTCAGAGAAATAGAAAATAGATTTAATTTTAGATAATACTTTTTACTATTTACAAATACCTATATAAGCTTTATGAATTATAATTTGTTCACATATAGGTTGTCATTATATAATTTCTGGGTTTTCCTGTAACATATCATTCAAAATACGCTTTCTTTGCCATTCTTGTAGGAAGAGATTGTAAGGAAAAATATTGAGTTCCATGTACCTGTTTATCCCGTCTTGTGTTTTTTCATAGGCGCCAAGGTGTTAAGAGCTTACATATTGAGAATAGTGCATTTGTCCATTTTGGTTCTGTGTGGCATCGGGCATGGCAGAGCAGAGGGGTTGCTAGTAGCATTTTCCCCGAAGCTGCTCCATGTGTTCAATGTGATTTCCAGGCCTCCAGCAAGTGGAAACCACAGGCTGTGATGCTCAGTGGCCCTGTTTATCGGTAGTATGTGTAGCACCACCTAGTGGATGCTGTATGGTTACCTTTTGTCAGAGTGAGCGTGAAATGTCATGTTCTTTCAGGGTCCACAGTTTTCTTGATTCTCATTGGAAGAAAGAATACATTTTGTTGAATTCTATTTGAAATAAGGGTAGCACAGCTTTAGATAATTATTTCTACTAATATTAAAGTTAGAGAAAACGTTACAGAATTTATAGAATCTAAACTATAAATTCTCATTTAATTTTTCAGTTCCCCTTTTATAAAAATAACTATGAAGATAGATCTGTTTCTTGCAACTTGTTTCTATGTAACACATACATAGAACTTTTCTTTTTTAAGTTTTTTAATTACGCATGTCTCTAAGCTGGGCATGAACACACACACACACACACACACACACACACACACACACACGCACGCACACACACACACACACACGCACGCACACACACACACACACACGCACGCACACACACACACACACACACACACACACACACACACACACACGCACGCACGCACACACACACACACGAATGCAGTGCCCACAGAGGCCAGAAGAGGGTGTTGGATCCTCAGGCTCTGGAGTTACAGGCAATTGTGAGCTACCTGATATGGGTGCTGGCAACTGAATTTGGGACCTCTTGAAGAACAATAGCACATGCTCAGATTGTTAGGCGATTCTTAAGCCCCAGACATTCTTTCTTGAAGCTGCTTATACAGTCTTTTGGGAAGGCTGAAATAGAAAAATCACATCTCGAGTGATTTAGTAGCTAAAAATGATACATTTTGCTCTGGCAAAATACTTGACAAAAGCAATTTTAGGAAAGGAGAGCTTATTTTGGGCTCACAGCTTTGAGGGTACAGTCCATTATGGCAAGGGAAGGCTTGGTAACAGGAGTGTGAGCAGTTGGTCACCTTATTACCCCCACAGTCAGGAAGCAAAGAGATGAATATAGCTCTACATGGTTTTTCCTTTTCATTCAGTCAGGAATCCAAGCCACCCACATTAAGTAGTGGGTCCTATGTCTTTAAGTAAATCTTCCTGGAAACAGTCTCATAGACATTACCAAAGGTATGTTTCCATGTGATTCTAAATCCAGTCAAATTGATGGTGAAAGTTAACCATAATAGATGGAAACTGAAATTTTTATACTGGGGTTTTCTTTAGCATTAGACCTATTAGAAAAAAAAGAAAGGGATGTGATTTTTTAATGCAAATTTTTATTTAAGTTAGAAACAATCTTATTTTACACATCAATCCCAGTTCCCTATCCCTCCCAGCACCCCCTACCCCCCACCAACCCCTCCATTCCATCGCCAGTGAGGGTGAGGCCTTCCATAGGGGATCATCAAAGTCTATCTCATTGTTTGGGGCAGGGCCTAGGCCCTCCCCCATGTATCTAGGCTAAGAGTATCCCTCCATGGAGAATGGGCTCCCAAAGTCCATATGTACACTAGGGATACATACTGTAGTCGTACCAGAGGTCCCATAGAGTGCCCAGGCCTCCTAGCTGACACCCAGGTTCAGGGGGCCCGGTTCAGTCCCATGCTGGTTACCTATGGGATGTGATTTTTAAGTGCTATAGAACTCTTACTACACTTGTACAAGTGAAACAACAAATTTCCATAGATGCAAACCCTGAATAATGGCCCCTGCATAGTGTGCATTTTAAACTTAAAAGTCTGGTCAGCAGATATGTGGACAAATAACAAATTCTTACTTAAACCAGTAGTTGTGGGTTGTGACCCCTTTGTGGGTCAAATGATCTTTTCACAAGGGTTGCCTGAAACCCTTGGAAAACACAGATATTTACATTATGATTCATAACAACAAAATCACAGTTATAAAGTAGCAATGATTAGGGTCACCCCAACATGAGGAACTGTATTAAAGAGTTGAAGCATTAAGAAGGTGAGAACCACTGCTTTAAAATTAAACATCAATGAGTCTTTTGAGAGAGAGTTTTGCTTTGTAGCCCAAACTAAACTTGAAATCCTTGTCCTTCTGAGTCTTGGGGTTATAGGCATGTGTTACTGTGCTTGGTTAAAAATATTTTAGTTGTATTTTAAAAATTGATTGCCTTCCACTTGTAGAATGACTTCATTCTATACTTTTCTGATGAAAGTGTTTTTTGAGTGAACTTTTATAAGTATTATGGCTTTTATCTGACATGACTATTCATAGAAAATATCTGACTATTTGATGATCTTTGTGTATAGATGGTTGTAAAAACTTTCATGGACATGGATCAGGACTCTGAAGAAGAAAAGGAACTTTACCTGAACCTAGCTTTACATCTTGCTTCTGACTTTTTCCTCAAGCACCCTGATAAAGATGTTCGTTTACTGGTAGCTTGCTGCCTTGCTGATATTTTCAGGATTTATGCTCCCGAGGCTCCTTACACATCTCCTGATAAACTAAAGGCAAGTACTGATGGGAAGCACTGCCATACTGACACTTTTCTATTCAGTGGAACGAAACAAAGTCGTCTCTTCAAATTCTGTTATATTGGCTGGACCAATTTGGCATTAAACTTCTGTTTCCTCTGACACCTAACTTTTTGTTGTTTGGTTTTTCAAGACAGGGTTTCTCTGTGAAGTTTTTAGAGCCTGTCATGGAACTTTCTCTGTAGACCAGGCTGGCCTCAAACTAACAGAGATGCAACTGCCTCTGCCTCCCGAATACTGGGATTAAAGGCATGAGCTTTTAACCGCTCAGCATGTAGTAGTCTTTCTACTTCTTGTTTAGAGAACATCAACAAAACATCTGTTAAGAGAGCTTGGCTTACACCAAACAAATATATCATTCTCTAAACCATCTAAATATCATGCAATCCAGCTCACGTGACCTACTCTTAAAAGTCAGACATGACTCAAATTTTACTGACCAATAACACTGCCCTCCACTTCCCTTGTCTTGATATTCTTTATAACAGTACTATCCCAAACCAGACTGGGGATGCTACACAACTGGCAAATGTATTAAGGGAGCTCATTCCTCATTCCAGTTAACAAGAAGAAATTACAGAAGCCCAAGGCCCATGTCTGATTTGGGTGTTATTGCTTTCCCTTACCCTTGCATACTCACAGGTTGATCTCTGTGAGTTTGGAGGCCAGCCTGGTCTACAGAGTCAGTTCCAGGACAACCTCCAAAGCTATAGAGAAACCCTGTCTTGAAAACCAAAGGAAAAAAAAAAAAAGAAAGACTACTACTGTATAACTTATTTACCTCTTTTGTGGACTTTCCAGTTTGTATAAACAGTGACCTAGCTCAAGGCTTAGGGCTGATAAAAGGTATCCCAAAAGAACAGGTACAGATCAGGACAGTTATGAGAAGAATACCCAATAGATGAGATAAAGGTCTGCATGGAGTATCTGAAACATTTAAAAAGTCTGTCTGTCTGTCTCTGTCTTTAGAATCAATCTTTTGGTCTCAATTTACAGACTCCCCTTTTCTGTTTGGGGGATAGAACTGAAGAATCACTGTGTTTTTAAGGACACTTTCTAAGTATTTATGGGATAGTTTCATTCATTTGCTTCCAGGCCACATTTTTGTCTACATTAGTGCCACATCAGTTAGTATTACATAATAGAAAATTGTCAGTCTCCATTTTTACCTTTCAGGCTCAGTTTATTACTGTCGTGAGTAAACCCTTATTGGACGTTTGACTTGATAAGAGATTATGAGTGAATTGACAATTGTTTGCAACTTCTGATAGATCTAGTATACCAGTATGTCTCTTTCAGACAATAGAATAAGATTGTCAGAAAAGCTCATTCATAGAGATTATGTTTTATACATTTCTGCTGTCAAAGCAGCCATTTTGAAAGGAAGTTCCTTTTTTTTTTTTTTTAAAGATTTTATTTATTTATTATTTATACAACGGTCTGCTTCCATGTATGCCTGCACACCAGAAGAAGGCACCAGATCTTATAACAGATGGTTGTGAGCCACCATGTGGTTGCTGGGAATTGAACTCAGGACCTCTGGAAGAGCAGTCAGTGCTCTTAACCTCTGAGCCATCTCTCCAGCCCCAAAGGAAGTACTTTTAACAGCGCTTTTCTTGAAATACTACTCAGTCATTTGCATATAATATTTTTGCGTTTTAAAATGTACATTATTTTACTTATAGAGAAACATTTTTTCTTATTGATTGGTAACAAAATTCCTTTAGGTATTAGTTTTTACTGTTAGGTTTTTTGTTTTGCTTTGTCATAGTTTTCAAAAACTGAAACTCAGAATAATTTACCTGAAAGTGACTTTTTGTCTGTCTTTAAAGACCCAGGTGGGTAAAAGGGGAAATACTTTAAAAAAAAAAAAAGTCTAAAATAAGGATAGGGAAAGATTGAGAAACGATTTGGGGAAGCAAGTGACTGTAGTGTGATGATGATTAAGAAGCTAGACAAACAGACTTCCATTGCTCTGTCTCAAATGTCTCAGCTTCTGTATGTGATGTGTTGTGTTGTTACTTGGTAATTTTGTTTTGGGATTTTATGATTCCTAAATTGTCTTCTTCCTGTGTAATTGTTGTGTTGTTTCATGTGTTGTGCTTTTTTTTCTTTTTTTTTATTTAAATTAGAAACAAGCTTGTTTTACCTGTCAATCCCAATTCCCTCTCCCTCCTCTCCTCCCCTGCCCCCCCACTAACCCCCTATCCCATACCCTTTCTGCTCCCCAGGGAAGATGAGGCCTTCCATGGGGGGGGGGTCTTCAAAGTCTGTCACATCATTTGGGCCTCGGCCCTACCCCATGTGTTTAAGCTGAGAGAGTGTCCCTCTATGTGGAATGGGTTCCCAAAGTCCATTTGTATGCTAGGGGTAAATACTGATCCACTACCAGAGGTCCCATAGAATGCCCAGGCCTCCTCAGTGTTGTATATTTTCAAGGGAGTCCTCAGCTCTCAGTTGTTGCAACAACTTTATTCTAATAATAGCATGGATTTTATTTGACTCACTTTTTAAGCCTATTAGTTTAATTTGCTGTATTATGAACATGTTCTTTCTGTACATTAACACCATGTGATCTGTGTAATGATTTTTCTAAGAAGGATAATAGGTGTATCATAGTTTTCACACATTGTATTTATTTGCAAGATACTAGAATCTTTATGTAAAGTTGTACTGTAAAAAATTTTGCCTTTCTTTTTGTTCTTTACAATTTATCCTAATATGTCTACAACGTTGGTGAAGAACTGTAGCTATTTTTACTAGTATAATATGTATTTCCATTTAGCATTCCTAATCTAAGCAAAACTTTGTTTTTTTTTTTTTAAAGGATATATTTATGTTTATAACAAGACAATTAAAGGGACTAGAAGATACAAAGAGCCCTCAATTCAATAGGTATTTTTATTTACTTGAGGTAAGGAATATATTATAACTTGTGATATTTAAATTTTATTTTTTCTTGTATATTTTTAGCAACTAAAATATTTGCTTCTTCCCCTTTTCACTTCTTTTTTTTAGAATATTGCATGGGTTAAATCATATAACATATGCTTTGAGTTAGAAGATAGCAATGAAATCTTTACTCAACTATACAGAACATTATTCTCAGTTATAAAGTAAGTTCATTTTCAAATGAGTAACACTTCTTAATTGTGAAGATTTTCAGTTCACGGTGAATCCACATAAACTTACATTTATTCTCTATAGTTTTAAATGGATAGAACTTATTGTTATATGTTTATTAGTTATAGGAGCAAATTAGACTAATTTTTTTTGGGATTATTGTTTACACATTGTATTGACTTTTTATTGCTGTGTATTGAGACACTCTGTATAGCCCTGACTGTCTTGGAACTCTATAAAGGCCAGGGTGGTCTGGAATTCATTGCAATCAACTTGCTTCTGCCTGTCAAATGTTAGGATTAAAGGCGTACACTTGCTTTGTAGACCAGGCTGGCTTCAAACTCAGAGAGATCTGCCTTTCTCTGCCTCTGCCTCCAAAGTGCTGAGATTAAAGTTGTGTACCACCACCACTCGGTTTAGTAATACAGTTTTTAAAATAAAATTTATTAGTGTAAGAGCAGAGAAAAAGGAACTTGACAGTAATACTGTTTTATCTTACCATTTTTATAAAGTATAATGTTTACTAGTATCATGTCTATCTCAGATACATTTGGATAAATAACTGTTTTGGATTTCAGCAATGGCCACAACCAGAAAGTGCATATGCATATGGTGGACCTTATGAGCTCTATCATTTGTGAAGGCGACACAGTGTCTCAGGAGCTCTTAGATACGGTTTTGGTAAATCTGGTACCTGCCCATAAGGTATGTGAAATGTGTCTCAACTCTACTAAGTTAGTATTCAGAATTTATGCTTATATTGTAAATAGAATTTATCCTGCTTGAAGCTTAGTTTTGTAGACTCTTAATTAAGACACTTATTGTTTGAAGTATAACAAAAACATTACATTTCTTAGTCACCAATTAAGTGAAGAAATAATGGACTTAGTTCATATGATAAAATATTTGTGGTCAATGAGTTTTCTGTAGAATGCATTTTACACAGTTGTGAGGGCCAAAAGAAGTTTGGGAGTCTGTGGTGCCTATTAACATTGCAAAGCACATGCTGACATCCTGGCTCTTCCTCTGCCTCCTCCCCCAAACTTCAAAATTCCTATATAACTCTACCATTTTGGCCATGCACTCTTTTTGCCCCCTCTGGTCTTTATCTCCTCTGTTGCTCCTCCTCCATCTTCTCAAGGCTCGGTCCAGTCTGCTGACCATGTTTGGTCTACTACTTTCCGTGCTCAGGATTCTTCCAGATGCCTCTGGCTGTACTTTCCCTCAAACCTACCATAAAAACCTTCCCCTCAACCATACCTCAGAGAGGTCATGCTCTCACTTTTCTGATGCCAAACCTCCACTTTATACAGCAGTGAGTTAATAGCTGCTTAAGTACTCTTTCATGACTTTATGTATTGGCACATGGAACCAGCTGGAGTCGTAGTTGAAAGATTGGGCTAATGTAGAGACAGAGAGGTTAGAGACCAGTGTTTTTACCTGAGTGTTGTCAACCAAGATGTGTGTGCATTTCCCCTGTGTGTGTGTATGCATGCTTCGACTTTTGAAAGTACCTGACTCTCATAGCAGTTGCAATGGCAGTTGTATGATTGCGAAGGGGTTAAATTTCAAGAGAGGAACATTAAAATTACCAATATAAGCAAACCTTTATTCAATGTTTTTCTTTGTTTAAATTTAAGAACTCTAGCATTATATTGTCTTAGTATACAGTTACGTAACATTGCCACAAATAATCCTTCATTGGAAATGAACCCTTAATTTAAAATTTTAAAACATTTGCAATCTGTTAATGCTGAGAGTAAGCAGACTCAATAGTAAGTTAACGTTAGTGGTGTATTTATTAAATGCAAAATCAGAGGTATTGATGTGGGCTTTGATTGCCTCCATCTATTCTGTTGCTATGCAGTTGTCTGGTTTGCCTCTTCCTTGTAGGGGAAGCTGTAGCCACGCCTACTTAGGGGCTGGCTACAGGTATGCCTGACCACGTGGTCAGGGTGACAGATCGAGACTTGAAGGGGACTGCATTTTCTCTTTGGCTTTTTCTTTTGGGCTTGGTACAGACCGCTGCCACCCCGGCTGGCTAGGGCGCTCTGTAAGTAAGGCTTTTCCCTATTAAATACCCTTATATTTCTACCTGACTCCGTATTGGTAATTTCCCACTATACTTCCTAATTCTGCCCACCTCGGCTGTATACCTGTCACTGATAAACAATCATGGGAAGGAAGGCAGGGGTTGAGAATAGACCCCACTGAAGTGTATTGTACCCCCTCCCAGGTGCACCCCTTTCTGAGGCTCATAGCATTTACTCCTTTGCCTTTAGGGCCCACATTGTTAGGATTCTTGTTACCCTGTTATTTGACAGAACTGTAAATTCTGGGTAGCAGCCCAACCTGTTTCTTTGAGGCAACCACCAGGAAACTTGGTCTGTTGTCTCAAGCTCTTAGCTCTCTAATGAGGTAGGAGGGCCAGTCAGTATCCTGAACTCTATCTACCACAGGAGATCTTAGGGAAGCGTTCAAGAGTTGATGAAGCAGGCTCCCCATGGTTAGCCCTCTGGGATTCATATCCAAGCCAATACCTGGGAGAAAAGGCTTTCCCAGACACAGATTAAGTATCCAGCTTGGTTTTTGCACTAGAGAAGTCCCAGGCCTCTGTCTCTCTGGACTGTTGTTATGAAAAAGTCCATTTATCAGGGAAATAGACACTTTCTGGATTAGAGGCTGTACAGTTCAGGGCTAGCTCAGTCTGCCTAGCATATGTGAGATCCTAAGTGTAATTCCTAGCACCACTTAAGTTACAGTGTACACAAATAGATACTTCCTGAGCTCTGGTTTTCCTTGGCCCACTGCACAGAAATACTTGTAGAAACAAGAATGCTGGGATCTGACCTCTCATCTTTTAGAGCAGCTGGACTCTTCCCCCCCCCCCCCAACTTTTTTTATTTGAATTAGGAACAGGATTGTTTTACATGCCAATCCCATTTCCCTTCTCCCACCCGTCCTTCCCTACCTCCCCTCCCCCCCACTTGTTTTACATGACAATCCCATTTCCCTTCTCCCACCCATCCTCCCCTACCCACTAAAACCTTATCTGTCACATATCTTCTCTGCTCCCCCTGGATGGTGAGGCCTTCCATAGGGTGTCATCAGAGTCTTACGTTTCCTTTGGGGTAGGGCCTAGGCCCACCCCCGAAATACTGGGCTTCTACACGAGGTCCTATAGATTTCTGAGGTTTCCTCGAAGAAAACCATGTTCCTTGGATCTGGATCAGTCCCATGCTGGTATTCCAGCTATCTGCATCTGGGTTCCAGTTCAGATCGGTGATTAGCTATGGGTGTCTGCTTCTACTTCCACCAGCTGCTGGATGAGGGCATATAAGTCTGTCATCAATCTCATAATCAGGGGAGGGCATTTGAGATAGCCTCTCCTCCGTTGCTGAGATAGTTAGCTGGTGTCATCTTTGTAGATCTCCAGACATTTCCCTAGTGCCTGATTTCTCTGTAAACCAAAAGTGTCTCCCTCTATTATGATATCTCCATTCTTGTTATCGTGTATTCTTCCCCTGACTCATATTTTCTGCTCCCTCATGTCCTCGGCATCCCTCTTCCTCTCTCCTCATTCTCCTAGCTCCCTCCCCCCTCTTCCCGTGCTCCCAGTTTGCTCAACAGATCTTGAGCCTCTCCCCTTCCCCAGGGGACCATGTATATCTCTCTTAGGGACCTCCATGTTTATTAGCTTCATTGGTTGTGGATTATAGGCTGGTAATCCTTACTCTATGTCTAAAATCTGCATATGAGTGAGTACATACCATGTTTGTCTTTTTGTGATTGGGTTACCTTGCTCAGAATGGTTTCTTCTAGATCATCCATTTTCCTGCAAATTTCAAGATTCCATTGTTTTTTTTCTGCTGAGTAGTACTCCATTGTGTAAATGTACCACATTTTCTCTATCCATTCTTCCGTTGAGGGGCATCTAGGCTGCTTCCAATTTCTGGCTATTACAAATAGTGCTGCTAAGCACATTGTTGTATGAATGTGCTTCTTTTGGGTATATGCCTAAGAGTGGAATTGCTGGATCTTGTGGTAGACTGATTCCCATTTTCTTGAAGAGTCGCCATACTGATTTCCAAAGTGGCTGGAAAAGTTGGCACTCCCACCCGCAGTGGAGGAGGGGTCCCTTTTTTTCACATCCTCTCCAACATGAACTGTCATTGGTGTTTTTGATTTTGGCCATTCTGACAGGAGTTAAGATGGTATCTCACAGGCAGCTGGACTCTTTACAGTTTAATTCTTGGCTTAGTCTACTTAACTGAGATGGATCACTTTTTGGGGGTATTCTGGACCGAGGTTTGATCCCCCAAACCCAAATAAAGCCTTATGTAGTGTTGTAAGCATTTAATCTGGGTGCTGGGGAGTTGGTGCCAGATGGATCAGCTAGCTTAGCCTACTGAAGAAGAAAAAGGCAAAGGAAGAGAAGAAAAAAGATAATTGGTATCTAAGGAGTGACACTCAAGGCTGTCTTCTGGCTTCATATATTCCCTCCTGTCTAGAACATGTATATGTGCATACCCACACAAAATAATATATATAGTAGGCCTTTGAAACTGACTGGCTTCAGACTCATTTTGTAACTGACTATAACCTTGAGTTTTTGATCCTCCTGTCTCAACCTCTTGAGTGGGATTACAGGTGTGTATTACCATGCCAAGTTATGTAGTGTTGGAGGTCTAACCCAAGCATTCCCTCAAGTTATCCAGACACACTCTATCAATTGATCTTTTATCTTTTAAAAAATTTATTTACTTTTAATTTGTCTATTGGTGCTTTGCCATGGGTGCTGTTGGGTCCCCTGTAATTGGAGTTACAGACATTTGTGAGCTGCCATGTGGGTGCTGGGAATTGAACCCAGGTCCTTTGGGAGAGCAGTCAGTTCTCTTAACCACTGAGCCATGTCTTCAGTCCTCTGATCTTTATCTTGAGCCCCCATGTAATCTTTAATTGGATAAAGACAGGGTTTACCCGGTAAAATATGTAAAGCAAAAATTAATGAATTATGAAGACAATGAAACATTCACTATTTACTGGGTTATTTTAAGGTGTATCCTAGTAGATTGTAAGTCAGACCAAGGGTTGTAGAAATACTGAGTGTTTGAAACATTACTATAAGCTTAATGTCAAGCATCATTAATTTGATAAATTATAATGACATCTGTGTGTTGCAAGAAGTCAAAACATCAGAATAAAATATACAAGTAAAACAAAAGCAGTTGAGCAGAAATGAATGAAATAGGAAACAGTGACATTGCTTGAAAACTACATGGTCGTAATTTGAAAAGTGTATTAAATAGACAAACAGCAAATTGAATCAAAGAAAGGGTGATGATACCAATATATAGTTAAAATGAGCAAGAAGTATGAAGACAACTAAAGGACAGTTACATGAATAATAATCTCTGAATACATTTGAGATTAGGATAAATATATTCTCAGAAAAGTATTACTTGTCCAGTGTCCTAAGCAATAAAAAAATTAGTTGACTCTTGAAACTACTTAGAATATAAGGCAGCGGCAGCAGCAGCAGCAGCAGCAAAGTGTTTAAACAATAAAAGATGTGGATGTTGGGAACTTGGGTTTTCTGGAAGATTAGAAACTGCTTTTACCTTTGATGTTTTGGTTTTTCTGGACCTGGCATGTAACAGTCTGTGTTTGTATTCACCTGAACCAATTTGATTGGAGATATTATTAGGATGACTAAATACTTCTTCTGTTATCTAGTAAACATTCATTGACCATTTCTATATGGTTAATCTATTATGAATGAAATCTGAAAATAACATAGTTATTTTTGGTTGGAAAAGATATTTTGTGTTGTATTAGGCCAGATTGTTCTAAGGAAAGTGAATTTACTTTCTTTTATGGATAGCTCTCATTCTATTTATTCAAGAGCTTTTAAGATACAAATAATATTTTGCTTTTCATAGTTGAGATGTACAGGGCTTGGAGTTATAATTCCGTAGGAGAGTTCATTAAGCCCAGCACATATGAGATCCCACCACTGCAGACAAACAAGCATAGCTCAGTTTGTAAATATATGTATATATAATACAGCTACTGTTGTGTTTTCCAGACCTTAAACAAGCAAGCATATGACTTGGCAAAGGCTTTGCTGAAGAGGACTGCTCAAGCTATTGAACCATATATTACAAATGTAAGTCTCACAGTTCGTTTAGAGGATTAAGTCAAAAATTTAAGACTGTTGGAAGTAAATCTCAGCAAGTAGCCCACACTTCTTAAGTTGCTATTTCAGTTTAACCAGTGACAGTTTCATTTTCTTTCTTTCGTTTCTTAAAGTTACTTTTGCTTAATATTTCTGGGAAGGCTAGCTCTCTTGTTTGTGCCTTTATTTGCTTCCTTCAAGTTCCTAGAGATAATAGCTTTTTTTGTTTTTTTGTTTTTGGGGGGTTGGGGGGTTTGCAAAATACAGTTTCCAATGTTAGGTATAGAGTTAAAGGTAATTAGATAAAACATATGGTACTTTCTGCTATTCAGAGAAGTTGCTTACAGCTTTTTCAAGATTAAATTTATTTGTGCAAGAAGATGATATGAACCGATCAGGACCTAGAAATTGAAGACAAGTATGACTGCCATAACAATTTGGTAGAAGTTACTTATATATTGTTATCCCTGAGGGAGGTTTATATAAATGTGCCTTTTCTGAGGAAGAAGGAGATTTGCAGTGAAGTGATGAATCCTTTTAAATATCACCCCAGCTTTGGTCACTTATGAGTGGCCATCTTATATTTGTTTTAGAAGAAATAGTTGTTAGCCACGTCACTTATATTAAGTTTTATTTTCTCTCCACAGCTCTTTGAGTTGTGTCACTGCAGGTGGCACCATCCATATCATACTGTATGTGAATGGTGGCTGCCTCTTGGAGCACAAGTCTAGAGTACAGTGTTAATGATAGCCCTGGACTTGTTTAACAGTTCTTTCTACTTGCCTTCTGCTCTCACCTACCTCAGCAGCTAGAAGGATGTAAATCTGTCTGCTTGAGAAAAGTGAGACAGTCTTTTATTTATATGTATCTCTTATTCTGAAGTTTGTTGGTAGAGAATTTTGTTTTGTTTTATGTAAAAATTTAAGGTCAGGTTATAAAAGATGCTATGAAATGACTTCCTGAGAAAAGTAAAGCACACCATAAGACAGCGCCTTGGTAAATCCTGCTTTTGTTTCTGATTTCAAAGAATTCCAGCATATGGTGGTTTGGAAACATAAAATTTATTTTGAGGTGAACTTTCAAAATCTAGAGGGTTAATGCCATGACTTACCTTAATAGCTCCAGGATTGTCAGCAGGTTCCAAAATTGCTTTCTGCAGTATTTTGACACTTGGGTGTTGCTTGACATTGATTGATTGAATTGAGTTTGTCATTATTGACTTTATGGCACCCCTGGTATGTAGACCCAGACCCAGGCTTTCTAATCATCCCTTGCCTTTGCTTACTTCAAGTGCTTCTGAATGAAGATTCTCACACTCAGCCTAGTACACAGGGTGCCTCGAGTCTTTTACTTAAGCCAATACTCCAAGTCAAATGTGTTTCAGGAGAACACTTACCTCATTTTGATGCCTTTTTTTTTTAAGATTTAGGAAAATAAATATTTGACTGAGCAATTAAAGAAAGAAAAATGAATAAAGCAGTGTTTACTGGGACTACATGATTTACTTGATTATACTGGTCTTTGAATTTGGGGGTGTGTTTGAAAAGGCAATGAAAGATAAGGAAGGAAAAAAAAAAGACCCAGGGAAATGTTTTCAGTAATCCCAGATAAATGAATGAAAAAACAAAAAGCACTCCCCTGTCACTTACATTAATTTCCTGGTGTTCTTGCCTATGGACCTAGATGATCCCCCTGCCCCCATGTCCATAGTTTTATTACACTCTTTAGAATTTGGGAGTAGGCAAAGGGCAGTAGACTAGTGCATATTTTCAGTTACATGCATACTTCTGGTATCTTGTCTGTTGTTTTCTCTATTTATCCTCGTTGGTCTTTCCATTTATTTATTTATTTAGAGATCATGTGTGTGTATATGTGTACATGTGCACAAATGTACATGTGTGTTGGATGCATGTGTATATGCCTACCCATGTGGATGTTAGTGTGTGTGGTGTGTGCACATGTGGAGGCAGAGATTGATGTTGGGTGTCATCTTCTGTAGCTCTCTACATTTTAAAAATTACTTACCTATTCATTTTCACAGCAGGGTTTCTCAGAGGACCCGGAGAATGGCCTTTGGTTAGACTGTCTGGGCAGTTAGCCACTAGGATTATAGGTGCATGCCAGTGCACCTATATGTGCTGCCTATTCTGGCCTAGCTCCTTGTGCTTGCTCAGCACACACTTGGCCCACTGAATCATCTCTGCATTCCTTTCATGTTTATGTTTTTCTTTGTTTTTATTCCTTGCTTTATTTGACGGTCAGTAATGAAGTCATTGGGAATTGCTTTTGTTCCCTCCCTCTAAAATTGAGTTTTGTGTACTTAACATGTGAAATAAATAAGTAAATTTATTTTTGAGGCAGGGTTTCTCTGTGTAGCTCTGGGTGTTCTAGAATTTGCTCTGTAGGCTGGTTTTGAACTCCCAGAGATCTGCCTGCCTTTGTCTTCAGAGTGCTGGGATTAAAGGCATGCACTGTGAAGTTACTTTGTAGTGAACTGAATGGTATAGTAAAAGATCGGTGCTAGGTGATGTGACACTACTTACCTTCCTCGTGTAGCATCGGCAGGAGCAGGCACTGAGGTGGTGATGAAACTGCTTACCCCCTTTCACAGTTGTACATACTAACACGATGAGGTCTGTTTTTTATGTGCTATTCCTACATCCATGGATACTGAAGAACTGTCTTTGGTTTTCTCTTGTTATAGGGTCTCATTGTATTGCTCACTCTGACCACACACTAGTAGGCTCAAGTTTTACTCCTGCTTCAGCCTCCCGAGTAGCTAGAAGTACATATCTCCCCATAATGCCCTGCAAACTCTTTCTTTCTAAAAATAGAATTCACTGTGGAACTGGACAGATGACTCAGCAGCTAAGAACACTGGCTGCACTTCCAGATGACCCAGGTTCAATTCCTGGCACCCACGTAGTGGCTCACACAACTGTAATTCTAATTCCAGGGGCTCCAATGCTCTGTTTTGGTTTCCAAGGGCTAGGCATACATGTGATGTACAGATAAACATGCAAGCAAAACACTCATGAATAAGATAATAATGATAAATTTTAAAACTAGAATTAGTTTTTATAGAGCACACAGTGGGAAAAACTTAAAAGGCAAAACAGAGACTCAAAAAGAAAACATACATAGATTGCTTTTTAATGATGTTATTTATTTTAACCAGATCTTTTTAGTCACACATTTTAGGGTACAGCCCAAATTACTTTGTTAAACTGAAAAGTATACCAGATCTTTATTGAAACAACTAAAAGATTTTTAAGTTGCTTTGTCTCAGTGAGTCTGTTTTTGCATATGTTAATTGGGGGTAGTGCTTGGAAAGGTAGAAGAAAAAGTGTTACTTAAATGAAATCATTTTGTAATTTAACTAGGTTTTAACTTAGGCTTACAAAGATGGAATTTACACCTCACTGTTTTCATTCTGATACAGGTTTTCTGATTGTTAACTTGTACTATGTAAGTAACCATTGTCAAATAGTGTTTTGCTGATTTTTGGAAGGAAATATTTTAGTCAAATCTGCATGTTGTCTCTACTAAATTTTAAAATATTATGGAGGTCTTGGGTTGTTTTATTTTTGTATCAGAATAACTTACCTATTTATTCATTTCTCAGATTGTGTATTAAAGGCCCACTTAGTGCTGGTCCTGTGCCAGACTCTTACTTCCTTGGTCACCGCTCTTCTAGAGATGGAGTCTGTAGATGCCCAGTAAATGGTTTTCTTTCCCATTGTAGTTTCTCTTGATTTTTTTTAAAACTCATTTTTAGTTATTGTGATAAATAATGGGTTTCATTATAATATTTTCATATATCACTGTGCTTTGTTCATATTCACACCCCTCACTATACTTCCTCATCTCATCTTCACACCCTTCTGTTCCTCACCAGAAATTACCTTCAGTGTTACCCCGGACTGTGTGTGTGTGTGTGTGTGTGTGTGTGTGTGTGTGTGTGTGATCTAAATTCTCTTGTTTCCTCTCTTGTATCCATATATATGTATATATGTCTTTGTTTATATTTATTGTAGATATATGTCTCATCTGTATGCCACATTATTGGGCACTTTTGATGGAATGTGTAAGATACTTGTTTCCCCCCTCTAGTTTGCAAGTTTTTTCCCAGGCTAGTAGGGAAGGTAATGATGGTTTGACTACTGTGGTGGCCATATTGGCAAAAGATTATTGTTCTTTAATAAGGAAAAGGTAGACTGAAGGATTTTGTTTTAGTGGTTTTAAATTTTATTTTATTATTTTGTTTATGTGTTTTGCCCTTATATATGTCTTTGCATGACATGTATGCAGTGTCCTTAAAAGCCAGAGAGGTCATCAGATCCCAGAGATTGGAGTCACAAGTCTGTGGTGAGTTGCTGTGTAGGTGCTGAGAATTGAACATTGGTCTAGAAGAACAGCTAGTTCTCTTAACCACTGAGCCATCTCTCTAGCCTCATTATTTTTAATAAGTGGGAGAAATACAAATTTAAGGATAATAAAATTTAACCTGAAGAATTTAATTATCTTTTACATTTCCACCACCACCATCCCCACCCCCCCAGGGTTTCTCTGTGGCTTTGGAGGCTGTCCTGGAACTAGCTCTTGTTGACCAGGCTGGTCTCGAACTCACAGAGATGCGCCTGCCTCTGCCTCCAGAGTGCTGGGACTACCACCAACGCCTGGCTCTTTTACGTTTCTTTTCCACAAAATTGATGAGTAGAAAAAAAAAAACAAAAAAAACCAAGTTGTTTTAGAAAACCAACAAATAAAGGATGGAAATTTGTCCTTTAAAAAAAAGTTTTTGTTCTTTGGGAATGTCTTAGTCACTGTTATATTTCTGTGAAGAGACACCATGACCACACGGACTCTTAAGAAGAAAGCATTTAAGTGGGGCTGGCTTACTGTTTGAAAGGGGTGTATAGTCCATTGGTGGAATGTACAGTAGGAGGCATGGTAGGCATGGTGCTGGTGAGGCAGCTGAGAGCTACATCCCAATCCCCAGGCAGCAGGCAGAGAGAGAGAAACCTGGCTTGGGTTTTTAAAACAAACTTCTTCCAACAAGGCCACACCTCCTAATCATTCTAATCTTTTAAATAGTGTCACTCCCTAGTGACTAAACGTTCATACACATGAGCCTATGGGGCCATTCTTATTCAAACCCCCACAGGGAATGTCCTACAGTGTATTGAATCTTTTCCTTTCTTTCCCCCATGGCCGACTTTTTTGGGCTAGGCAGTCTGCACTGTTCATAGTCTTCAAGAGCTAGAAGTAAGACAAGGAAGTGTAAAGTCTTAGTTGTTGTACTTTCAATATGGAAGTATGAGAAGCCAAGTTATGTGTTAATTGACAGAGGCAAGCAATCAGAACACCTTGTGTGATGTAAATCCTTAACTTTCTCTGAGGAGACATAGGAAGCTGCTAAGAATATATATATTCTGTGTCAGTTTTACACATTTTTAGAAGATTTATTTCTTTTACGTTTTTTGAGACAATCTCACTGTGTAGCTTTGACTGGGCTGGAATTTGCTATATAGACCTGGCTGGCCTTGAACTCACAGAGTTCTGCCTGCTGCTGCCTCCAAAGTACTGGACTAAAGGCATGCACTGCCACACCTGGATCCATTTTTGGAAGATTTTAAATAGAAAGAAACATGGTCATTATACCTGATATATTTGCTCATTTTAAGTTGTAGCCTGATGAATGGTTTGACTTGAAGTTAAAAGCCAGCTGCCTGTTGTGCATATTCGTGGTTGGATTTTAGTGTTGCAAACTTTGTAAATGTACACATTGTTTAACAGAATTCGAAGGAAGAGGAAGAGGATTAGAAAGGCATTTTTATAATAAATATATATATATCTGTGCAGCTTAAAAATAGAGTAGGAGCTACTCTGAAGGTATAAGAAAGCTTTATTTTAAATTCTATAATTTTCCTCATGCTAATATAAAGAAGATATGATCTCATCATTAAGGAATTTATTTAGTAAGATGATTAAATCATTATCTTAGGGTTCTTAAGAGAAGCAAAACTGATAGAATGTATGTAAGGGTGTGTATGTGTGTGTATGTATGTATACATGTATGTGTATGAGGAAATTCACTAGAATTGGGTCATGATATTTTGGAGGTTGATAAAGTCCCATGATAGAAGCTGACGAGCCAGGGAAGTTGATGGTTTAACTCTCAGTCCAAATCCAGAGGCTCGGGGAGAACACAGATGGAGGTTGCTAGTACAAATCTTTGTAACCAGAGTCTGGAGAACATGGAGTTATGGTGTGATGTGCAAGGGCAGGAGAGGAAGGGCACCCTCTTTCAAGAAAGGAAGGAGGAGCCCACCTTTCCTCTGCCTTTGCATGATGCTTGCCCACACAGACACTAGCATCCCAAATACTACTCTGGATTCACAGTCTTCTCAGCAAACTTCTTTGAAGATAAATCAAGAAATAATGTTTTACCATTTGAGTTGACACAAAAATACCACAGTCAGAATACAGTTGAGTATTTTAGTAGAGTAACAAAATATTTGGTTGGTAAGGTTGTTTGCTGGTGTTGGTCATTGGTGAATCAATACAGATTATCTGTGTCATTGTCTGGAAAATGAATTCTGTGTTTTAGGTGGTAGTTTCTCTCATAGAAAATGTTTCTGTGTGCTTGTTTGACTTCATTTATAACAATAAAAATTTAATTGAATAATAATCAAAACTTGAGACCTTTTATCTGTGGCATTTCTTTTAATGGCAGATTTTCTTGACAGTTTTTTAACCAGGTTCTGATGCTTGGGAAAACATCTATCAGTGATTTGTCTGAGCATGTCTTTGATTTGATTTTGGAACTCTACAACATCGACAGTCACTTGCTGCTCTCTGTTCTACCCCAGCTTGAGTTTAAATTAAAGGTATAACTGTTGTAAAAACATGACTGTGTCAGCAAGTTCAATAAAGAGCATTGCTTGTTGCCTTTTAATTCTTGTTATCAGTTTGCTGAATATAAAATGAGTAAGAATGTTGTTATTGTTCATTAATGGGTTTGTGTCTTGCCTGTCTCTGGATCTCTAGTGCTTGGTGATGTCTACCAGGTTAATAAATCCCACTTGAAAAATGATCAGCAGGATGGCATCATCCTCCACATATTTTCTAGCATAGTTCTGGGGTTAGGTTAACTTTTGAGGCAAACATTTAGCTTCTATTTTCAAAGCACAATTTGTAGCCGTCTCCTTGATGTCTTGATTGGGCATTAAAAGTAGCTTAGAACTCATGTATATTGTGACATTCTTTTTCCTTGTGTTACTGTGCTTTAAGTTTCCTTTCTGTAATGAAAATCTGAAATTTTTTAGCATGTTTCTATTGCCCTGACATTAAAGGATGCTATTAATTGCATTTCATTTGAAGAATTGTGGAGTATGATTTCTCTCCCAACTCATTACAAGACTAAATACAACTAGTTATAACTACTAGTTTTTGATGGATCCTAGTACATAACCCAGAAAAGTAGATTTTCATGTAGCATTTTCTTATCCCTAAAAATTTTGATCATTACTTTCAAAACCAAATAAAACAAACAGTTTATATTGTTATTACACGGACACTAAATAACCAGTAACTCATACTTGTTTTAGTCTAGAGTTTTTTTTTTTTTTTGATATATTTAAGTGATCCCTTTGATTATGTGGCCTTCCTATCACTTTTTAAATATGCTTAGTAATTTTGGTGAAGCAAGACAACCAATGTTTCTAATTACTTGTAAATCTGGTTTTCTCTAGAAAATCCTAATTGCATTTTCCTATACACTGTGAGGAATATAAAAATATGTAAAGTATCATTCCTGCTTTCAGCCAACTTAACATGTAGTATGGGAGGAAGAGGGGGAAATGAGCTCTGTTAGAGACTGGATGCTGTAAGAATCAGAAAAGACGCAGACAGCCTCAAAGAAGACACTATGTGGAAGTACACAGAAGTCAGAAGGGGCACTCACTCATGGCGCTACTTACAACCTACATTTGTGGAGGAGGAGCACATGAACAAGTAGTCAGAAGAGATAGGTTATACACTTGGGGCTCTTGGATGCTAGCCTGAGGCACTGTCTTAAAATTTAAGACCTTGAATTTGCTGCCGTTTGATAGGCCCGATCGTTGGAAGTTTAGCATTTGAGTTGGTCATTTTAACCATTGTTGATTTACAAAATCAACAATAAAACTGCTTTTTCATCTTCAGGGTGCCTGTCATATGGCAAATAAAGGAGAAGTGTGTTTGCTGCATGCTCAACTCCATCACACTGTTGAACTTCTTTCGGAATCTGATATTGTACAGTGTCTGGTCTTAAAAGCCACATCTTTTCAAGATTCCTTAGTAGGTTTTAAATTTACTCTTAATAGAAAGTAACCTGAATTGTTGGAGAGGATTTTAGTATTTAGTAGGAATCTTGAGATATATTTTCACATCACAGTACTGCTTTAATGAAACTCGAGATGATTAAAGCTTTCATTATAACATCCCATTGTGTGAAACACTTTCTGAGCATTGGTACACACTTTAGCATCTGGAGGCATAGTAGCTTTTTCTCCTCCTCCTCCTCATTATTATTATTGAATCTGAGAAATCCTAGGAATAGGTCTTATTTTGAGTGTTTACTTTGAAGTTTAAAGAAATTGTACTTTGTTTTAGAGCAATGATAATGAAGAACGTCTCCAGGTTGTTAAACTACTGGCAAAAATGTTTGGGGCAAAGGATTCAGAGCTGGCTTCGCAAAATAAACCACTCTGGCAGTGCTACTTGGGCAGGTATGTGATTTTGATTTTTTTTATTTGTAATAAATATGTGTTTATATCTATTTCTTTTTTTTTTGTAAAATGTTGTACACATTTAAGCTATGTTCTCAAAAATCATAATAAAGGGTTTTTGAGTTGGGAATATAACTCATTTGGTAGAGTGCATACCTAGTGTGCCTAAGGCCCTAGATAGGGGTCCTCAGCACCCCATAAACAGTTGTAGTGAGGTAAAAGGATCAGAAGTTTAAGGCCAGCCTTTGCACCAGCTTGAACAACATGAAACGCTAACTTAAAAATAAATAAAGATTTTTTTTTTTTTTGGGAGAGGGGCTGTGTTCCGAGGCAGTTTTTCTCTGTGGCTTTGGAGGCTGTCTTGGAACTAGCTTTTGTAGACCAGGCTGGTCTCGAACTCACAGAGATCCGACTGCCTTTGCCTCGAGAATGCTGGTACTAAAGGCGTGGGCCACCAACGCCCATCAATCAAGGATTTTTCTATTTTGTAATTTTCAATGTTGATAATAACTGTATTTAAAATTTTCTTTATCTTTTTATTTTATGTTGTCTTTGGTGATTTGTTTTTTGAAAGATGGTATATTTTAAAGCCTACCTCATAGTTTTTTGCTACAACCATAAAATAGAAGCAATAATTCTAACTGAAAGTACAGCTTGAAGTGATATAGTCCTTCCTCCCATAGCTATACCTGATTAGATTGTTTAGCTATATTGGATTGGTAAGGATACTAATGCAATTAAAAATTAACAACATTAAATGGTTTAGGGTTTTTCTTAAATGTGACCTTCTGCCATTTGGTGGGCAGTAGATCAGCTGGGAGCTGCAAAAACAAACAAACAAACAAACAAACAAACAAAAAACAAATGACATAGCTGAATGTGGTGATGTTCATCTTTCTAGCACTCCCAAGTAGAGGCAGGCTGACCTTCGAGTTTTTAGACCAGCCTGGTGCACCCAACCTCCCTTTTTCCTTCCTTCCCTTGGTCCTTTTTCCTTCCTTCCCTCCAGAGTCTTTGATTCTCCTGCCTTAGCCTATCCAATGTTCAGGCTGCATCCTATAAGTATGTTTCCCATCAAATACAGCTTCTGTTTTTTTGTTTGTTGTTTGTTGTTTTTTATTTTATTTTATTTTTGCTTTTCAAAAGAGGGTTTCACTATGTAGCTCTTGCTGTCCTGGAACTTGCTTTGTAGACCAGGCTGGCCTCGAACTCACAGATATCCACCTGTCTCTGCCTCCTGAGTGTTAGGATTAAAGGCCACCACCACCCAGCAGCTTCTGTATCTTTTAAAGAATGATGGTTTTGGTTCTTTATATGCTTATAGTGGTCCATGAAACTCCAGAAATGGTTTAAGGAGTGTGCTTGTGTTTGTCATTTTCCTGTAGGAGAAGTTCATTGCTTTTCCTAAAGGGATTGAATTCAGGTGGTCAGGTCTTCAGGTGTTTTTACCTGTTGAGTTATCTTGCTGGGCCTAGATGTTTCTTTTGGTGTTGAGTGATTAAAAAAAAAAAAAAAAAAAGCTTGAGCCTTTTGGTTTTACAGAAGTGTGACACAGACTTACTGACTGGAAACCCTTGACTTCAGTGTTATCGACACTTAGGCAAAATTTAAGTCACTGTTACTCATTCTCTGATGAACTGCTGTGTATAGATTTTGAACATTAGTAATTGTAACACAGATATCATATGCATACTGTGGAGGAATATGGTGATATATATTAGATAGTTTTGCTAAGAAATTCAAATACTAATACCTAATCCAGCCGTGTGTCTAACTCTGACTACCAGTTTCAAAAGTTAGGAGTGAAAGGTTCCTGCTAATTGACATCAGAAGACAAAGATGAATATCTAAATCATAGGAAAGCACTATATGAGTGCATACTTATATATAGGCTTAGTGTTAGATAAATACATTGTAGATAGAGTATTAAGATGATCTTATTACTAGTTAGAAATGAAATAACTCTGGTTAATTGGATAAGTATGATTTTTGGATATAGTTTAGAATCATAGGATATAAATTGAGAGTGTAAGGTTTACCATATGTTAATTTAGGTCCTATAATTAAGAAAAAAACACTTCAAGGAAATCTCTTCTCAGACATGATAGGAAATTGAAATGTTTCTCTGAAATATAAACATATATACACACATAAATTTATAAAACATAACATATACAGACGTACTTTTTCACTTACTGAACAGACATATTTGAAATACATTATTTGTGGGAAAACACTTATTATTATTCCAATGGAAAACACAGGCTCCTTATAATTTTACAGTCCTAACAGGACCTAACTGGAAATTGTCCTAGTTTATGTATGCCCCAAACTGTTAAAATGGTCTTGTTATGCCGGGTGGTGGTTGTGTACACCTTTAATCCCATCGTCTGGGCTAGGGTCTACAGAGCTAGTTCCAGGACAGGCTCCAAAGCTACACAGAGAGACCCTGTTTGGAAAAAGACTATCCCCCCCAAAAGGAAGGTCTTGTTATACTTTGAATTTTCTTTATTGTGTCTATGTATCTGCATGCATGTGAATATACCCTAGAGTATGTGCTTGTGCGCATGGAGGCCAGATGTTTATCTTGGGTGTCATCCTTTAGAGGCTGTCATCTATTCTTGATTGTGAGCTAGATTAACTCAGCAGTGCCTGAGATAGTACCTGAGCTTGGGGATTGGTACGGGCTGGCTGTATAGGTGCTTCTGTTTCTACTTGCTTAGTTGTGGGGTCATAAGCATGTCTACCACACCCATCTTTTTATGCAGATGCTGGGAATTAAACTCTAAAGTTTTACTAATCCCATTATCTTCCCAGGCCCCACTTTGGATTTTCATATATACATTTATTTATTACTAAGAGAAATAAACACAAATTGAATATAGATTAAATTTGTCTATTGTGGTTGTTTTAGAGTACTGTTTTTTTTTTTTAACTCTTTTATCAGGTTTAATGATATCCATGTACCAATACGCCTGGAGTGTGTGAAATTTGCTAGCCATTGTCTCATGAACCATCCTGATTTAGCAAAGGATTTAACAGGTAATAGCACATATTTCTGGATGCTCTTCAGTGGAGAAGAAAATAAACCTTATAGGGAAACCCTTTCTTTTAGGTGTTTCTGATTGCTGTCTTCTCTCAGTTCATTCATCGTGGAACTTACTTTCTGAAGCTACGATTTTTACCGTGTTGCTTTTTGTACACATTAGAAGCAGTTTTTTGGAAGTAATTTCATGAATTAAAGTAGTTCTTTAAGAACAGCCATTCATATTTTCACATATTTGACTTTGAATGGATTTTGATTTTGAAAATTTTGAAAATGGTAATGCTCTGATATTTTAAGAACTTAGTAAAAGTCACTTGGGTATAAGCTAAGTTAACATAATTAATGTTTGAGATAACTTAAAATTTGTATAAGCATTAAGTATTTCTCTTCCAATTTTTGAAGCAATGAGGATATCATATACCTGTTTAATTTTGTAAATTATGAAATAGTTCATAAAATGAAGGTTAGTATAACAGCCATGTGTATCTTCTACACAGATATTAGCATTTACTGTGCTTATGAGTTTCCTCCTTGTAAAGAAAGCCATAAATTATATACATCTGTAATATTTTAAGCAGTAGTTTGTCATAGTAATGCTTTCAAGCATATTGAATTATTGTCAGTCAGATCTGTAACAGCCCATTTTTTGTTTTGTTTTTAAGTCAGTATCCTCTCTCTCTCTCTCTCTCTCTCTCTCTCTCTCTCTCTCTCTCTCTCTCTCTCTCTCTCTTTTAATGGAGACACCTTACTTGGAATCTTCTGTCTTCCTACTTATATTTGGACCGCTTCTTTGTAGCTGCTGTACTGTGTTGCTTCTTTCCTCTTTTGCCTCCGGCCTTGTGTGTGTGTCTGTGTTATGTCTATATTTGTCTCTCACTTCCTGCTCCCCCCCCACCCCATTCTTTGGGAAGGGGACTTGTAACACCCTTTTCTTGTGTTACTACGGATGCAGTATTTTCTGAGTCTGTTAATGTTTGTTTTGGTGGGAGGGGATTTCCTCTTTTAAAAAAAAAAAACTAGCAATGACTTCTTTTTTCACCCTTTGTTTCTGTGCATTAGATCCTTTCCTCAGAAATCTTGGCAATTCATAGCTATGTCCTCCTGATTGATAGTGTGTGTACAGTAAACAAAATCCATTTGAAAAAGTGCTAAGTATAAGCATGGGTCTGTAACTGCTAACATTCCCTTACTGTGATGAGTTGTTTTTCCAGATTCTTAATTTAGATACTTGAATTTCTGTTGGATCACATGAAAGCAAGGTCTCCTCCACCAGAATCTTAGCTTTATTCCTTCAGTAACTGTATTCAGGGTTTCACTAATTATAGCATAGAAATGATAACACTCCATTATTTCCCAATAACACCAGCTGAGTTGAGTATTTTATTCATTTATATGGGAAATGATTATGACATGCTTAACAGTGATATATACCTTTTTGTGTATATGATCAGCTTAACGAGTTAAAGGCAGCTACATCAATTTTCCTGCCCTGGAAATGGAGCAGAATTTCACTTTTCAGTTGTACATGACATTTAGTTTGTGCAGGAAGGCCAGCCCCACCTCTTCCCTCCTTCCTTCCCTTGCTCTTTTAATTTTCTTAAAATACTGAACATTTTTACTTAGGGTTTGTTTTTACTCTGTTGATTTATAAAGGCCTTTCCAGTCTTCTAAGGCAATATGATAATAAAGTTCACATTTTAATCAGAAACTCTTACCTTTCAGAGTATCTTAAAGTGAGATCCCATGACCCTGAGGAAGCAATTAGACATGATGTTATTGTGTCTATAGTAACAGCTGCTAAAAAGGATATTCTTCTTGTCAATGATCACTTACTTAATTTTGTGAGAGAGCGAACACTGGACAAACGGGTAAGTAGTAGAATAGGTAAATCCCAGAGAATTTTGTCTTGTGTTTTCTTCCTCCCTCCCTCCCTCCCTCCCTCCCTTTCTTTTTTGCTTTCCTTGTTTTTCTTTTTCTTTTTTCTTTCTTTTTTTTTTGAGAGATAGTCTGTTTATGTAGTCCTGGGTGTCCTGGAACTCTCTATTTAGACTAGGCTGGCCTTGAACTCACAGAGATCTGCCTGTCTGTCTCATGAATACTGGGATTAAAGATGTATAACAACATACCCAGAAGAGTTTTATTTTTTTTTTTAAAGACTTTATTTATTTATTATGTATACAACATTCTGCTTCCATGTATATCTGCACACCAGCAGAGGGCACCAGATCTAATTACGGATGGTTGTGAGCCACCATGTGGTTGCTGGGAATTGAACTCAGGACCTCTGGAAGATCAAGCAGTGCTCTTAACCTCTGAGCCATCTCTCCATCCCCAAGAGTTTTATTTTTAATACTTGAAGTTTAATAGTATTACATTTGAAAATACTCTTTCTTTCCTAAGTAAATTATAAGTTGAAAATATCTGAGGTCCCGATACAGTAGGGCGTGTAAAATGAAGACTTGTGTACTGCTATGCTCTGCTAGCTTTCTTTTTCCTTCAGTCAGGGACCTAGTCTGCAGGATGGTTCTGCCCACATTAAGAATGAGTTATTCTTTCTCAGTTAAACTTGCCTGGAAATACTCTTCATATATGTACCAGTTTGTTTCTTTGACAAGTCTAAGTCTAGTGGGGTTGACATTGAATATTAACCAACACACTATTCTAATGAATTTATGTAATGGAAGCTTTTGTTTTCAAGACAGGATCTTACTGAAGCTCTGGCTGTTCTGGACCTCACTGTGTAGACCAGGCTAGCCTTGACTTCACAGAGATCTTCTTGCCTCTGCCTTTCAAGTTCTGGTATTAAAGGTGTGTGCCACTGCACCCACTAGTAATGGAAGCCTTTTTACCTTATAAAGAGAACTTTCATATGTTTTTATTTTAAGTGGAGAGTACGCAAAGAAGCCATGATGGGACTTGCCCAGATTTATAAGAAGTATGCTTTACAGTCAGCAGCTGGCAAAGATGCTGCAAAACAGATATCCTGGGTCAAGGACAAGCTGCTACATATATACTACCAGAACAGCATTGACGATCGGTAAGTCAGGGCCCACATGCAGTGTGTCTCAGTTATTTGGTGAGTTTTGGGTGTTATATACATTCCGTGTATTTTTTTTATGACTTTAAAATACCCTTCTGTTTTTAGTATAGGGCAGATAGAATGCATAGTTTTCTTGCCAGCAAAACCACAGATGAAGCTGTCATGCATACCTAATATTTAGATGAGTAGAACTTTCTCATTTGTTTCCATACACTAACTTTTTTACAGGGTAATATCTAAAAGTAGGGATATAACTGTTATAATTTAAAGTTTTATTTATTTATTTATTTATTTATTTATTTATTTATTATATACAATATTCTGCTTACATGTATGCTTGGATGCCAGAAGAGGGCACCAGATCTCATTATAGATGGTTGTAAGCCACCATGTGGTTGCTGGGAATCGAACTCAGGACCTTTGGAAGATCAAGCAGTGCTCTTAACCTCTGAGCTATCTCTCCAGCCCCTTAAAGTTTTGTTTTTATAGAAAAACACATTAAAAGGGTGTTTGTTAATTTTTTCTTTTTTTTTTTAAGGCTGGGTTTCTCCATGTAGCCCTGACTGTTCTGGAATTTCCTCCGTAGACCAGGCTGGCCTCAAACTCAGAGATCTCTGAGTGCTGGGATTACAGGTGTTCATCACCACCTCCCAGCATTTGTTAAATTTTTAAACATAGTTTAAATGAAAATCATTTGGAAATTTTAGGTTAAAAAATTCCCACTCAAAGCTGGGTGGTGGTGGCATATACCTTTAGTCACAGCACTTGGGATGCAGAGGCAGGAGGACCTCTCTTCCCACTCAAGACTAAAGTAGTTTATGAAGTTAGTTCTAAAAAAAGATGTTATCTCTCTAAAAGTAGATGGCTCTTATACAGGTAAGAGCCAGTTAGCTCTTAGTAGATCTGTAAGCTCTATTTAGAATTTGAGTTGACCAACTGTTAGTATATCCAAGTGCGTATGCCTGTAGCAAGCCATAGAGCAGTGATTCTCAGCCTCCCTAGTGCTGCAATGCTGTGGTGACCCCCAGCCATGAAATTGTTTCGTTGCTACTTCATCACTGTAATTTTGGTACTATTATGAATTGTAATGTAAATATATGTATTTGCTGATGTCTTAGGTGACCTCTGTGAAAGGCTTGTTCGACCCACAGCTTGAGAACCATTGCTATAGACTGTTAAAATTTTATGATGTATTTTAGGGAGTGCTTTTTGTTAAATCAATTTTTACACTTGAGTGTGTGGCATAAATGCACAGATTCCTGTTATGATTTGATAAGACATTTCTGTGCTCCATCCCTGGGAGTCTGGATACAATGGCAATAAGTGTTTCTTTGATATTGTACAGGAGCCAGGGGCCGGCCCAAAGCAGCTCCTGGCCTTTTTCTTTGCACTTAGCCATGTCTTATTTCACAATGATCTTCTTTCATAGTGATGAAAAGTGAAAAGAATCTTAAAAAATTCTTTGTAGTTTTAACTTATAAAAATGATATTTGAATCTTTAGAGGGGCCTGGTGTAGTTTTCTAAACTTTGTTGAACAGAGATGGACATTTAGTCCTTGATAAGGTGTAGGATAGTTGCAGATATGCAGTGCTAAGTCCTTGCTTTGGACCCTCTTAGAATCCTCTTCTCCATTCTGGACAGAAGGGACTTACTTCATTTGTGAGTCTTAAGTTCTTTTAATACACTTAAAGAGGTTTTTCTTTTACAGGTTACTTGTTGAACGGATCTTTGCTCAGTACATGGTTCCTCACAATTTGGAAACTACAGAACGGATGAAGTGCTTGTATTACTTGTATGCTACATTGGACTTGAATGCCGTGAAGTATGTCTCCAGTGTCGTGCTGCTCTTTTGTTTTTTGTAGAATGTGGATCGGGCGAGGGGCTTGGGGATAAACCTTAAATATTTAATGTAAATTTCATAATCTAAGCATCGTTTAAAGGTTCAAGCCACAATAAATTGGCCTATTTCTTCTTCTTTTTAGAAAGTTCTGTTGCCAACATTTGATTAAGCAGATGCAAAAACAGTTAAAGCTGGCTACAGCTACTTGGCATGAAATCATTAAGGATTTGATTTTTCTTTCTCTCTAGATTTTCATGTTGATGGCATTTCAAGAAAGGTGATATACCTATTCCCCCCACCCCCCAGGTGTTAAAAAGGTCCACATTATGAAAATACTATCTTCCTACTCTTAACACGGTACTAATTTAAATTATTCTGTAGTGCAGTAGAGTACAAATTTCTATGCTGTTTGTCCTCAACATAGTGTTGTAGGTTAGCATTAGGGCAAGTCTCATAAATACATTTTTTTTCCCCATGTTTTATTCAGAAAGTACCTTTGGATGTCTGGGAAGGGAATTGGCATTTTATATATAGTAGAGACACTAATAATCTAACTGAATCATATTAAGCCTTAAGATTTCCTGTAAGTCTAGAAATTTAGACTCATATTCTAGTAAGCATAATTAGAGCTATTGAGGAGTAAGCACTCTGAAATTGGAAGTCTAAGAATACTTGAAATGTTTAATGGACTTTGTCTTCATTTCCATAGCTACATGCACTATTGTTACTTTATATGGAGTTGTAGTTTGCTGATGCGTGCTATGTTTGGAGCACTAGAATGTGTACCTCGTCTATGCTTTACACTGCAACTGAAAAGTAGCAGCAGAAGTTTATGTTTTATACAAGATAAATGCAGCCATACAGAGCTTAATTTGACACTTAGGAAGTGGTAAGATAGCCAGGATTTGAAGTCAGTGCTACTTGGTTATAGTACTTAACTCTTAACTACAAGTAACAACATTTTAAAATTAAAATACTACTATTTTATTTTACTATATGTTTGAAATTTTTCTCAATTTAGAATGCATTCTCAAGTTGTTGGTTTATTTTAGTTTATTTGCTCATCCTTTTCCTTTGGTGCAATTGATGGACTTTTAGAGTAGATGAAGTATGATTGGTATGTGTCGTCTTAGAACACGTTAGTTACAAGTCCCAGTAACTCTGGCCTTGACAAAATACCACTTAGGAGTAAATTAATAAAGATACTTTTAAGTAAAAATCTAGAAGTAGCACTCAGATCCTATATGAAAGAACTTAAGAATATGAGTCTGCGTATTTATTTTTAGTTTGAGAAAGGCAGTGATAGAAGGAAGGAATTGTCTTAAAGAAGCAACAAAAGTTTCAAATATTTCTGTAAATCTAAATGACTGAGGATTGTGGGAATGTGGCTTTAGAAGGAGAAAGTAGGAAGCATGTGGGCTGGGACTTAACCAACACACTCACTGCAGTTGTGCATTCTTGCAAGTGTCTTGGAACCCTCTCCTGCACAGCAGTGAGGTCTTCAGGACCTTTCTACACTGCCCGCTGTTGTGATTGGTTGATGCTATATGCCTTTATGGGAGGAAAATTAATATTGTCAGATAACAAAAAGAAAATAGGCAAGAAACAAACATTAATGTATTCTAATGTCTTTTTATCATATAAACACAAGAATGGAAATGTCAGCTAGTTGATAAACTTGTCAGGTGTATGTATAAAAATGTTGTTAATCATACCTACAAAAAAGAAAAACCTTAGAAGATGTAGCATCTTAATTCAAGGAATGAAAGTTAACTAGTAGGATATTAATGCCAGAAATAGAAATGCAAAGAAGAAAATACCTTTAAGTAAGAATAGTTTATAAATATCAGCTATAACACTAAACAAAAGCTACTTTTTACTTAAATATAAGTGTATTTTATTGAATTTAGAAGTGATGCACTTATTTTTAAAAAGACTTGCTTGTGCTGGGTGCACGCCTTTAATCCCAGAGCTTGTGAGGCAGGGTCGGGAGGATCTCTGTGAGTTTAAGACCAGCCTGGTCTACAGAGCTAGTTCGGACATCCCAGACTGTTTTGCATAAGAGAAACCCTGTCTCAAAAAAACTTTAAAAAAAAAAAAAAGTGCTGTGAAGTAATATCACTAAAAATTTGAAAAAAAATTATTTGGATTATTATGTAAGGGTTTTAGTTTTACAAAAATGGACCATGAATTATATTTAACTGTTCAAGGTGAAGTACTTAAGGTAGGTATTATTTAAAAGTGACTTTTATTGTTACTGACATTGTGATATTAGCTGACCATCTACATTATTTTAATTTTTAGAACTAAATTTTATATTTATCTGTGTTTGTGCCCCAAACCTTTACATCTTCTTGTATGTGATAATAACAAAGACCCCATACTTGTGGGTGATGAAACCTGGTGATAATTAGCATTGAGTGTATTACCCAACTATTTTATTCTTTGTCTTCCTCAAAGAGATGTACTGCAGTCTTTTTCTTATCAGTTAAAAACAGCTTTAACATACTCATATGTATGCATGTTTCCTTTAATCACTTACTTTTGCACACTATGCAAATAAGATTATCAGGTTTATATACTTCAGTTTTTCACTCTTTGTTTTGAGGCAAGATCTTATTTTATAGCTCTGGCTGGCCTAGAACTCACAGAGATCTGCCTGCCTCATTCTTTTCAGTGCTGGGATTAATTGTCACCCCTGTTGCCTTCTGTTATCCCCCTTCTATTCAGTGAATTCCTTCCCATCAAGACAATAAATATGGGCAAATTGTTTTACTATTGAATATTTCAATTAAAATTCTTAAGAAAATTTTCTTAAATACATTGTAATATAAACTCATAGTCAGTGAGCTTTTTTTAAAAAAAATTTCAACTATGGTCATAGTTTAATAGTTTTAGAATTTCTTAGGATTTCATATTTGAGTGATAAATATACTAGATTACATAGTTTCATCTCTTTCAACTCAAGCTGGAAATCATGATTTTTCTAGGAGAAAGTGTCTTTGAAATTCAGAAGTAATTTCTCAGATTTTTTCCTTGAAAGGTTTTGTTTTTATTTACACAACACATGTTTTGTTTTAGATTTTCATAGTTCTCCCAGCAAGTGATCACTTTGCTTTCAGTTAGTTTATGAATTTACATTAATTAATAATGCAGTGAAACTTTGTGGAACTGTCACACTCAAAAATAGTAAAATGTCACTACTTAAAATTTAAGGTGTCCAAAGATGAAGATGTTCCAATACTCTTAATGTTAGCAAGTACCCAAGTTAAAAGTAGGTTTTTTTTTTTAAAAAAAAAAAAAAAAAAAAGACTAGAGGCAATTTCAAAGTATTGATAAAGGGGACATTGGAAATATTAAACAGTTGTCTTTTCTGTCCAAGGAAACTTTGCTGTATACACTTCTGCATTTTTGTCACTGTTTGTTGTCAATACTTCACATGTGTATGGTATTGGAAGTGTAGGTGATGGAAATAAACAGTGGGCTTAGGTGGCTCAGTCTTTTCAGTTATGCCTGATTGCCTCAAAGTTATGAGGACCTGCGTTCAGGTTCCCAGGACTCATGGAAAAAGCCTGGTGCATATCAATGGTGTAATGAGAGGTACGAGGATCCCTGGAGTTGCTGGCCAGCTAATCTAGATCACTTGGGAGACACAGGCCAATGAGAGACCCTGTCACAAACAAAAGAAGGAAGGTGCCCAAGGAATGACCCTTGAGGTTGTCTTCTGACTCCATACACATGGGCAACCTACACACATGAATGTACATACATATTCGTGTACATACATGCACACAAACTGATGAAAAATACTTCTAAATAAAATTTCCGTAGAAATATGTGGCACTGAAGCTCTAACAAATGTAGTTATTGGGAAGACATATTCAGAACAATAGATAATTTCAAGTTTACCTACAATGGAATAAATATGTTACAAACACAGACTTATTTTCTCATGGGTCTCACTCTTCTGCTTCCCTTAGTTCCATCTTACCATCACCTGTTACAAGACTGTGCTTTTGTCAGTCCTTCCTTTACTTCTGAGGTTTATAATCTTGTCAGTCCTACTTCTTAACTTACAAATATGCTCTACTTTACTTTTATATAAAGCCAAATGCAGGATCACAAATACTTTACCTAACGGTCTTACTACTACTTTACATTTGAGTCTTTGCCTCTGGGTTGCTGGCTGTTTAATCTATGAATTTTACCTAATTTTTCCTATCTTGGTGTTTTTTTTTTTTCTTTTCCTCCTACCTCCCTTTTATTAAAATTAAATAGTTGGAATATTCTGAAAGGACTTTTATCCTGTGTGGTATTTTTTTTTTTTTTTGTATTTTTCAGAGCATTAAATGAAATGTGGAAATGTCAAAATTTACTCCGACACCAAGTAAAGGATTTGCTTGATTTAATTAAACAACCAAAAGTAAGTTAAATTTTAAAGAAAGAATTTTAGAAAGTTTGTATAATCATCACCATAATTGTAGCTTAGTATCTTTATAAGTTTACTGAGAATGAATATTCTAGTGATTTTTATTATGGTGTTATCTGTGTGTACATAGGCTTGAAAACAGTCTCAGGTGTTTCCTCAGTGCTATCTGTTACTGTTTTTTGTGAGTTTTGTTTTGTTTTGTTTTGTTTTGCCATAGGGTCCTTGAGTGATTCTGAAATTGCCTAGTAGCTTAGGCTAGATGGATAACATTAGTCTGGATTTTAGGAGCCATTGAAGCCATAATAGGATCCAGGCAATATGTTAGGAGCTTGGATCAGGTGTGGAATGACTCATTTGCAAACAAGCATGCTTGCTTTTAAGACTCTCACTCTGGAGCTGCTCAGCTGTTGATAGAAACTTAGCCTGGTCAGGAGGCAGAGGCAGGCGGATCTATATGAGTTTGAGGCCAATCTGGTCTACAAAGCTACATAGAGAAACCCTGTCTCAAAAAAAAAAAGAAAAAAAAAAAAAAGCTTAGCATGGTCACATGGCTTCTGTACATTTCACTACATCTAGGATTTAAAAGCAGCTAAAGAGAGATGCAGTCAAGGGGAGCTTGTGTGGGTCTGGAGAGTTGTTGAAGGTGCCTGTGGAATCTTAGGGAATTTTAATTGTGTATTTTTTGTATGTGATTTACAGACAGATGCCAGTGTGAAGGCCATATTTTCTAAAGTGATGGTTATTACAAGTAAGTTGTTTTAAATCTTTATAAGGTTTAAAAGTTAATTGAGGATTTTATGTAATTTAAAGTATATTAGATTTCGGTAATCTAAGAAATTATTAAAGTGTTTTTGCTTGGTATACACCAGACATTTCAGTTTTTCTTTTTCTCTCTGATTTTCATTTATTCTGTGTGCTGTCTAGAGTTTTAAATTTTCCTTAGTATATGAGAAAGCTTGAAAAATAATATATGCGTTTATTTTTGAGAATTGCCATTACATGAGATTAATTGTTAACATTGAGTCTGTGCATTGTTGTTACCTCTTCTGCTGTCAGTCTCTGGCATTAGTTGCCTTTCCCTTACCTTAGTGGTCACTATGTAGCTTGCTGACAAGATCATCGGAACACCTGGTAAAGTGAATGTACCACACTTCACTTGGAAATAATGAAGAGGTCCTGGGCTGAGCTAAATCCTGCAGCTCCATTGGAATGAACACCAGGCACTGGTGAACAGTAACTTAGTGACTGTGTCTTGGTTGCTCACTTAAACTCCATTTTGAAGAGAGCATTTAGAACTAAGGTGCCGCTGAGAGCAGAGCAGCCTCAGCCAGCCCTTTCTTGGAGCTCATCAGCTTCCTGCTTGTCCTCTGCAGTTGGCTGTGGGTGCTGTCCTCTGGAGGGCTTCATTCTCTGTTGTTCTATATTTTTTTCTTTTCTTTTCAATATCCACCAAAAAAATTACAGTCTTTTCTAGTTTGTGTTTCCAGGAATGCTAGTATCCTGCAGTTGTTAATAGTGTGAGAGGGGGAAATAAAAGGATTCCTATGCATTTATAAAATGCTGATTTTTTTTCTTTTGGTGCTGTTTTCTCTTTCTCTGTCACTATTCTTTGTTTTATTTCCCTAAAGAATAGGCTTTAATATGATGCCTATTTATGATAAAGGCGCTCTTTTTTTTAAAAATACTTCTAAATAAAATTTCCGTAGAAATATGTGGCACTGAAGCTCTAACAAATGTAGTTATTGGGAAGACATATTCAGAACAATAGATAATTTCAAGTTTACCTACAATGGAATAAATATGTTACAAACACAGACTTATTTTCTCATGGGTCTCACTCTTCTGCTTCCCTTAGTTCCATCTTACCATCACCTGTTACAAGACTGTGCTTTTGTCAGTCCTTCCTTTACTTCTGAGGTTTATAATCTTGTCAGTCCTACTTCTTAACTTACAAATATGCTCTACTTTACTTTTATATAAAGCCAAATGCAGGATCACAAATACTTTACCTAACGGTCTTACTACTACTTTACATTTGAGTCTTTGCCTCTGGGTTGCTGGCTGTTTAATCTATGAATTTTACCTAATTTTTCCTATCTTGGTGTTTTTTTTTTTTCTTTTCCTCCTACCTCCCTTTTATTAAAATTAAATAGTTGGAATATTCTGAAAGGACTTTTATCCTGTGTGGTATTTTTTTTTTTTTTTGTATTTTTCAGAGCATTAAATGAAATGTGGAAATGTCAAAATTTACTCCGACACCAAGTAAAGGATTTGCTTGATTTAATTAAACAACCAAAAGTAAGTTAAATTTTAAAGAAAGAATTTTAGAAAGTTTGTATAATCATCACCATAATTGTAGCTTAGTATCTTTATAAGTTTACTGAGAATGAATATTCTAGTGATTTTTATTATGGTGTTATCTGTGTGTACATAGGCTTGAAAACAGTCTCAGGTGTTTCCTCAGTGCTATCTGTTACTGTTTTTTGTGAGTTTTGTTTTGTTTTGTTTTGTTTTGCCATAGGGTCCTTGAGTGATTCTGAAATTGCCTAGTAGCTTAGGCTAGATGGATAACATTAGTCTGGATTTTAGGAGCCATTGAAGCCATAATAGGATCCAGGCAATATGTTAGGAGCTTGGATCAGGTGTGGAATGACTCATTTGCAAACAAGCATGCTTGCTTTTAAGACTCTCACTCTGGAGCTGCTCAGCTGTTGATAGAAACTTAGCCTGGTCAGGAGGCAGAGGCAGGCGGATCTATATGAGTTTGAGGCCAATCTGGTCTACAAAGCTACATAGAGAAACCCTGTCTCAAAAAAAAAAAGAAAAAAAAAAAAAAGCTTAGCATGGTCACATGGCTTCTGTACATTTCACTACATCTAGGATTTAAAAGCAGCTAAAGAGAGATGCAGTCAAGGGGAGCTTGTGTGGGTCTGGAGAGTTGTTGAAGGTGCCTGTGGAATCTTAGGGAATTTTAATTGTGTATTTTTTGTATGTGATTTACAGACAGATGCCAGTGTGAAGGCCATATTTTCTAAAGTGATGGTTATTACAAGTAAGTTGTTTTAAATCTTTATAAGGTTTAAAAGTTAATTGAGGATTTTATGTAATTTAAAGTATATTAGATTTCGGTAATCTAAGAAATTATTAAAGTGTTTTTGCTTGGTATACACCAGACATTTCAGTTTTTCTTTTTCTCTCTGATTTTCATTTATTCTGTGTGCTGTCTAGAGTTTTAAATTTTCCTTAGTATATGAGAAAGCTTGAAAAATAATATATGCGTTTATTTTTGAGAATTGCCATTACATGAGATTAATTGTTAACATTGAGTCTGTGCATTGTTGTTACCTCTTCTGCTGTCAGTCTCTGGCATTAGTTGCCTTTCCCTTACCTTAGTGGTCACTATGTAGCTTGCTGACAAGATCATCGGAACACCTGGTAAAGTGAATGTACCACACTTCACTTGGAAATAATGAAGAGGTCCTGGGCTGAGCTAAATCCTGCAGCTCCATTGGAATGAACACCAGGCACTGGTGAACAGTAACTTAGTGACTGTGTCTTGGTTGCTCACTTAAACTCCATTTTGAAGAGAGCATTTAGAACTAAGGTGCCGCTGAGAGCAGAGCAGCCTCAGCCAGCCCTTTCTTGGAGCTCATCAGCTTCCTGCTTGTCCTCTGCAGTTGGCTGTGGGTGCTGTCCTCTGGAGGGCTTCATTCTCTGTTGTTCTATATTTTTTTCTTTTCTTTTCAATATCCACCAAAAAAATTACAGTCTTTTCTAGTTTGTGTTTCCAGGAATGCTAGTATCCTGCAGTTGTTAATAGTGTGAGAGGGGGAAATAAAAGGATTCCTATGCATTTATAAAATGCTGATTTTTTTTCTTTTGGTGCTGTTTTCTCTTTCTCTGTCACTATTCTTTGTTTTATTTCCCTAAAGAATAGGCTTTAATATGATGCCTATTTATGATAAAGGCGCTCTTTTTTTTATTATTAGTTCAAATTAGGAAGAAGCTTGCTTCACATGTCAATCCCTTCTCCCTCTCCCTCCCCTACTCCCAACCCTCCCCCCAATGCCCTACCCCATCCACCCTCCACTCCCCAGGCAGGGTAGGGCCCTTGATGGTGGCTCCCTAAAGTCTACCACATGATCCTGGGCTGGGCCTAGGCCCTCCCCCATGTGTCCAGGGCCAGAGTGCATCCCTTCATGTGGGATGGGCTCTTAAAGTCCCTTCTTACACCAGGAAAAAATACTAATCCACTACCAGGAGCCCCCTAGAGTGCATAAGCCACCTAATTGACATTCATGTTCAGGGGTCTGGATCAGTCGTGTGCTGGGCTTCCAGACAGCATTCTAGGGTCCATGTGCTCCCCCTTTTTCAGGCCAGCTGTTTCTGTGGGGTTCACCAGTCGGGTACCCACCCCTTTGATCTTCATTCCTCCCTCTCTGCAACTAGGTTCCAGAGTTCAGTTCAGTGTATATCTGTGGGTGTCTGCCTCTTCTTTGCATAAGCCTCTGGATGAGGGCTCTAGGATGGCATAAAAAGTAGTCACCAGTCTCATTATAGGGGAAGGGCATTTAGGTTATCCTCTCCATCATTGCCTAGATTGTCAGTTTGTGTCATCCTTGTAGATATCTGGAAATTTCCCTAGTGCCAGATCTCTCCTCATACCTATAATGGATTTTCAGAATTGTGTGTTAATTTGAAGAACAAATTTTCTGTCACTTTAAGAATAAATTTACTGTCACTTTATTTCTAATTTCTTTTATTAGTTGTCTTAGTCTAGTTTTTTTCTAAGCAACTAAATATCGAGGAAAGATAAAACTCATTGAAGCCAGTACTTTGTTAGCTGTAGGAGCTGTGAGGCACATGCGAAAAGAGGGCTGTGGTGGTTTCTCCAGAGAGTGGCTCTTTCTTGTCAGTAGGGCTTAAGCCAGCAGTGTGTCTCACCACCACATGCTGCATGTCTGTGTAGAGAATCGGGGAGTGTTTTAACAGTGCAAAGAAGACACAGAACATAATGATCTGTCCCTCCTAGGAACTTCTGCAGGACAGTGTAAGCAGTGTCTTAAGGAATAGATGGTTCTGCTTAGGCTGACACTTAGTGTCTTCAAATACTGTAAGAGGCTCTTCAGAAAGAGCTCATCCTCACCTACAGATTTATCTTCATTCAGATACTTTTTCATATTTTCTCCAAAGCAGATTTCTCTCCCAGATTTTGAGTATAGATGACGCCTCACAATTTGTTAAACTAAGGGCAGTTTTAGATAAATATTACTAGAATTAGAAAAATTAGTTTGAGAAATTATGAAACTTTATTTTATTTTAAGGAAATTTGCCAGATCCTGGTAAGGCGCAGGATTTTATGAAGAAATTCACACAAGTGTTGGAAGATGATGAAAAAATACGGAAACAGCTGGAAATCCTTGTTAGTCCCACATGCTCCTGCAAGCAAGCTGAAGGCTGTGTGGTAAGGGGGTAATGGGGAGAGCCTGCATGGGGACACAGACCAAACTCTCTTAGTACATCTGCCTCATTTTTACAAAGGAAATTTATGTACATTTCAATTTAGAAAATGTTAAGTAACAACTCAGATAAATTATAGTCCTTTTGCAGAGCGTTGCCATTAATATTTTGATATATATCCCTTCAAAATAAAATCATATTATATATAGATTTTACACATTTCATTTTCATTAAGGTTGGTCTGTTTTTTGGGGGGGTGGTTTTTGGTTTTTTGAGATGGGATTTGTCTCTGTAACAGTACTAGCTGTCCTGGAACTTGCTATGTAGATCAGGCTGACCTCAAACAAAGAATCAGCCTGCTTTTGCCTCCCAAGTGCTGGGGTTAAAAAAAGGAGTGTACCACCACTGCCCAGCTCATCCATTTCTTATAGTATTAAATTTCATATCTCATAGCATGCCATTCATATGTGCACTATAGATTACTGAATGCTGTCATTCAGAGGACTTTTCACCCTTCCTTCCTCTCTTTTTCCTTTTGGAGTCAGGTCTTGCTGCCCAGACTAGGCTGTTGCATACATTCCTTCCTCAATTTCCTCAGAGACTGTATTTTCACACTGTGCCTCTGGCTATCACTTTCGTAGCTGAGTATCTTTACACATCTTGATTCCTACACATTTTTTTTTTTATTTAGTATTTTTTTTTATTTTAGGAGCACTCTTACTTACATATCAATCCCCCCATTCCCTCGGCCTCCCATCCTCCCATACTTCCCTCCTACATATTCTTAGACATCTAATCACATGGGTTTAAAGACCCATTTTTAATGCTGTCCACTCGTTAGAAACAAAACCCAAGTAAAAACAAATAAGACAAAGTTATTTTGATAGGAATTGTGTTTTTTCAGTTGCTTAGTTTCTGACCACCTTTTTCCTTCAAGTTTTTTTTTAACCATTTATGTTTCTTTTGTTAGTTGAATGTTTATAATCTTTACCTATTTTTATAGAATATTTATCTTGGAATGGTTAGTTTGTAATATGTCATTGTTAAGTTGCAAATCATTTTCTGTCAGCTATATTTTGCCCTTTCCTTTTGTTTCTGATGTCCTTTTATATCATGATTTCTGATTTTGCCTAGCTATGGATAAAATATATGCCTTTGGGGTTTGCTTTTGGTGTCTTGATCATGACATTCCATTCTATTACAAGTTACAATGCTTAGTGTTAATTATCAGCTTGACCCATAATGTGGTCTCTGGACACGAATGTGAGGGGTTATCTTGATTATTTGAGGTAGGAAGATGCACTCACTGTGGGTGGCACCATTTTCTAGTCAGGGCATCATGAAAGATGGAGAAAACTGAGCACTAGCATGCCTGCATTCATTTTTCTCTGTTTCTGATTACGGGTATGATGTGACCGGCTCCTTCAAGCTTAGCTGTTAGCCAAAATAAATTCTCTCTCCAGTTGTTTTTGTCAGGGTATTTGATCATAGCAGCAAGAAAACATACTAATACAAGTTAGAAATATTTATTAGTGTTTTTTACTCATATATTTTAAGATGCATTTTAGAAAAAGATTTTTTTGGCTCTTACTCGGGTAGGCTGAATGAGAACCTTCAGAATGATGTCTAGGAATTTAGTTTCTAATTCTTTTTGTTAATTTTGTTTGCTGATTTGTCTCTACATCTCTGCTTTTACTCTTATATTTTTATTCTTTTGAATTATTTTTGATTTATGGCATGAGATAGGTACCTAACCTTGTTATTACTCAAAATATCTGCTCAGTTCTTTTTTTGTTATATTGGATAATGTATATCTTATTTGCTTAGAATAGTAATAATAATGTACATCTTATTTATTTAGAAGATACTTAGTTCTTATTCTAGTTTTTGTTACTTAGCTCCTCTAGAGTTGTGTTTTCCAGTACCAGTACCACAGAATTTTATAGGTTCTTAACATTTTCAAGTTCTGCTATGTTTAAATGTATTTTTGTAATAATTTACAAATCTTCATTTCAGCGTGAAATAACTAAGAAGCTGGGCAACCCTAAACAGCCTACAAATCCTTTCTTGGAGATGATCAAGTTTCTCTTGGAGAGGATAGCGCCAGTACACATAGATACTGAGTCCATCAGGTATTTGTCCTTACAAATATCACGGTTTCTCAGTCATGCATTTAACAGGTTGGTCCCAGTCACCAAACCAGGTGCTTATCAGTATTTGAATGTGCAGTCATCTGTGCACTATACTTGTGGATATAACTTGTGTTCATTCATGTTCAGATGGGTAGCTTTTCTTGCTTCTCATTTTGCTTTCACTTTATTACTTTACTTCAGAGAGCTTAAAAGGCTATCTCTGGGAGGCACAATATTATCTTAAGAGAGCATAGGTGAGATTTTGCTTTTTCAGATACAGGAGAAAGAGTATTCTAAGCATTAAGATTATCATAAGCCAAACTAACTAGATAGGGAAGCGGGTGTTTTGAAAGTAACTGCTGTCTGTTACACTATAGACTAGAGAGGCTTGAGTGCTATGTGCCCAGGATCAGATATGGATGCTACTGACACTGAGCTTTGGGGCTTTTGATTTAACCTTTTAGTCTTTGGAAAACACAGATGGAGGTGGTAAGTAGAGGGGATAGAAGAGAGCTTTCTTGAGCCTTTGTTGTTGTGATAGTCTCTGCATAGATGCTAGTATGATGGGAGAGAAGGAACATATTTGAGGAAGGTTTGAAAAAAGCATTCCTAAGCTACTGCTTCCTGACAACACATGAGGTAAGGAGTCAGGGTACAAGGGTTCAAGTGCAAGTAATGAATCCTTATGGCTTGAAGGGTTGAAGGGGATAAAAAGGCCTTTTTTTTACAACATGTAATTATTATTTTGACATGGAAAGAAATTACTTTTTCCCTTCCTTTCCTTCCTCCCCTTTCTGTCTTTCTCTGTCTTATCTTTATTTAGATAGGTTCTCATGTAGCTCAAGTTGTCCTTGAATTCACCTTATAGCTGAGGGTGACCTTGAACTCCTGATCCTCCTGTTTTTACCTTCCAAGTGCTGGGATCACTGGAATAAGCCACCACATCTGGCTACATGTTTTTCCCTGTAATCAAGTAACATTGAGCTTAAAATGAAATTATGAGAATTGACTTAAGTAGAAAATGAAAAATACTATGGACAGATATGGAAACATTTTTACAGTAGGAAAATCAGAGATATAAGAAAACCAAGTTGTTACAGGATTCTAAACTTTAAAAAAAATGGTGAAACTTTTCATAAGTAAGGTATATGCTGTATATGAGCTGACAGACCGAGGACCAAGAGCAGACCCTTGGTTTCAGCAATCAGGAATTTACAGTAATCCAGAAGGTCTGTTAGAGCATAAATAATAACAAGAAGTAGCAGTTTCTGCTTATAATATATGTGGGAGAATTCTAAGCATTGGTGACTTTTGGAATGGGAACTGCCTTCCAGGTATGAGACAATGGCTTAGGTGTTAAATTAGACTCAGGAAGTGGCTGCAGAGCCACCAGAGAGATGCTACAGTGGTCCCTCAGGCAGTCAGACTCCAGACAGTGCCCCTTCAGTTTCTGCATTTTATAGGTGGGGGAATGGAAGGTAGCACCTTTAAGTTTTGTTTTTGTTTTTGTTTTTATTACAGCTGATGAACATTTGCAAATAAGGAAAAACAATTTTCCCCAAACATTACATTAGCTAATTACATTTCTTATGGGAACTTAAGATTAACATTTTTGTTTTCTAGTAACTGATTACAAGAATGATAAGAGTAAGATCCCAATGTTTTCTTCTAAATATATTAATAAGTAAATTGCACAATTATATTTGGTTTTTGCTTTTGGTTTTCCTTTTTTTGACTTTGGTATGTTAAGTACTTTCATTTTCTATATTTTCATCTGTAATTGGTCTGGAGTTCAGTGTAATATGAGCATCAGGATTCAACAGTTTTTGTTGTACACAGTAGCTGGTTGTACTAGCTTAATCATTTAAAAAATTGATTGATTCACATTTGATTTGAAGTGTTTCCTCATTGTTGGACAAATTCTTATGTGTTTTGCATGGACCCATGATAATTTTGCTGAGGTTTTTTTTTTTTTTGGCAGATTTGTCTCACACACCTCTTTCCCACACTGTTTGGCAACAGGCATGCATTGGTCTTCAGATGGGCAGGAGTGTACATGGATTCAGACTTCCCTTTTCCCGAGGACATGAGGGTTCTGTTTGCAACTTGTATTCCTCATTATTTATGTATTTGGCTTCTCAGTGTGAATATATTTCCCCCTCTGTGCTTTTCAGCTGACTTTCGCTGATACAGAAAATTACTGTTGTTCTGAGAGCTTTGTTTTATCACCTTGCTGACTTCTATTAATTTCTTAGGCTAACATACTGAGTGTGTTTCATTATATATGATGTTATACTTATCATTTGTTCTTTGCTGAATACTTAAGTAGCTTTTAAAATAGTTTTTTCAACTTGTCATTTTTCTGGCCGATGAGTCCCCCAGTCTATGTGTGTGATTCGCTCTAGTTCTGCTGCTTTCTGTCTTCTTCAGAGCCCCCATTCTTAGCAGCCCCAGAGAAGGAACTTCATCTTCTGTCAGGACTTTCTTTGCAGTCCTTGTTGGCTGATAGAATTAATGTGTGTGCTCACTTACTTGTGGCCTTCCTACCCATTGTTATAGAAGAAAATTAAAATTTTTAAATGTTTCTACTGTACTGTTGGGAATATGGCTTAGGTTGGAGATTTTCTCCTTTTTTTTTTTTTTTTTTTTTTTTTTTTTTTTTGAGACAGGGTTTCCCTGTATTGCTTTGGAGGTGTCATGGGACGAGGTCTTGTAGACCAGGCTGGTCTCACACTCACAGAGATCCACCTGTTTCTGCCTCCCAAGTACTAGGATTAAAGGAGTGCGCCACCAATGCCCAGTGGGTTGGAGATTTTCATTTGGGCAGTTGGAGACATGAGAAATAGGGAAAGCTAATTTTATAGAAACAGGGAAAACTTCTGGAAATAACAAATAAATGGAAACACTTGACAGAACTAAATGTGTTTTTTTATTAAATTTTTATTTAAATTAAAACAATCTTACTTGAAATAAATGTTTTCAATGTGTACATGTTTGTATATGTGTATGTGCATAGAGTAGTACATATGCGAAGACCCGTATTTGGGATTTGGAACAACTTGCAGGGTCAGGTCTACTGTGTGGGTCCTATAAATCAAGCTCAGGTCATCAGGCTTGGTGTCAAGGGCCCATAAACCCTGAGCCATCTTGTTAGCCAGAAATAGACTTTGTAGGTAGGAAAATTTTAAACTCTTGTTAGAGAGACAGCTATACTTCATTCTTTGATACTAAATTTGAACACAAACTATTTTTTTGAAGAAGTAGCTCTACTAAATATTTCAAAAAGCAGTGAATAAATTTTATTTTGGCATTTTTTATATTTCCATATTGTTACTTTATTACTTGATGTTTATAAGAAGAGCAATGGCACGATGGCTTTAAATCATTGTCAGTGAATTACTAAATTTAGTTACAATAAGGTCAGCCTCTCTTTAAAGTTGGAAAACATTGTTGTGCTTTGTCTAGTGTTCTCTTTTACAAGGTTTTGTTGTATCTGATAAAATTCTAGAGGCAGGTCTGTGGTTTCTGACTCTTGAATCTTTGACACAAACCCATGTTGTATTTTTAGAGTGCTTAGTGCTGCCCTTTGACGTGTATTTTAGACAAAATCATTTGTATATTTGATGCTAGGCCTTCTCTGGAAAAGACACTAGTAAAACTACAGGTGACATTCAAAAAGGGCAAATCAGGTAACTCTTTGGTTTCTTTTGAATGAGGGAAGGAAACGAACTGATTTTGAAAAGATATTTTTCTGTAGTATGTCTTATAATAATGTTTGGTTAATAACCATATAAAATATGTGTAGTTTTTTAATATTTAGGGACTTTTCTCAGATACAGTTGAAAGAAATAACCCTTTTGTTTTCTTGTCATACTTTAGTGCTCTTATAAAGCAAGTGAATAAGTCAATAGATGGGACAGCTGATGATGAAGATGAGGGTGTTCCAACTGATCAAGCTATCAGGGCAGGCCTTGAGCTGCTGAAGGTAAATGCTTGTCTAAACTTATTTCTAATTAGACAACTGGGCTTTTTTGTTTGTTTGTTGTTGGTGGTGTGTGTGTGTGTGTGTGTGTGTGTGTGTGTGTGTGTGTTAAAGGCAGGGCCTTACTGTGTGTCTGACACTTGCAGTGTAGACACAGGGTTCTGCTTAAGTTGCTTTCCAGGTTCTGACCTTGGGGGTTTATATTGCTTATTCTTAAGATTTGCTTCTCCAAGATTTACAACCTAATCAGAAAGGTTTCTTGAGCCAAGCGGTGGTGGCACACGCCTTTAATTCCAGCACTCGGGAGGCAGAGGCAGGCAGATCTCTGTGAGTTCGAGACTAGCCTGGTCTACAAGAGCTAGTTCCAGGACAGCCTTCAAAGCCACAGAGAAACCCTGTCTTGAACCTCCCCCGCCCCCCAAAAATAATTTTTTTCCCAGTTTTAATTTGTTATCGAACTTGATGTTAGTTTAGAGGATGTAAACTGAGGGCCCATTAATGATGACAGGGGTTGCTGCTGTGATATAGAGTGAGCCTTTTGATGACAATACACATGTCACTTTGTTGTTGACAGCTTAATATTAACAAAGTATTCATGAGCCTTTTGTTCATAAACACTATTTTACATTTTCCTTTTAATCAGTTTTATTTAGTTTAAAACCATGCTGATTTCTATTTTGTTCTTTTTTCATTAAAGGTAAGCATTTTGCAGTGATATCTTTTCTTCCCCCCTCTCCCCCTCCTGGGTGCCTTTTTAAAAATTTCTTTTGAGACAGTGTTTCTTTGTTTCTCTGTGTAACCCTGGCTGTCCTGGAACTCACTTTGTAGACCAGGCTGATCTCAAACTCAAAGATCTACCTGCCTCTGCCTCCCCAGTGCTGGGGTTAAAGGTGTGTTCCACCATGCATGGCGGTAACAAAATTTTTAAGCATGTTGTTTTTCAGCCGTTATTGAGATGGGCTGAGTGGTTGGGGCATTGCTTGCCTCTGAACAATTCCTCTCATGTAATAGTCTCTTAATGTCTCCCAGAGAGGTCCATCATATCACACATCATCTTTTAGTGCCTACTGGCTCCTAGCAGAAATAATAAATGTGAAATGCTGACTACTCAACTTCAGTGTATGATAACATTGCTGCTTTCTTATTGTGGCTAATTTGATTTTCCATATTTTATTCATGTAAACAGTAAATATTCATGTAAAGTAAATATTTTTGTGTAATGTCTTATTTTTTAAAGACAAAGTCATTAAAACTTTTATAGACACAATTTATTGTGTATAAATTTTTATGTTGTCTTACAGAGAAATTGTATATAAAAACATTTTTAATATCATTTTACAGAGAAATAGTTTCTACAGACCATCTAGAATATGTGAAAGTACCAGTCTCTTTAATGTTCACAAGCATATCATGCTGCTGTTTTAGAAAATGTGCTAATCTGCTGGGTACAGGCAGTATTGTGATTTCTGCATTGTTACTAGTGATCTACCTCTGTACATTAACAATTTCTGTTTCCCATTCACTTCTCATCCTTTATATATCTACTGATGCCTCAATATTCTCTTTAAAAATTTGATTTGAATGAACTTTTAACTTACTTTGCTTTTTTATGGGAAATAATTGATGAATAAAATTATTATAATTAGGTTATAAACTGTGGTATCACAATTAATACTTGTGAAAAATAAGTAGAATGTTATTCAGTCAGTTTTGTCATGTTGACAAAGTATCTAAAAAGGTAAATTGAGGGGAGGACTTATCCTGCCTGGCTCCTGATTTCTCAGACCTTTGTCAGTTGATTCCCTTTGTCTCTTGACCTGTGATGAGACAAGATTATCATGGCAGCTCAGGGAATGGCAGCAGGGGGCACCTTGTAGACTAGGGATGTTTATTTTGTAGCAGATGAGAAACTCAAACAAAATAAGGGTATGGGGACTAGATATATACCCTTCTAAGTCACCTTAGTTGTGAATTCATCAGTGGGTTAATCCATTGGGGAAGTTAGAATCCTCATGGTCCAAGTAGTTTTCTTGTAAGCCAACTCTTAATGCAGGAGCCTTTGGGAGGCACTTTTAGATTTAAACTATATTATTCCACCCTGGCTTCTGAAGCTCATGTTCATCTCATATGGAGCTTCGTTTTTTTTTTTTTTTGTTTGTTTGTTTTGTTTTGTTTTTTTCCAGATCTGTTGTTTTTAAACAATTCACCTTCAAAATGTTTGAGAGTCAAGGCATGTCTTTGCTGAGAGTACCTGTTAAAACTCATAAACAAATTGCATACTCTCAATTTGCATAAGGTCTACATGTCTGTCTATTCCCAAAGGGAGGAATGGGTGCATAGAAAGGAGAGATTGGACTGAAGCAAGAGCAGACTCCAGCAAAGGCAAACACTGAACCCTGAAATTCTGTGTCCCTCATCTCTGGCACAAAGGGCTTGGGCAGCCCTGCTCCTATACCTTTTCTTGCTAAAGGACCTGTAGTCATTCTTTTTGTTTGTTTGGGTGTTTTATTTGTTTTTAGTTTTTCGAGACAGGGTTTCTCTGTGTAGCTTTGGAGCCTGTCCTGGACCTGGCTCTGTAGACCAGACTGGCCTTGAATTTACAGAGATCCACCTGCCTCTGCCTCCCGAGTGCTGGGATTAAAGGTGTGTGCGCTGCTGCCGCTACTGCGGCCGCCGCCGCCGCCGCTGCCGCCGCCACCACCACCACCACCCGGCAGGACCCATAATCATTCTTATGGGTTGGTTCTGTACATTGCCTAGAATTTTCTCAGCAGACATTTTGTGGTCTGGCATTTCTGACTTCTGAGGTCTTCAATACAGCCGCACTGGGGTTCACTCTCAGGGGCTGCCAATAGGGAATGTGATACTGCTTTAAAATCTGCCTGGAAATCTCCTTGACTTCACAACAGTTGCATTTTTGCATGCCTGAAAAGCTAGCAAGCATTACATTACATTACAAGCCAGAGTTTGTCACCAGATCAAGCAGAAGCTGGACATATTTGGACTGTGGCAGCAGCATTTTGCTGGGAAGAATTTCTGGGCAAACTACTACTTATATGAGCAGGGCATGTTAGAACTCTGTTGCTAACGCCTTTCAAGTAATTTTACACTCTCCTATTCCTGAGTCTGTGTTAGTGTTCTGGTTATCCCTCAAGGCATCTTTCCTGTTGTTCTAATGCAACATATTTGGCTTCTTTTTGCCATCTCTTCAGTAACCATACCTCCTTCTTCAACACACCTTTCCTTATAGGTAAACTGCAGATTTTTTACATCCTTTGTTTTATCTTTTTTGTTTCTTATTCTTGCTGTAAAGCTAACTAAAAGCAGCCATAATCTCCACGCAACATTCCAAATACCAAATTATCTTGGCATTTTCCCTACTAGTTCCTACCATCTCTTTTATAGCCTCATACACATTCTTAGGGCACCAACAAAACAGATGAGTTGCTAGACTTCAACACGGCTGCCTCTCTCTAGCCCAGTTCCCAGTAGAACCCTTGGTCAAACCTATAGTCCTTTCTGTTACTGACAGCATCTGTTCTTTCACATTCCATCTGGAATCTCTCAGTACATTCCAGGTAAGGCATTCTAGCCTTTTTCTAGCCAGCCTTCCTAAGCTTTTCCAATTCTTTCCATAAACCAGCGTCAAAGCCTTCTGAACTGCCTGATCAGATGTGGTCATAGAAATGGCGCCACTTTTCAGTATCCATTTTCTGTTTCAGCCAGACTTTCATCACTGTGACAAAATACCTAAGCAAACCAAAGGACAAAGGATGTAATAGGCTTATAGATTTCACTCCATTGTCACTTGTCTTTATTGTTTCTGGGCCTGTGATGGGGCAGAAACTTAATAGGAGTAGTACAGAGTAGACTGTAGCTGCTTATCTTCTGGCAACCAGGAATCAGAGACAGAGTAGAAGAGTTATATCCATGAAAGGCATGCCCCAAGTACCTACATTTTGTATTCAAACCATATGAAACCATACACTATGTTTACTCAAATTACATTGGGTATTCAAAATGCTATATTAGTTTCCTGAGTGTTTATTTTTAAATCCCTGCAATCAAATCTATCGTATAGTTCCCTGAAATTTCTATTTATTCTTTTGAACTTTTAGCTTTCTTATTTACATCTTTGTATATAGCTCTAAATAACATTATTTTGATTATTTATAAATCTTTGAAATATGACATTATATAGTAATTTTTGTTACTTAGGATTTTTACATTCTGTATTTGAATTCCATTAATCTACACTTGCAATTCTATAATTGGGCTGAGAAGATGTCTCAGTGAGTGAAGTGCTTGCCCTATAAGCAGGAGGACCTGAGTGTGGATACTCAGACTGGGGGCATGTGCCTTAAACTCTATAGAAGAGATAGGCAGGACCTAGGGACTTGTTAGCTCTCTCTACCAGCTGAAACTGTGAGCTCCAGATTCAGTGGGAGACCCCAAAAACAAAGGTGGGGAGTGATAGAAAAAGACACTCAGAGTGACCACTGACCACCACATGCTCACAGACAAATGAGCACACACACACACACACACACACACACATCCAAAGGGTTTTGTTTGTTTTACTTTAAACACAACCTATTATTTTGCAAGAATTTATAAAGAAATGTTTGGTAAGATTTTCTCATACTAGATATGTTGTTTTTTTATTTTCTGTTGCCTGTTTTTGTTTTGAGGCAGGTCTCACTATATAGACCTGGCTGGCTTCAAACTCAGAGATCTACCTGCCTCCTGAGTGCTAGGATCAAATGTGTGCACCACTAGACCCAGCTCAATTGCAGTTTTTTGTTTTTTGTTTTTTGTTTTTGTTAATTAGCTTTTGTTTTTGAGACAGGGTCTTGTGTAACCTTGGCTGGCCTTACATTTCAGATAGTTGAGGATAACCTTGACTGTCTTATCCTCATATGTCCACTCTCTTATAATGAGATTATAGTCATGTACCACCACTTTCAGTTATATGCAGTGTGGAGATCAAACCCAGGGCTGTGTGCCTGCTAGGCATGCAGTCTCCCAAGCTGAGCTCCATGCTGTTGCCTTCTTTAAAGTCGATTATGATCTGTGTCTAGGTTCTTAGAAACGTTGATCTTGTTGTTTTATCTTTTTGTTTGATGATTTTCTTTACTGCTTTTGCATTGTTGATTTGGTTATTGTACTTACAGTATATCTTATGACCTGGTAAGTATACATTTCCTAATTTACTTTAGAAAATTTTTTGTTGTTGTTGTTTTTTTTTTTTTGGTTTTTTCGAGACAGGGTTTCTCTGTGGCTTTGGAGCCTGTCCTGGAACTTGCTCTGTAGACCAGGCTGCTCTTGGACTCACTGAGATCAGCCTGCCTCTGCCTCCCGAGTGCTGTGATTAAAGGTGTGATCCACCAACGCCTGGTCTAGAAAAATTTCTTACCTAGTCTCTTCTAATGGTTATTTAGAAAAAAAAAAAGAGTGATGTTTTATTATATTTCCTATATGTTCCCTTTTCTTCTATCCTCATGCCCTTCCCCTGGGAAAAAAAATAAGCATCAATCAAAATTCAGATTTTTAAAAAAATATTTATTTATTATGAATACAACATTCTGCTTCCATGTGTATCTGCACACCAGCAGAGGACACCAGATCTCATAATGGATGGTTGTGAGCCACCATGTGGTTGCTGGGAATTGAACTCAGGATCCCTGGAAGAGCAGTCGGTGCTCTTAACCTCTGAGCCATCTCTCCAGCCCTCAAATTATTTTGACTAGAAATATATTCACATTACACATAGGAACATAGCACAGTTAATCTTGAATTGGTTATTGATTAGTATTATTTCTAATAGGTACTTTAGGTGTATTTCATATTACAAACATGAAAAGATTTTACAGATAATGTTTATAAACCCTTTGCAGGTACTCTCTTTTACACATCCCATCTCATTTCATTCTGCTGAAACATTTGAATCCCTTCTGGCTTGTCTGAAAATGGATGATGAAAAGGTGGCAGAAGCTGCCCTACAGATTTTCAAAAACACAGGGAACAAAATTGAAGAGGATTTCCCACACATCAGATCGTGAGTTGGGCTTTTTCTGATAAATACTTTGTATATACTTTTGATTGAGTTCTGTAGTAATTGGGTTTTGAGGAAAATTGTTATAAATTATGCTAGAATGTAGACTTGTTTCTTGTGAGAAAGCATTGGTTGGCATTTTAGATTTGTAAGATGGAAGACAGGCATGGTACATCTTTGTGATGCTTTACTGTTGCTTAAAGACTTAAAAACCATTTCATAAAGTAGTTACTGGTGTATAATAGCACAGGATGGACAGTTCACATGGATCTAAGGCACAATAAGAAATTTCAGAAAGGCTATGTGTGTGTGTGTGTGTGTGTGTGTGTGTGTGTGTGTGTTTGTACACACCTTGCAAGCTCACTTGTACCTGACACATGGACATGTCATAGGACTACTCTCAGGAGAGTCAGTTCTCTTCTTCCTTGTGGGTTCCATGAGAAATGAATTCAGATCATCTCATGTTCGCTCTAAGTACTTTTGTCTACCGAGTAATCTTGCTGGTCAGTGTCCTCTCTGACTAAGGGTACTCCATTATTTTTATGACAGGGCACTTAATAAAGAGAAGCAGGAAAACATGGAATACTCATCTTTATAGTAGTACAGTGTTTCAATGCTCTAGTGTTTCCAGCAATTGGAAATTGATAACCTGTAGAGAATCTCTGTTAAGTGTTCAAGATTCTGTAATCTCCCAATAGACTATATTTTTATTCTTTCTGTCATCACTTGCTTTTTGTACATCTTTCTCCCCAGTTTCTGGAGAGAAGATCCACATGTGGTCATGATGTTACAGGTGATTGTGTCACTGTAACTGAGGGCCAAGAGCTACTCCTTCCAGGGAGCTGTGGTTAGGGTTGGATGCTTCTTCAGAATTATCTATGATCATTTCCCTCAGTCCACATTAAACTTTTAGAGGGAGGTATAATTTTTATTCTTCTGTTCTGGTCATGTGAACTGGAGTGCAATTAAGAAACCATTGGTAAGCACTCGGGAGGCAGAGGCAGGCGGATCTCCGTGAGACCAGACCAGCCTGGCCTACAAGAGCTAGTTCCAGGAAAGCCTCCAAAGCCATAGAGAAACCCTGTCTTAAAAAAACCAATAAAGAAAGAAAGGAAGGAAGGAAGGAAAGAAGGAACCATTGGTAAATAGGACAAAGGTATTATTTCAGTGGTAATCCAAACCTACTAGAATTGGGGAATGGAGAGATGATGACTCAGTGGTTAAGAGCATTGGCTGCTCTTGTAGAGGACCTGAGTTTGGTTCCCAGCACCCACATACTGGCTCACAACCAACTGTAACTCTACTTCCACAGAGACTGACACCCTCTCCATGGGCACTAGACATGTATATGTTATACATACAAACGTACAGATAAATGGTCATCTACATAAAATCTAAAAAGCAAAAAACCTACCAGAATTTTATAAAAGTAGTCTTTTTGGTAAGAATAAGCAACATTATTGTTTGGAGCTGTCTTATTAACTTTTAAATGAGTTCTTAATGTATACTTTTCCATGGGATGATGCTCTTGCTACACAAATCAGATCAGAGAGCAGAGTGGCTTTCCACCTGAACTGTATATAACTATATACCATATATTGTATCTTTATCTGATAGGCTATCTCAGTTAAACTGTCTTCTATTCAATAGAATGTGGTTATTGATCTAAGTGAGGATTCTAACATCCAGGCAGGCAAATAGTTACAGCTAGCAAGTAGAAAATCTGTGATTTGAATTTAGGCATGATTCCATTAGCCATGAAACTATATCCCTTTGGGCATAGTTTCTATTTTCTTGTTATTTCTCTTTCTTACTGACTTTTTTAGTTAGCATGTAAGATAATGGGTCTCATTACATACACACATTCTCAAACATAAATCTGTATATGTATATATGTATATGTATATGTCCTTTTACCTCACTTATATCTGCCCATTCCACTACATAAAATCTTTTTTTTTTTTTTTTTCCTATCCACTGAACTCTGGACATTTTGGATATTGTGAGTGGTATAGCAGTAACATGAATTTACAAACACTTCTATGACATCCTTAATATTCCTTCTGGTATATACCCAGGAGAGATATAACAGGATCACTTGGTTATTCTATTTTTAGTTTTTTGAGAAAACTGCTTACTGATTCCCATAGCATTCCTTCCAGGTCACATTGCCGTCAGCCATGTATAAAATTCCATTTCTCAGATATTCTCAATAGTACTTGTTGTTTCTTGATGAGATGGAATCTCCAGGTGTCTTAGCTAGGGCTTCTCTTGCTGTGAAGAGACACCATGACCACGGCAACTCTTATAAAGGAAAACATTTAATTGGGCAGCTTACATTTTTAGAGGTTTAGTCCATTATCATCATGGTGCTACATGGTGGTGTGCAGGCAGACATGGTGCTGGAGAAGCAGCTGAGATCCTACATCTTGATTGGCAAGCAACAGGAAGTGGTCCTTCTTACTGGATCTGGTTTGGGTATATATGAGACTTCAAAGCCCGCCTCCACTGTGACATACTTCCTCCAACACGACCACATCTCCTCCAACAAGGCCATATCTCCTAATAGTGCCACTCCCTCTCCCTTTTGGAGGCCATTTTCTTTCAATCCACCACACAGTGTAATTTTGCTATGCACTTTTCTGCTAGCTAAGGGGGTTGAGCACTTTTCCAATTTTCTTTTTTCCTGGTCTTATTTTTGTAAATGTCTATTTCACTAATTGGCCGTCATTGATTCACTTTGGGGTTGGGGATTTTTGTTTGTTTGTTTGTTTGTTTGGTGCTTTAAGTTTTGAGATACTTTATAAATTCTAGATACCAATTTTCTATCAGATAAATAGCTGGTAACTTTTTCTCCATTCTGTATACTATTGCTGGTGTTTCCTTTGCTGTACATTAGGTTTTGAATTCCATGAAATCCCATTTTTTGATTCTTGGGATTATTTCCTGAGCTGTTGATATTCGTGGCCTATGCTTGTATACTGAAGTTGCCCTCTAGAATTTTCAGAATCTTACGTTAAGGTCTTGTATCCACTTTTGTTCAAAGTGAGATTTTTCTGCATGCTGAAGAGTTCTAGTTTTTCCTGTACCAACCTAAGAGGCCCTTTCCCAGTGTATACTTTTGTCACTTTCATCAAAATTTAGGAGTCTATGTTTGTTTTTTAAAACATCTCTTGTGACTTTGGTTTCAAGTTTGCTTTATTACTTTTCTGAATAGTGATGCACGCCTGATTTGCTTCCATTCACTCTTGAGTCTGTGAATATATGCCATTGAAACATGTTTTTTAGATAGAGCAGATAGCTGGACCTTGTTTACTATTCACACAGCTAGCCTATGACTTTTACTTGCAGAGTTAACAACATTTGTGTTTGGTTAGTGAGAGAGGTTTGCTAGTCCCTGAACTTTTGTGATTATTTTTCTAATTGGTTGGATTAATGTTCGTTCCTTCATATCTTCCCTACAGTAGTATTAGTGTGTTGAGGGCTCACATTGTTGAGTGTCATAGATTCCTTCCCCTGTCTTCTCTCTTTGTGTTTTTCTCACATGAAGTTGGTTTCCTCTGCTGTGCTATTGAGACAGTTTCTTTTCTGTGTGTGGTGTTCCTGTTTTTTTTTTTTTTTTTTTTTTTTTTTTTTTTTTTTTTGTATTATTATGTGAGCTTTCCTTGAGATGTGAATGTTTGTCTATTTACCTCAGGTAGAACATCATTGACAGACAGAAAAAATGAATTCCACCCAAGTTTTACTTAGTGAACCATTGAGTTTATTGGGGTTATCTGTAGGAATGTGGGTGAGAGGTTATTTATAGGGCTTCAGTGATTCAAAGGCAGCTGCAGCGGCAAAGCCAGCATGGAGACAGCTGATAAAAGTATTCCTGGGGCTTCCTGCCCCTCCTGCATGTGGTGCCATCTGCTTTTGCAGCCTTGTGGAGGGCTCTCAAATCTTCTGACCTTACCTAGTCTGGTAGGTTTCATCAGGTTCTTAATCTCTGTAAGTTTCCTAATCATAGCCCCCTGCTTCTCTCCAGGAGTAAAAGGGTTCAATTCTGTGAAAATAGCAACACTGTAACTGGGTTGGTGCTAAGGTGTGGCTTTGGTTCATGCATGTTTTGGACTGTCCCTATCTCCTGGTCAATTTTGAAAGATACTTTTGTTGGATCTAGGAATCTGGTTGGCATAAAATACATGAATCTGCTGTCCTGGTTTTAGGGATTTTGTGGGATAGTTTGATAGAATTCCTATGTGTTTGTATTTGTGGGTTGCTGCTTTCCTCCTATGTCTTTAAATATATTGTCTTTGCTTTACCCTTTCTGTGTCTTGACTGTGATGTGTTCTGAAGAGGTTCTCTGGTCATGTCTGTTTGGGATTTTAAATCCTTGTGCTTGGATGTCCATTTTGTTAGATTTGGGAAATAGTCTACAATTTTATTGAATAGACTCTTCGTGCCTTTACTTTTTACTGACTTCTGCATGGATTTGTAAGTTTGGCATTGATCATATCTGAGTGTTGTTAGAAGTTGTTGTCAGGATCATTTATTTACCTGTTTTCCTTCCAGTGTCTGAATATTTTGTTTTCTTGGTTTTGTCACAGTCTCATGTGCTCTTTGATCTTCATGGTGCAATCTAGTGGTGATGTTTTCCCTTGTGTTTTATATTTTGATTCCTAGACTTTTCATTTCCTACATTTCTAAACCTCTCCCTGCCACCCAGAATTCCAGATTCCTCTGTGATTGTTTCTTTCATCTTGCTGGCTTTCTTACCCATCTTGCTGGCTTTCTTTCTCACCTGTGCTACTGACTTTGTTTTCCATGCTCCTGCTGATTTTGTAACTTCATTCTTCGGCTTATATCCTCTTTGAAGTCATTGATAATTTCTACTTTTGAATTCTTCATCCAGTATTTTACCCATCTTAGTATCCTTGAATTCAGTGGAGGGGTGATGATCTTTTTAAGGACTCTTGTTGGATTTTTTATGTTTCCTGTGTTTCTGAGTTACTATTGACATATCTGTAGTTTTGGCTCTCTTGTAACCTGGGGATCTACTTAGTGAGCACCTAAGTAAGGCTTACTCCCTAACACTACTCAGAGAGGACAAAGCAAACTGCTTTCATACAACTATACCAAACTGCCAGGTGGTGGTGACACACACCTTTAATCCCAGTGCTCAGAAGGCAGAGGCAGGCAGATATCTGTGAGTTCGAGGCCAGCCTTGTCTTCAAAGAGAGTTTCAGGACAGTCTCCAAAACCTACAGAGAAACCCTGTCTCGAATAAACAAACAAAAACAACAAAAAACCAAACAACCATATCAAACTAAGATACAGAAAGATTTAACATAACCAAATGCCACTAATACACCATCAATGACATAAAACTGAAAGTGGCACAAGTGATATAAAATGTGCAATGGGTTAAATCATTTAAGCAAATGTAGATTAGTAATTGAGTAGGTTAAGGAAGGAGCCAGGAAAAGGTGCAGGGGTGGGGGTGGCAAGTAGAATAGAGTAGAATTAACTAAAAGAAAAGAAGCCCATCATGGTGGTACAGGGGAGGCAGAAACAGGCAGATCTGTGAGTTTAAGGTTAGCCTGATCTACCCTAGCAAGTTCTCAGCACTCAGGAGGCAGAGGCAGGAGGATCTCTGTGGGTTTGAGGCCAGCCTGGTCCAGAGAGCTAGTTCCAGGACAGCCAGGGCTCTTTACATAGCCTGCCTGTCTCTGGAGTGCTGGGACTAAAGGCATGCACCTCTACCACCCAGCTGATGGGCTCAGTCCTATGCAGGTGCTCACTTCTGCTGTGGCTTCATGGATGCAACAGTCATGTCATGTCTTGAAGGCAATGTTTGACAGACTCCTCCTGTCCCTTTTACCCCTTCTCTGCAGTGCTCACTGAGCCTTAAGAGAGTGATATAGATGTCCCGTTTAACACTGGGCACTCAACAGTCACTTGTTAGACAAATTATGAATTTCTGTATTAACTGTTCCCTTCTCACACACTAATCTGTGGGTATAAATATGAAATTATCATTTTTTAATTTCATGCTTTTCTTTCCTGCTTTTTTTTTAGAGCTTTACTTCCTGTATTGCATCACAAATCCAAAAAAGGACCACCTCGTCAGGCCAAATATGCCATCCATTGTATTCATGCCATATTTTCAAGTAAAGAGACCCAGTTTGCACAGATATTTGAGGTAATGAAATTTTTTTAATTCATTAAAAAATAAATACTGATTTTGCAGAATATTCTCAATTGGAAATATATTGTGTGCTGTCAAGATTTGAATTATTAAAATCAACATTGGAGTAGTTACAATAGGAAAACTGGTTTTTCATAGGTTTAAGGCTACTTCAGATTCAAAAGTCAAATACTGTATGATACTTTTTGATACTGCTGTATATATTGGTTTTTGGAGAGTTTTCATTGAGTGATTATTGCATATAATCATAGTGACAGTATGTAATGAACTTACTCTGGTAGTTTGCAGGTTTAACAGTTTGAATTCTGACTGTAAAGTGGTCCTAATTGGTAATGTAAACAAGTTTAGATTTAATGACTGAGCTAAATGTGCTAACATTGAAGTGTATTTTTAATGTTTCATACTATTTTCTCTACATGTTAATTAACTTTCACCTTGAGGAGGTGTTTTATTACAGCCAGCTATGAGAATAGCTGCTTTATTAAAACAGAAGCTAGCAGAAAAGTCTGTAAAAAATGATTTATAATTTTATGTCCGGAGTTTTGAATGAAAGTCAAAGCAATTTGGAGACCATTCTAAACTTTATTTTGACACTTTATCTCTGAGGTACAAACTTTTATGGTTAAATTTGTCATATTTTCATGTATCATGCTAAAATACTTGAATTCTGCATCTTTTAAATAGCACTTTGATTTATAATAACAAGTAACTTATCTTAATTTATATGTATTTGGGGATGTCTGTTTTATTTATAAAGATGACTTCATTAATTAATGTTGATTTATAGGAAAATTTTGTTTTTATTGATTAATCTTTTTTTCCTTTTAATGATGGTCACTCTGAGAATAATACTGATATGACTTGGCTTTGTAAAGATTTTGCTGTGCTGTTCTTATAATGTGCAAGATTTGCTGGTTTTCTGAGAAAATACTTTCTCATGGTCACAAGCCTTTTTTGCAGCTGCCAATATTCCATGATTTGGCCATTAATTTTTCTCTTTTCAAAAATAATTTCATTAATGCATTGTGGAAAATTATCATCTAGTAGTAATAAAATAATTGAAAACATATTTATGGAACCATGTTTTTGTTTATAGCGTGACCAACAGAATGATACTTAGATATAGACACAGTGGAAGTATTGAGGGAAATGACTAGGAATAGCAAAAGGTAGAGACCTTTTGTAGAGACCAGAGATCAACACTGTGTGTCATCCTCAATTGCTTTGCACCATGACTTTGGAAACAGGGTCTCTCACTGAATCTGGAGCATTCATTCATCTAGACCAGCTCTCCAGATAACCTGAGGGCTGCTCTGTCTCTGTCCCACAGTGTTGGAATCACTGATGCACTCAGCCTTTTTATTTATGTAGTGTTGAGGGCCCATATTCAGTTGTTGATGCTTGTACATTAAGCACTTTGCCCACTGAGCCAGTTCCCAAGCCCTCACATTTTCATTAAAATGAAGCATTGGTGTTTCTGCTAAGTACACCATTCTAGCCAGGTATTTACTTTCTACAGGTACTGTGTGTTGTCAGTAATGTGTTTTTCCAGAGATACCTTATTCATACACAAGTAAGGATGTAATAAACACACAAATTTTGTGTTTCCTCCCCCTTAACACTTAAGATGGTGTAATTTAGTCATTCTTCTGATTTTCGTATTTTTAAAGTTTATTACCGCTCTTCAGTTCTCATTCTAAGTGAGTATGACATTCTTTTGTTGTAATAAGATACTTACTAATGCCTATCCTGGCACTCGCTCTGTAGACCAGGCTGGCCTCGAACTCACAGAGATCTGCCTGCCTCTGCCTCCCAAGTGCTGGGATTAAAGGTGTGTGCCACCAACGCCTGGCCTAATGGTTTGGTTTTAAATCACATAGAAAATAGTTTTGTTCTGGAATTTAGTATTTGATACTATCATTTTTTCAAGACACTCAAAATTCAGTTAACTATACATAAGAAAAATTGGTTTTGCTATTGAAAATGTTATTTCGGTGTTCAAAAGGCTTAGGAACACATATTCTTTCTGACTAGTGGTTCATTGTGTTCTTACTGGTCTTAAGTCAAGTAGAGTGTGTACCCATGGAGAAGACCCAGTGCTTCTTCTGCCTCAGTGTGGGCAAGTGTGGCCTACCTTATTTTCATTCCCATTTCCTTGACCAGATCTCACATATCCTCCTCCAACTGCAGAGGAAGCTGCAAGGCAGAATCTTCTTTATGCTTTGGAAGGAGGAGCAGAGTGAATATTGATTAGTCCTATCGGTCTTTGACATTCATATACATGGTTGTAAGATATATGCCATATAGTAAGATTGATGCTGAAATGCTTTCTTACCTATTTCTAAAATGTGATTTGGGTAGAACTGAAAATGTTTAAACTTAATGTCTTCTAAATGTTGATAACTTCTATAAAAATCTACACTTGAGTTGCTACTTACACAGGATCTGAACTTCTGTAGTGTTCATAATTCAAAGGTGAAATACAGGAGCAGTTTTATTTGTATCTATAGAGAATTGAATATATTTTCTATCCTTCATTTCCAGCCTCTGCATAAGAGCCTAGATCCAAGCAACCTGGAGCACCTTATAACACCACTGGTCACTATTGGTCATATTGCTCTGCTGGCACCTGATCAGTTTGCTGCTCCTCTGAAGTCTTTGGTAGCAACTTTCATTGTGAAGGACCTTCTCATGAATGACCGGGTGAGTTATGTCTTTAGATTTGTTATCTTCATAGAGTTCTGCATGTAGTTTTATATTAACGAGAGATGGAATACATAACAACACTTCCACTTGGTTGTTTTCATTTAAGGTTTTCACCAGAAATAAAGTAACACTGGCATATCTTTGTTTATACCAGGCATTTGATCTGAAGTAAACCCCCGGGGAGTTGTAAAATAACACCCAATTGTGGCTATTTCGGTTTTACATGAGATGAAATTATATAAGGACATGGAGTTTTGATTAAGTGGTAGACTTTTGGTAAGGAGACAGGAGCTTACTTGGTGGCCCTGATTGGCTTGTAACTGGAGATGTGGATAAGACTGGGCTTGAATTCACAGTGATCTGCTTGTTTGTGCATCTTGAGTGCTGGAATTAAAGTTGTAGACCACCATACCTGACAGGTTTTTTTTTGTGTGTGTGTGTGTGGGGGGGGTCGAGAACCTAGAATCTTGTGGGGGCATTTTGTCACTGAGCCATATCCTAGTCTGGGTGACTTTTTAATATGAAAGTAGAGATAATTTGACGTTCTCAAATTTATATTCAGCAGTGATGATTTACTCTTGCTTCTGACAGATAGTTAAGCTCTTGTCAGATCATTTTGGTCCCGTTGGAAACTGGGCTTAGGCTTTTTTGATTGTTTTTCTGGTGCTGGGGATCTAACCCAGGAGCTCGTGTGTTAGTACCATTGAGCTTCACCTGTCCATGGCTTCAGTTATTGGTAGGTTGCTGCCTTTTCTTTGTGTCTAGGGTGTATTTGTTTGGGAACACCCTAAAACGTTGATCTTCATTAAGGCTTTCCCTACTTACGGGGCCCATGATTCCTAATTTTACCCCTTAAGTCCTGTGACATGACAGGGTTGCTCAACCTCTCAGCCTCCTCTTTTCCACTTTCAGAACAAGAAGTCACCTTAGTCAGAAAAGTAATCTTGGTGCCAGGCTCAACTCTCTTGATGTGTCCCTTCTGATAATCTGCCCTGCTAATTGTTACTACTTTGCTACTTTTTTTGTTGCTTGATACTGACTTCAAAAAAACCCCTTTGGTTTACCCTTTCTGATTGTTTCAGTAGGAAAATAAAAAAAAAAAAATCTGGTTCTGTCTTGTCAGAGATTAAATTCCTTCATGCCACTGTTAACCTAGCAGTTTGTCCTGTTTCATGTCATATAGGATATGGGCAAATGAAAGAATGTTACATTTATTTAATTTATATTGAATAATACTGTTCACTCTTTGCTTTATTACTCACTCAATAATCCTTGTTTTTTGCTTCCTTCCTGTTGATTTCATATTTATCATCTCATACTCAGCTCATACATATCTGACTAGGATGCTTCTTTAATTTTGTTTGTTCTTGAGTCTTTCAAGAATTCTGTCACATGCCCTGTGCAGATGTCCTTAAGTCTGGGTTCACTGATGCATCACTTGTAAGTTACTGCTGGTGTTTCCTACTGGCATACGTTATCAGATGACTCTCTTTCTGCCCACAGAACAGATACAAACTTATACTCTATTTGTGTGTCTATTTATTTAGTTTTAATTTTCTTTTGGCTTTTCAAGACAGGGTTTCTCTGTGTAAATGCCCTGGCTGTCCTGGAACTCACTTTGTAGAGCAGGCTGTCTTGGAACTCACAGAGATCCACCAGCCACTGCCTCCCAAATGCTGGAATTAAAGGCACGTACCCCACTGCTGAGCCAAAATTATACTATTAATTTGCTAATGATTAAATTCATTTGACTAGTTACCATTCATGTTGCCTTCTTTCTGCAGTTACTTACAATGTCCTTTGCATGTTTGCTAATCTTTCCTTTTTGGGTACATGTTGCAGAATAGCCATAAGATCCCATTTACAATGCGTATTTTTACTCTCTTTGTGTTGTCCTTTGAATAAAAGTTTTAATTTTAACATTTTTTGTTGTTATTTTCACATCCTGTGTAAGAAACCTACTCTGCTCTACTAATGTGTGAGATTTGATGTGTGATTTAAGCTTTAGTGATGTTTCTTTTACAAATGTGTATGCTCTTGCATTTAGGTTCAAAGTTGAGATGTCATCTTGGTGGATTTTTTTTCTTTAATGAGTATGAAATGTATAAAATATATGAAATGTCCTTCTCCATCTCTTTTGACTAGTTTTGGTTTGATGTCTATTTTGTTAGGTGCTAGAATAGCTACACCAGCTTGGTTCTTAGGTTGATTTGATTGACAAATATTTTTCCAACCTTTCACTGTGAGGTAATGTCTATCCTTGATATTGAGGTATGTTTCTTGTGTGTAGCAGGAGGATGGATCCTGTTTTTGTATCCATTCTATTACCTGTGCCTTTTTATTCTCGAATTGAGTACATTGATATTGAGAAACATTAATGACCAGTAATTGTTAATTCCTTTTATTTTGTTGTTGTTATTGTTGTTGTTGGTGGTGGTGGTATGTGTGTGTTTTCCTTTGGATTTTATAGTGTGAGGTTATATATTACTTGTTGTTTTGTAGGTATAGTTAGCTTCCTTGGGATTTTTTTTTCTACCTTCTGTAGGGCTGGAATTGTGGATAGATGCTATTTAAATTGAACTTTGTCATGAAATACCTTGCTTTCTCCATCTATGGTGATTGAAAGTTTCTCAGGGTGTATTAGTCTGGGCTGGCATCTTTGGTCTCTTAAAGCTTCTAAGACATCTATCAATGCCCTTCTAGATTTTAGAGTCTCCAATGAGAATTTGGCTGTAATTTTGATAGGTCTGCCTTTATATGTTACTTGGCCTTTTTTCTTTGCAGGTTCTAATATTCTATTACGAGGTTTGGGGACTTTTTTTTTTTTTTTTTTTCTGGTCCAATCTATTTGGAGTTCTGTTAGCTTTTTGAGCCTTTATAGGCATGTCCTTCTTTAGGTCAGGAAAAATTTTTTCTATGATTTTGTTAAATATATTTTCTGTTTTTTTGTTGTTGTTTGTATGTTTGTTTTTTATTTTTTTGAGACAGGGTTCCTCTGTATAACAGCTCTGGCTATCCTGGAACTCTCTTTGTAGACCAGGCCGGCCTCTAACTCACAGAGATCAGCCTACCTCTGCTTCCTGAGTGCTGGGATTAAAGGTGGTGTGCCAAAATGCCCAGCTTATTTTCTGGATTTTTGACCTGGGATTCTTCTTCTATTTTTATTATTATTAGTTTTGGTCTTTTCATAGTATCCCAGATTGCCTGGATGTTTTGTGTTAATTTGTTAGATCTAGCATTTTCTTTGACCAATGAACTCATTTCTTCTACTGTATCTTCATCTACTGAGATTCTTTCTGCCATCTCTTGTATTCTGTTGGTGATGCTTGTGTCTGTAGTTCTGTTCACTTACCCAGATTTTCCATTTCCAGGATTCCCTCAGTTTGTGTTTTCTTAATTGCTTCTCTTTTGATTTTCAGGTCTTGAATAGTTTCCTTCTCTTGTTTTTTTTTTCTTGCTTCTCTTGACATTCTGTAAGGGATTTATTGATTTCCTCCAATTTCTTTTTTTGTTTGTTTTATTTTTCTCCTCTTTTTAAAATTTAAATTAGAAACAAGCTTGTTTTACACGTCAATCCCAGTTCCCTCTCCCTCCCTTCCTCCCCTGCCCCCCCACCAACCCCCTATCTCATCCCCTTCTTGCTCCCCAGGGAGGGTGAGGCCTTCAATGGGGGGGAATCTTCAAAGTTTGTCATATCATTTGGAGCAGGGCCTAAGCCCTCCCTTTGTGTCTAGGCTGAGAGAGTATCCCTCTATGTGGAATGGGCTCCCAAAGTCCATTCATGCACTAGGGATAAATACTGTTCCATTACTAGAGGCTCCATAGACTGCCCAGGCCTCCTAATTGACACCCACATTCAGGGGGTCTGGGTCAGACCTATGCTGTTTTCCAAGCTATCAGTCTGGGGTCCATGAGCTCCCCCTTGTTCAGGTCAGCTGTTTCTTTGGGTTTCTCCGGCTTGATTTCCTCCAATTTCTTTAAGGGAGTTGTTCATTTTCTCTTTAAGGACCTCTGTCATCTTAATAAAGTTGCCTTTATGGTCATTTCTTGTGCTTTGGCTGTGTTTGTTGAATTTTCAGTTCTTGCTATCATAGGATAGCTGGGTTCTGATGGGGACATATTGCCCCTGGCTATGTTGGCACTTAGGCTTCTGGGTTTGCAGTGATTATAGGTTGTGGTGTTGATTTCTTGGTGTCTTTATTGGATGGGTGTTGTGTTCCTTGGTTTTTGTTTCCTCTTTGGTTCTTGTCTTTGTGGCCTCTATTTCTGGCAGCTGATGTGACCTCTGATCTAATGGGGAGTCGCTGTCCAAGTTGGGAACAGGCCTTCTGGTGGTTAGCTTGGCCTTTGTTGTAGCATGGAGTCTCTGTTCTGAGTGGTGTTGCTTGTAACTCAGCAGTGGAAGTCTGCTGGAGTTAGAAGCAGGACCTAGCAGAGGCAGGGATGGTGAGGTGGGAGGGCAAGGGCAAGGCCTAGGGATGGGTTTGGGGGAATAGAATCTAGGGGGTTCGGCAGTTCACCCTGCAGGTAACTCACTCACCTGTTCTTCTCTTATTCAGTAAATATTAACTGAACATGAGAATTCATGCTTACATTTTAATATTTCCATCTTTTGTCTAGCTTCCAGGAAAAAAGACAACTAAGCTTTGGGTTCCAGATGAAGAAGTCTCTCCTGAGACAATGGTCAAAGTGAGTACCATACATAGATTTGTTTTTCTTAGTATACTCACTGTATCACTTAATAGTTGTGGGTGGCTATTAAAAGTCAAGAACTTGCCTTTATTGTGTTATAGTGTTTCATGTATTATGAGATTATAGGGTGATGATGTGCAACCCAAGGCCTTGTGAGCAGTAGCATGTAACCTAGTTTGAGGGGAAAGTATTTGAAAGCTGCTTTCATGTTTACCCTTTCTAGAAATTAGCCTTTTAATAGAGTGACCAGTGTCTTTTTCCTGGATGTGCTTCTGTTTAGTAACAATGCTAATCCAGGTTTTAAAATTGTCTTTTCCTTGGGATTTAATAAAAGTTTTTATTTAAAACACATTTAATAATTCTTGAATTTGGGCTTTATACATAAGGAATTGCTTTTCACTAAAATACAGAGCATTGATTTGTTAAAGTCATGTGATAAGTGTCAACTTCATTTCAGTATATTTGTCAAGGTTTAAATGTTAGGAGCAAATATACTGAAGGTTGACTTTTTTTCTTAGAATTTCTTAGCACCCTTTTGAGCTCACTCCCACGTGGTCCTGCCCTCTTTCTCTTTGTATGTATTTGGTTATGTTCCATATCTTGAATTATGGTAGCATATTGTTGCAGCCTCCGATTCTGATGTGTCTGCATACCTGTTGAGAAGCCCTTCCTTTACATCTGTAGTTATCACTGCATGATACTGGTTGCATTTGGGTCTCAGCATTAATCTTTTTGTTTTGTTTTGTTTGTTTTTCAAGACACGGTTTCTCTGTGTAGCTTTGTAGACTAGGCTAGCCTCAAACTCACAGAGATCCTCATGCCTCTGCCTCCTCAGTGAGTGCTGGGATTAAAGGTGTGCGTTACAACCGCCCGTCTCTCAAGCATTAGTCTTAAGCAGCAGTCTTGTATCATTGAGCCAGCACAGGGTGAGAAGACAGGCTGTTTAGGCTAAGTGTGCACTCACTAGGAAAGGCATCTCTGGGACTGCTGTGTGTTAGCACTGTTGAAGCTCAGTTATTATCACCTTTGTCTTTTAAAAAGCTGAGATAAGTAAAAAAAAAAATACACAAAGAAGTATGTCAAAGACTATAGTAAATGCAGAAGTACTTCCATGCTTCATCATCATAAGATGAAGAAAGTGGTGTCCTTAGGTAGGCAATGGGGAACTTTTCCTGGTTAGTGAAGTTAGCATGATTCAAACTCTAGGTCTTACAGGCTTGGGAAACATTAAAGTTAACAGCAACAAACAAACTCATCTTTAGTGAAATGACATTTGTTTCTTGTTTTGGTTTGTTTATTTTGCCACTTTTCTGGAGGTTGAAACAACTGTAACTTAAAACACTGTATATATAGGAAGGGATAATTTTTGTGTTTTCTTAAGATGCATTATCTTTTTTCTAGTTTTTAAAGTTGATGTGGAAATCCTTTAAACATAACTGCTTTATTGGTCAATTTGTCTTTTAAATAGATTCAGGCTATTAAAATGATGGTTCGATGGCTACTTGGAATGAAAAATAATCACAGTAAATCAGGAACTTCTACCCTCAGATTACTAACAACCATATTGCATAGTGATGGAGATTTGACAGAACAGGGGAAAATTAGGTATGTAGTTATTGTTTCTAGATATTTGGGTTATAGTATTTCAACTCCTGCTCTAACTGTTATATGTTAGAATTTCTTCTTAAAAATATAATTAGTATTAATTTGTAGGTATTCATGTGTTTTTATTGTAATATGCTTTTACATGGTAGTTATTGCAATATAACAGTCACATGTCTGACAGGTTCTGCCATCTAGATAATGCAAGTATTTTAAATGATAGATCCTTACCCTTTCTCACAGTCCATGTATAACTGCTAGTACAGAGATCTATAACAAATGTGCTAGTGTCTCAAGGGAAAAAACAAGCTATTGAATCTGTTTCTAGAATACAGTACACAAAAAAATTTAAATGTACTCTATGTATGTTATTTAAAATATACAGACTATTTTTGTTTATATGATGAAACATAATTTAGTGCTCCCTTTTCATAAGTCCACATCTGTGGACTCAGCTAGTTATGGAACTAAAATACCCAGAGAGCAGTTCTTTTTTCTGTACTGAGAATGCATAGACTTCCCTTTACATTTCCCATACTATGCAGCTTGGCCACTGTTTGCATTGTAATCTAGAGCTGAATGAAGGTATGTGGGGAGATTGCACATAATCCATGCAAAAATGATGTCATTTTTCCACGAGGACTGATGCATTGGTTTTGTTGTCTTGGTGTACCAAGGGTAACTGACTGAAACTCAGATTCAGATCCTGAAACTACATACTCCAGGCAGATTCAAACCCTGGCTCTTAGCACTTTCTAGTTAGCTGAACTTTACTAAGTTACTTCAGGTTCTCAGTGTCCCCGACACCAACTTGTCTTAGTGTACCACTGTGGTACAGTAAAATATGTTAGGATATTTGAAGTATTCACAACATTGCACAGCATACAGGAACATGGATGATAATAGGGATTATTTTCATCAGCATCAGCTGAAATGTAGAATTGATCACAAATGTGGTTCAGTGACACTTCTTAGAATAATAGAATAAATAAAAAATAGAATAATTTCCCTCCTTAAGACATCTGAATTCTAAATGAGAAGACAAGACAGTGTCTGCTGCTTTTCACCCTTCCATCTCATCTCCATTCTCTTCTTCCAGCACCCCTCCTCCCCATCTTCCTCTCCACTCTCATAGTGCTGGGTATCAAACCTAGGACTCCCATATTAGGCAAATAGTATCATCACTGAGCCAGTCTCATTACCACCCTAGGCAAATAGTATTAACACTGAGCCATCCCCACCCCAATCTGTTCTCCTTGTATGTTTTATTCATAGTGTCCCCTGTGCCTAGAATTTAACATTATATATTATGAAATGAAATAATAAAAACAAAACTATAGACACAGTTCATGTGCTATTTTTAACTTAATGAGTTGTTATCCTTCAATAATTTAGGCATGTCCATTACATATAATAAAGATGCTTTGAGTTAAAATTCATACTGCATTTGGGATAAACTTGTATTGGTCAGTTCAACCTGGCAGAGAAAATCCTTGTTATTAATACAATTAGTCCCAATTTATTAGTTACATTGTTTTATCTATAGTTATTTATATTAATTATTCCTGGCTATACTTAAGAAATTGAGAACATTGACAGAATGTACACACACAAATTCAGATCTACCATTTACCCACTGCTTTTATTGTAAGCTATTTCTTCTGCATGCCTATGGTAGTGTTTTAGCTACTATACCTCCTTTCATGATTCTTGTTTTATGTTCAGTACAGTAGTTATGATAGACAAATTAGCAAGTAAAGACATTCATGGCGATCTGTGAGTAAACATCACACACAGAAATCAGTGGTATTATACTTAAAATTGAACAGGCAAGTCAACATACAAATAGATGTCTTCTTACATTAGGTTGTGTATGATCAGACAATTGAACGGCTTTAGTAATAGCTGGCATATTTAAGAGATGTTGGCATTGGTTGGGTTCTCTGAGAACTCTGCTGTATGTAGACTGACTGCTGTGACTCCATATGGCAGAAAGTACAAACAAGCTCCACCCCACCCCACCCCACCTCTTTTTAAGTCTTGAGGACTCTGCCCACTCAACCTCATCACCTTCCATAAAACTCCCTTGGCCTAGGATTTCAGAGTGTGCATTCTGAGGAGGTGAAGAATTTTCAGACCATAGGACTTTCTCCTTTCTTGTTATAGAAGATTATTTCAAACATTAGATGAATGAGGTAAGAATGATTCCCCCACACCAGGCATGTAGAAACCTTGCTTACATTGTTTTTGCTTCTGTTTTAGTAAACCAGATATGTCTCGCCTGAGACTTGCTGCTGGGAGTGCTATTGTGAAGCTGGCACAGGAGCCCTGTTACCATGAGATCATCACGTTGGAGCAGTACCAGCTGTGTGCACTAGCCATCAATGTAAGGGCAGTGGCTAGTGGGAATACTATCGTGTGCTCTTGGGCTTATAGGAAGAAATTGCTACAGTATCATCAGAGCCTTGAATGTTTGTTTTCTTTCATGAGAAATACTTCAAAGTTCTAAAATTAGATTTGGTTTCCTAGCACAGTGCATGGAACTACTTCAGCATTCTAGCCTGCAAACATCCCAGAGGCACTGAATGAGCCTTGCACTGACTGAATCATTGCTCCTCAAGGAGACAGAGCACTTGCTTTAAGACTCTGGTCACAGCCAGGCGTTGGTGGCGCATGCCTTTAATCCCAGCACTCGGGAGGCAGAGGCAGGCGGATCTCTATGAGTTTGAGGCCAGCCTGGTCTCCAGAGCGAGTTCCAGGATAGGCTCCAAAGCTACACAGAGAAACCCTGTCTTGACCCACAAACAGAAAACCCTGTTTTAACCCCCCCCCCCCCCCCAAAAAAAAAAAAGACTGTGGTCACAAACTTGCCATCCACTGGTTAGTACACAGCCCAGCCTTGCTTTCTGGGTATCTGCTTTAGAACACCTCATTAATGTACATAGCTCTTTGATTAACACTGAGCTTGTAGTCAACAAACAACATCACCACTCACTCCTGGGTGAGGCTTTACTATAGCCTATGCATTTTTCTCTGTAAGGCACAATGCGGTCTTGTGCTTAGGCTGCTGCATTTAATCACTTGTTGGGAGATGTTTAAATGCCAGTCTCCAATAAGAGCAGTATACTGTGTGTCACCAGGTAGACCAAGGAGACAGAGCTGGGCTCCTTCCATGCTTGATGCCCTGCACATCTATTTGCTGATGACTGGATCATTGGTGCAGGTGTTGATTTTAGATTTAAAAATAAATGAGTAGACAAATTCCTAAGTGTAGATGGGATCTGTGTATAAGGAGGAACAACTGTTACCACAATTTTATAAAGCTTGTTCCTGGGCTTTTATTTTTTAAGACATAGGTTAGATAGTTTCAAGGTAGAAGTATTCTAAATAAATTTTTTAAAATAAATCTTTTAAAAGTGAGAATACATAAACACATGCATCAGTAAATCTAAAGACATGATTTAAGCGGGGCCTCCCTTTGTATTTTTCCACTTGCTGCAGAAGCCTTGGCTCTCAGAGCTACCTTCTGGCATGCAGTAACTGTCCTATTGCTGCATTCATCCAGGAGACCTTGTCTATTGTTGGATAAATTTCTGCAGCCACAGTTCCTATCATGTTATTCTCTTGGTCAAATACATTTAAGAACTCATACTTGTTTGAAAGAAAAGGAAAAAAACAAAACAAAACAAATGTATTTTATAACCAGACATTTGAGCTTCTCTATTGTTTGGGTCTTAACACGTACTACCTTTACAGCAGTGGTTCTCAACCTGTGAGTCATGACTATCAGAAGACCATTGGAAAATACAGCTGTTTATATTATTGTGATTCATAGGGTAGCAAAATTACAGTTATGAAGTAGCAACTAAAATAATGTTATGGTTGGGGTGGCCACAGCATGAGGAACTATATTAAAGGTTCAATCCCAGCATCAAGAAGTTGATAACCACTGCTTTATAGTATACCACCCTTCATCGACTTCATCTCAGATGAAGAAACTGAGGACTTTTATTTAGCTTGTGTTTTGTTGCCTCTGTTTTTTGTCTCATCCTTCCATCTCCACTTATCTGCACCTAACCCTGTTTGGCAATGAAGGTTCAGATATGATCTTTCCCACAAGACTTACCCAGGTTTTCTTAGCTGGATGCAGTCTCTCTTGTTTCAATTCCCTCCAGATTTTATTTTCACTCCTCTGCTACATACAAAGCTCAGCCTTTTGCTTTCACCTTTTCCATACATGAGGTTTGTTTTCTTTCTTGAGGTGAGGCTTTTTAAAAATGGTATTATTGTATATTTGAACCAACATTAAATGTGAAGGAATAGATAGGGATTGAATAATATGACAGCACATTTAGTAGTTGCTCAGGTATTTAGGATTTGAAATTCAGGTAATGAAAAAAATTTACTTTGTGTTATTTTGAGATATATATGGATCTAGATTCTAGAAATACAAAGCTGAATAAGTCATGGTTGCAGTCCTCTGAAAGATAACAGCCTCTTAGAATAGAAAATACAGATGTGTTGATAATACAATGAGGTACACAGAATAACTCAACTACTTCTAAGGTGCTAGGAGAAGTTATAAGGATAATCTGTGTTCAAAAGGCCTCTGAATAGCTGGGTGTTGGTGGTGAACACCATTAATCACAGCACTCGGGAGGCAGAGGCAATTGATCTCTGTGAGTTCAAGGCCAGCCTGTTCTACAGAGTGAGTTCCGGGACAGGCTCCAAAGCAATACAGAGAAACCCTGTCTCAAAAAAAAAAAAAAAAAAAAAAAAAGTCTCTGAAAGTAGACAAAACCAAGCTTGTAGCAATGAACTAGTTTTGACTAGAACTTTGAATTGAAAGGCAAAAAAACTGTAGTTTTTTTCTTCTACTCAACCAATTATTTTTAATAACCATGGTTATGAAAGTGTAAATGTTTGCCTTTGTGAGAATTTCTTTTTGGTAAAACTGTCTTGCTATTCCTTATTTCACATTTTTATGTTAGTAGGGCCCCCATCTTGTTAATTCCTCTGTAGTGTCTCTTGAAACACCCTATGCATTCACAGTTTGTCTCTTCTGTACTTAATTGCTAGCTTCTCCTCTATGAGCTAATAGTTTTCTGTCACTAATAATTGAAGGCTATTAATTTTGAAGTGATTGATAAGTTGGCTTTGTAACATGTTTGCATTGGGTTATTAAATGCTGAGCTGTCAGTGAGAGGGACAGAACTGTCATTAAGGGGTGTGTCTCAATAGGAGGGTATCTTGAGTGGGATAATTTTTTAAAAAATGGTGTATTCACTGATGAATATGTTTAAAATAAATTGACTTTGATTATGAAGTTTTAAATTGGCATTGTTGTAGTAAATTGGATATTTTCATGATAGATGTATATATTTATTCCTCATTAATACTGAATGATAACTTTATTGAATGTGATAGAAAAACTTAATTTCTGTGGATCCTTGAATAATTTTTTTAAAGTAGTAGATATGCAGAAATTGAAATTAAAGGGAATATATACCATAAGAACTTGAAGGTGAACATATGACACACCCCTATACCAACTGCATTAACTAGGCATAATGGTACCTGCCTATAAATCTCAGCATTAAGGAGGCTCAATTGGTAGTTTACTGATACCTTGTGTCAAAAAAAAAACCAAAAAAAAAAAAAAACCAAAAAAAACACCCAAGTGCTGGGGCTGGCAAGGTGGCTCATGCATCAAGAGCACTGGCTGCTCGTCCAGAAGAGCTACCTTTGGTTCCCATCACCCATGTGGTGACTCAACTCTTTGTAACTCCTGTTCCAGGGGGTCTTATTCCCTCTTCTGGCCTCCACAGGCACCAGGTACCCACATGATACATATCACATGTGCATGCAAAACATGCATGCACATAAAAATAAAACTTGGAAAGAACAAAATCAGAAAAATGTCCAAGTGCTAGTGGTAGAGCCCAGCTAGTGTAGAGCTCCTGTCTAACATTCCAGGGGCTCTAGGATCAATCCTTATATTATAGAGGAATAGTAAAAATATTTTGAAGAAAAACCCAATGGTCATTACAGACAGAAGAAATGATGTACCTAAAGTTGTAAAATAAAAGATGAAGGTGTTTGTATGTTGTAGAGACAAATTGGAGCTGTTTCCTTTAGTTTGAAAGAAATTCTGGTCCACAATGTACCGGTTACTATGCTAGTCCTAGATAGGAAGGTGCTTAAAGACATTGTTCATGTTGTCAAGGAGCCAGCGAATGAGTAAGGCAGACACCTAAGCCAGCCTCAGTCTGCTAAAGATATGCAGAGTGCTCAGAGCATAGGCCAACATAGGATACAGGTTACATGCTGCTTTGAAGTAGATAGATGAGTTGCTCTGAAGAACAAGGAGGAGCTTGCTAGAGAGAGATGGTTTGGGTGAAGCAAGTCGTAAGGAAGTCAGACACTTTGCCTAACACGCCAGTGCTGTGCTGAGCTATATGCTCAGCCCCTTACTTTATTAATATTGTTTTAATTATACTCAGTTAAATTGGGAGAATTGTACTATTTTCATCTATTTTAAGAGTGTATTTATTGTTGTCTAACAGATGTAATTGGTAGTTATTGGGTCCAGTTAAATACTGCAGCCTTGAGGTGGAGTCACACACTGTATTATGAACACTAACTCAGGCGTTGTGTATCAACTTGGTCATATCTGAAATTGTAACTTCTTACTGCCTTGTGGATAATACCTGTAATAATTTTATCTTTACAGGATGAGTGCTATCAAGTCAGGCAGGTGTTTGCTCAGAAACTTCATAAAGGACTTTCCCGATTACGACTTCCACTTGAATATATGGCCATCTGTGCACTTTGTGCCAAAGACCCCGTGAAGGAGAGAAGAGCTCATGCTAGACAGTGCCTGGTGAAGAATATCACTGTGAGGCGGGAGTACCTAAAACAACATGCAGCTGTTAGTGGTGAGTGCACGGGTGCTGAATAATGCACCTTCGGGTCTTATAGTTGCAGTCTCACAGAGCAAAATACACAACTGTTACTTATTATGGTGTATACTTAAAAAGTCAGCATCTTTCAATAGCTACTTTTCACTTTCTATATTTAAAAATATATATAAATGTGTGATTATTTGAGTTTCATTATCTTTGTGTAAATGGTTAAGTCTGACATTGGTGGTACTAGAAAAGTCAGATTTGCGTATATAATTGTACTGTGTTAGCACTGTTTTGGATCTTTGTTCTCATGTGTAGCTAACATTCATGTCAGTTGCTTATATGCCTGCCTTCCCTGTGCTTTCCCTCCGACTCCCGAGGCCGTTGGTATGCCACCTTTATTTCTGTGCCTTAACAGTCAGCATGCATCAGCATCTACCCAGTTATCCAAGTCAGATCAGAGGCATTTTTTATGCGTGTTTTCCCTCTCTTCAGCCACCAAAACCTGTTACCCTTCTTCCAGATGTCACAGATATCTGCTGCTCTCCTACTAGCTATACTTGACTTGGATTATTGTAGATGCCCTTAATTCACACTATATTGTAAATGCCTTGCTTCTGTTCCTCCTTTCCCCTCCCACTGTGCCACACTGTATGTTACCCTTCCAGCACAGACCAGTCATCCCTTTCTTGTAGGTTGAAATACATGTAGGTTCTCAACTACTCATGAATGACACTGAAACACCCGATGGCTACTCATATTTTATACTCAGCTCAAATTTAAATTCTGCCCTGTTAGCTTACCATTGCTGCTCCTTCCTGTGTGCCTATGCTCAATGTGCAAGGTTACTTGAAGTTTTGTGCAGCCTGCCTACTCTGTTCTGAGCTCTGGAAATCACTTCTCTTCTAGACAGACAGAGCTGGGGAACATACATACATACATACATACATACATACATACATACATACATACATACAGTTTTTACCCCTTTGAGTCATTTGAGATACAGTTTTAGCATCAGTTGGCCACTGTGATCCTCTTTCTCTTTTTCCTCACCTTGGAAAAAGTGAAGGCTATGTAGTCACATCCCACCTCTGCAGTTTATGGGCTGTGTTTGACCAAGTTATGTAAACCATGGCTTACTTTGCTTATTTGTGAATTTGACATAATTATACTTACTTATTGTGGTTGTTACATGGATTGAAAATTGATATGTATAACGCACCTAGCATAAAATAAATGACCCAGAGAAGTAATCAGTAATGCTAGCTACTCTTATTTTAAGTACTGTCTCCATAGCTTCCATCTGTTTATACTTCTGTATGAGTACCTTACCTGGTTTTATTTATCTTTATATTTTTATATTATATAGATACAAAGTAGTAAGCACTCTAAATATTTGACATAATTTAACTTAAATATCACTGAAATTTGAGCCTTGCTATTTTTTTTCTCTCATGCTTGCTCTTTAATTACCATTCACACAGAAGCTCATCAAAGACAGTATGATGCTTTTTGGCATGCATTGTGCTCCTGGTTGAACATCTGACTAAAATGGAATTAGGAGACCAAATCCAAGTCTTTTTGTGTTTGGTTTCCCAAGTAAAATTTGCATGCCATTCTGACCTATACAATAAAATTTGCTAATCTCAGTCAACAGATAAAAATACTTGAACATAAACTGAAAAGCTGTTTGTTAGTTACACTGTCCTAGGAGCTCTGTTCTTTTGTATGGTTCTTCTGTTAAAAACTGACCATTACTTCTGTCCTTGTGTCTCTGATAGCTTGTGAGAGAATGCCAACATACAGTTTCTTATAAGGAAGAATAGATCTTACATCTCAATCTTAAATAGTTTGTGTAGATCACTCTTTCCGTATGCATTTGAAAACTGAAATATTTGCCCTTGCTGCTCAGCACCGGGTGTGCTAACTAGACATTTTAAACCGCTTACCACGTCTCTCAGCACAGGGTGTTTGAGTGTGCTGTTCTGCCACTGGGTTGTAGGAAGTATACAAAAGAGCATGTGATTTGATCTTTCTAACCTGGATGTTTTTGTTTGCTTTTGTTTTTCTTTTCTTTTTCTTTCTTTCTTTCTTTTTTTTTTTTTTGTTTTTTGTTTTTCAGAAAAATTATTGTCTCTTCTACCAGAGTATGTTGTTCCATATACAATTCACCTTTTGGCACATGACCCTGATTATGTCAAAGTACAGGACATTGAACAACTTAAAGATGTGAAAGAGTAAGACTTTTTTTCATCCCATTTTCCTATTTCTGAACATTTTTTTACCTCCTTGCTGCTGCTGATAATGGGCTATTAATTATAATTGTTGTGTTTCATTTTGCTAAGGTTCTTTCTTAGTCACTCTCTTCAGTCTTTGTTATTTCATCTCTTCACATTACATTTCTTACCTAATTTCCAAAAGAAACTTAAACTACCACACTTTAGTTCTATTTCTCTGCAGCTGTTGCATTCCTTTTCTACTGAAGCAATGCAGGCAGATTTTTCTCTTCCAGTTCTCATGTTTTATTTCCTTCTAAATTGTAGCTTTTCATGTGAGGAGAATTAGTAATCTCCTCACTCAGGTAGTAAGCACATTTATCTTTGCATTAACTGTCTTTGAAAAAAATAGTTTCTTTGTAATAGGCCATATTTCACAAGCAAGGGAGTAAGTATTCTTAGTTTTAACTTCATTGCTGTTCTCTAATTACAGTAAAGATTATTGTCTGCATAGAGAGAGAATATGAAAATATGAATCTGAGAGACATTTTAAGACCAGCATAATTCCTAGAATAAACTTGAGACCCTGGTCTTATTTCTGTCATAATAAAAGGTGACTTTTGTGATTGTGAATCAATTAATTTAGTATGTCATTAATATACCAGTAAAAATGATGGTTAGTTTCTTGATTCATAGAAATATAGTTAGTTATTTAAGATATTGCAGGAAAATACATTAAATTACCATTAGCTTACTATGGCAAGGGGAAAAATCCAATGTCTTTTATTTGCCATATTACCTGTTTGTAAGATACTATCTAAAAATGATTTCTATGTTAGAGTGATTACCAGTAATGAGGAATTCTGGCTGCCTTTATCTGAGAGCACTGGCTTGTTAAATAGGTGAAATACATTTGAAATGAACTTGACAGTTGCCTTTCTTGATTGCCCTGCTGTCTTCATTCTGTGGGAGCACAGCCTGAGCAGTTGCCTCGCACAGTTGTCCCTTTCCTGTTATTTTTCTCCTTGATATATCAACAGTAATTCCATTCATTTCTTAGAGGAGAGGGGGCATTTAAATATGCTTCTCAATAAGCAAAGACTGTGTGTAAGTGTCAGCCATGCTTCCTTTCTCGTTTGTTTGTTGATAACCACTGGCTCAGGTGTCATGAAGCTGGCCCAACAGGACTTGAGTCACCTCATTGTTCTGTGGCCAGTCTTTCTTTACTGTCATAGCACAGATAAAACTGTTTCGTTCTTTCCATTTCTGTTTCTTTTAACCTTTCTCATGCAGAATCTGCTGAGATTCAGAGCTCACATCTGCATTGCTGACCTATTTGTGTGTGTGTGTGTGTGTGTGTGTGTGTGTGTGTGTGTAACTTAGGCTTTTTTTTCCTGCTGTTTCATTTTGAGTTTATAGCTGCTGCTTTTAAATTTTTCCTCTTCTGGAATTATACTCTAGGCTCATTATGCTAATATTGAGAATCATTGTATCTGTATTTAACAAAAGATTTTTTTCTTCTGTATTTTTCTTTGTTTTTGTGTTCTTAGGTGTCTTTGGTTTGTTCTGGAGATATTGATGGCTAAAAATGAAAACAACAGCCATGCATTTATCAGAAAGATGGTAGAAAATATTAAACAGACAAAAGATGCTCAAGGACCAGATGATACGAAAATGAATGAAGTATGTAATTCATAATAAATAATTTGGTGCCATACTGATTTAAATATTTTTGTATAGGGTACAATGTCTTTAATATTTTTAACAGCATTATTTTTTCTATTAGTGATAATTGGGATTATTGATGCAGAATTATACCAATACTAGTATGAATTTAGTAGTAATTCTGATGTTTATTCATATTGATCTTGTTGTACTAATATATGTAATAATGAGAAGCCACAATATTTATCCTAAAGATTTCTTTCATTAGTTTACTGTTAGTCTAAATACATGTTTTAGAATTACTCCTAATTCAGAGTCTAAGGTGCCAATCTTTTTTTTTATTCTTTTATTTTTTATAAGGTGCTAATCTTAATAACTAACTAAAAACATACCATTGCAGAAACTGTACACTGTGTGTGATGTTGCCATGAACATCATCATGTCGAAGAGCACCACATACAGTTTGGAGTCTCCTAAAGACCCAGTGTTACCAGCTCGGTTTTTCACCCAGCCTGACAAGGTAGTTACTGTAGGATTGTTAGTGGGAGTTGAGATGAAGTGTGTGCTCAGCACGGGGCTGTGGGGAGACAAGGGAGGACCACTACTAAGAACTCCCCACTACCAATGCTTGGAAAGGGCACTAGACTCAGAAATGTGACTCGAGACCAAGTATGGACCAGAGTGGAGGCCATGAAGGGATGATCCAGAATTTGTTTCTAAGTCTGAAGCCGTGCTAAGAACATAGGCAATACTCTGTCAAAGCATTTGTCAATTAATAACCTTTGATCCAAAATGGGAATTGGAATGCTGATCTATAGAGTCTGAAGTTGCAAGCCCTGGGTGAGGACTTAGAAGATGGTTCGAGGAAACAGCATAGATGCTGGGATAGGCCTAAGGTTCGCAAACCACGTCCCACCTGATACAATGTTACACAGGCCCTGACAGAGACTCTTCTCTGGGCTGATTGAATAACAGTGTGGAAAGCACCATCGTCCTCTGTGTATTGGAAGCAGTATAACAATTAAGATCTTGGCAGTCTTGGCAGTGAATCAAGATTTAAAGTGGCCTTATGGGTTTGCATAAAGTTAAAGGGCTTGTCTCTTAAGCATTCCCTTAGTTATGAGCAGCATAGCCAGGGACTGTGGGACTTCGTCTCTTGAGTGCTGTGCAGGAATGTGTACTGCCTGGCACATTTCATATTGTAATAACTATGAGATTAGTCTTTTAGAACTACTGCCTGAAATTTCATGTTTAAACTGATTTGTTTAAATAAATATGAACTCAGTTGGCTTTTGTCTCTCACAGAGCTGTCTTGGTGCTCACTAACTGCTCTTTCTCTTGCTCACAGAATTTCAGTAACACCAAAAATTACCTGCCTCCAGAAATGAAATCGTTTTTTACTCCTGGAAAAGTATGTTTTGAGAATTGTTTTAGTATTTATGTGGTAGTTAATTTTAGTGTGATTATTGGCCTATTTGTGCTATTTTATTTCTTTGAGAAATTTTTGTGTCTCAAGATAGGAAATATAATTAGCTATCTTCCATTTGTTGATTAAAAAATTAGTTGTACTTACTATGTAGATGCCAGCTAAATGCACTTAAAAAAAAAAAGCTTATAGCAAAACTATGGAGACCTTTATCCTTTAGACTTCTTATACCAATCTAGATAAAAATCTTAAAGATGATGTCTTACATTCTTCCATAGCAAGGCTCTATGATTGCTTTACATTTCATTTGTCTTTTACAATGGAAACCTTTCCCAACAAATAATTACAACTCAATTGATCTGTTGTCTTTGGGGTTTCCTGTTTGTTTGTTCTGAAATGACCGTGCTAGGTAGCCCAGGCTAGTTTTGAATTTGCAGTACTCCTAAGTGCTGGAATTACAGGCATGCACTGTTACAGGTTTTTAATTTGTGCAGTGATAATTCAGTTGATTGTCTTTATTTTGCTTAAAGATAGACACACATTATTTATTTGTGTGTAAATATGTTGAAATTGTTGCTAGAAGTTCTTGATATGTGAGTTTCTTTTAGTGTTAATTAAATAGGAAGAGTTATGTATTTCTCGTTTCAGCCTAAAACAGCCAATGTTCTAGGAGCAGTTAATAAGCCACTTTCATCAGCAGGCAAACAATCTCAGAGCAAATCATCAAGAATGGAAACTGTGAGCAATGCAAGCAGTAGCTCAAATCCCAGCTCTCCTGGAAGAATAAAAGGGAGGCAAGTCCACAAGAGATGTTGCATTTTTATATTTGATTCTAATAAGACTGTGAAATGTAAAATAATACAGTTATAAATATTTGATGACAGTGAATAGACATGAGTTGGTAGTCACTGACAAATAGTAGACGCTTAGTTTTTCATATGTAATCTTCCTGGGGTAATCTCTGTTAATACACACAGTAAATATTTGACCTCGTGTTTACCACTTATACAGTTAGTTGTTCACTTATGGTTCATTCATACACTGCAATATCTGAATCATTAAAAATAATGAGATCAGGGGCTGGAGGGGTGGCTGAGCAGATAAGAGCACTGGCCACTCTTCCATTTGACCCAGGTTTGGTTCCCAGCATCCCATAGCTGCTCACAGCCATCTGTAACACCAGTTTTGGGGGGATCTGACACCCTTTTCTGGCCTCTGCAGGTGCTGCATACATGTAATCTATAGACATACATGCAGGCAAATCACGAATACACTTAAAATTCAGGGGCCAGAGTATTGGCTCAGTGTGTAAAGGCACTTTCTATCAGGACTGATAATCTGAGTTTGGTCCCTGGGACTAACCTGGTAGAAGGGGAGAACCAACTTCCTTGGGGTGTCCTCTGTTCTCCACACGTGTTGCAGTGCTTGAATGCATATGCACAGTAAATGAAAAGTGTTTTGTTAGGGTTAGGGTTTGGAGGTTGGACAACCTCCAAAGCAATACAGAGAAACCCTGTCCCATTAAATTTGCACTCTGATAGAGGTCATAGAGCAGTGTTGCAGGGCCTTTACTTTGGAATGACTTCCTAATCACATTCATTTGCATTCATTAGGAACTTTTTGAGAAAACATAGAGCATCTTAATAATGCTCATAATAACTTGACATGGGGTGTGTATTTTATGTTTGAAGTTTTACTATCTATGTATAAACTTTGTTGTTTGTTTAAAAAGTAGTTTTAACAAGGATTTTTTTTTTTTTTTTTTTGTAAAGTTGTACCTTCTTATTAGAGCTTGAGATTTGAGTTCAGCAGTTTGTAAACAAATAGGTTTGTTTTGAGACAGGGTTTCGCTGTGTAGCTTTGGAGCGTGTCCTGGAACTCACTCTGTAGGCCAGGCTGGCCTTGAACTCACAGAGATCCACCTGCCTACGCCTCCTGAGTACTGGGATAAGCAAAGGATGATGCAGAAGACTAGAACTTTCTAAGCTTACGAGAGCATGTGTTTTACTTCATTCAGCAAGTCTCTTAAGTGCCTCCTTTGAGCTCTGCACAAGTTTACACACTAAGTGAAATGGTCAAAAATCAGTGCTTATGGTGTTAAGGGGAAGAAGAAGTCAAGTAAGACATGTAATTACTTTGCATGCTATTGCTACAGAGAGAAGTAAAGACGAGGGCAAGGAAGGGCAGGCCAGGGCTAAGCTGCATGTGCTAAGCTGAACATACTAACAACAGGTTTTACTTTCCATGCTTCTGCTTCAAAATGGAATCTAGTTTTCAAAACATCATGTGGTAAAATGAATTTATTATTTATTTCCTTAATTTATTAAATGAGCTACATTGCTTACTGATTTGGTGCTAAATATGATAGGAAAAATTATCTTTAAAATGAATGAAGTCCTTGCTTATGAAGTTATAATGCTATGCAATGAAGCAATCAAAAAAGGCTTTTCAGGTTATTTGATTGTAGAAGTAATTGCAGATATCTCTGTTCAAAGGCTTGATAGCTCTGAAATGGATCACAGTGAAAATGAAGATTACACAATGTCTTCACCTTTGCCAGGCAAAAAAAGTGACAAGAGAGACGACTCTGATCTTGTAAGGGTGAGATGCTTGGTTGACTGTGTGATGCTGTTAATAGTAATAGTTTTAGTCATTTTTGCTCTTTAGCTAGATATTAAAATCGCAGTCAAATGTGGCATGTGATATACTTTTTGTGACTTTAGTTTCAAATTTGATATTATAGTTTAGTTGGAGTTTATGTGATTCTTGTCTTCAGATAAATAAAATAATCTAATTCTTTGTCTTTAGAGTCAAACATGTTAGTTCCATATTCAGAACTATTTGCTTTCCTTTTTCTTTTTAAACCCAGTATTTTAGTCATGGCCTTAGGAAAAGAGTGGAATGTAGGTCCCAAAGTCTACCTTCTTCTTTTAGAAAAGCCCTTGTTAAGTTTTAATATATTAGTAGAAGTGACTATAATTTGTAAATGTTACTCGAAGACAGACAGATTTGGTGATATTTCAATGAGAAACGGAATTCATACTCCAATCCAGCCCAGCAGATTTGGTAACTGGGCCATGTGGACTCCCCAGTTGAGCTGTGAACATTTCTGGAGTAGCTGACTGAGCTTTCTGAGTCTGTTTTCTTGTCTATAAACTGGATAGTTTATGCTTTCAGCCTAATAATAATAATGAATTATTATTCATTAATTGAATAAATGAATTAGCCCAAATAAATTGTTGATGCTGTCTCATTGTTAAAATGATTTATGCCGTTGAGCAATAGTTACCATATAACAAGTATGTCTGACTCTAATTCAGAAGCAGAGGCAGGAGTTATTAATAAAATAATTTTTTTTGCTTTCTTTGGAATTTTATTTGCCCTTTTTGTCTCCCACTGACATATTTCCATTATTTTCAAGTTTCTTCAATTTATCTAGCCAATTGTTTTATAATTAAAATTTTTGCTAAATCCTTATTAGCTATACTGTCAACTAGTGTTAAAAGTTTGACCCAGCGGGCTGGCTTAGCAGTTAACAGTAGTTGGCTGTTCTTTCAGAGGTACCAAGTTTGACTCTCAGCACTGTCTTTAACTCTAGTACCAGGGCATCCAAAGTCCTCTTCTGACCTCCACAGGCACCAGATATTCGTGCAGGCAAAACACTCTTACACACTTTTAAAAGTTTTACCCAAGTAGAATTAAAAACTAAAAGTTAGAGAAATGTAGGATCTATAAAAGAAAGGAGTCTTATTGCAAGGTTTCTAGAAGATCATTTTTTTAAGTTAGTAAAAATATTTATATTTTTTTATTTCTGTCCTAGTTAATCAAGAAAATCTTTATTGTAATCATGCTTAAAAATGGAGTAATTGACTAGTTCATGATTTCTTTTTTTTTTTTTTTGGTAGCAGAAACAAGAGTGTTTGAAATTTGAGGCCAATCTTGGCTTTATAGTAAGCTCCAGGCCACCCTGAATGCCACAAGGAGGCTGTCACAGGCACACTTGCCCATGTCAAACACACACACACAAACAACCAAGGGCCAGGGGTGTGGTTTATGCTCAGCTGTCCTATACAACGCCCCAAGTTTGATTCCCCAGCACTCGAAAGGAAGATACAGAAAGAAGGGAAACATGCCCATGTATATGTGTTCGTGCACAGTACTAGCATCACTCTGCATTTTACTACACTTCAGATGGGTCCTGTTCATCACAGTAACTTCTGTCGTACTGAAAGATAGGGTGGGTATACAGTCTCAGACAGACCCTTAAACAGAGTAGTTGGCACTTGTGTGGGAGAGCTCAAAACCAAGAGACTTATGTGTTCTTCTGTGAGAAAAAAAAAAAAAAAGTTGAAATGGTGATAGTTTTCTCCTAGCTGAATATGTAGTAAAACTTCGGTGATTTTTTTCTAATGTGGAAAAATTAGTGGACATTAAAAGGGGACAGTATAACTGGCACCAGCCCAACAAGACGCAGGTGTGTTTATCTGTGGCCAGTGTACTGCTGCTGCAGCCCCTAGACACTTTTTCCTAGGGTGGGCAAAGAGTCTGTAATGTTAGAAATTAAGTTCCTACAAGGAAGTGGGGATTCTATCTTCTTTACTCACCTCCATCAGATTATCCCCCAAAGGCCTCCTCTCTCATTGGGATATAAAGGTTTCAACACATGAGCGGCACAAACTCAGACTATACCAACAAGAAAATAAAGGGTAAATATATTTAAAAGAGTAGATGAATATAAGTAAAAGTATGAGGTTTCCCAGAAAACAATCCAGACAAAAGAAATACCAAGAATACCACCACCACCTGGGGCTATTATTTTTGAAACAGTCCCATGTTACCCATTCTGGCTTTGAACTCAGTATGTAGCCTCTGATGCCTCCCCTTGTATATGCTGGAATTACAACTGCCTGATTTTATGAAGTGCTGAGGATCAAAGACAGTTTTGTGCGTTCTAGGCAAACGTTCTAGGCATTCAGTCACTTCCCCCAAGTTACAGTGTTTGTTGATTTTTTTTATTATTTTTTTTAAAGATTTTATTTATTTATTATGTATACAAATACATATACATCTGCTTCCATGTATATCTGCACACCAGATTTCATTTCAGATCGTTTCAAGCCACCATGTGGTTGCTGGGAATTGAACTCAGGACCACTGGAAGAGCAGTCAGTGCTCTTAACCTCTGAGCCATCTCTCCAGCCCCCTGTTGATTTTTTTTATTTTAATCAGTAAGATTTTACTGTTTATTTGTTTATTTGATGTGTATGGGTGTTTTACATCACATATCTGCCTGGTGCCCACAGAGGCCAGAAGAGGCCATTGGATACTTCTGGAACTGGAGACAGAGATGGTTGTGAGCTACCATATGGGTGCTGGTAATTTCTTTTTTCTTTGTTTTGTTTTCTGTGTATCTTTGGAGCCTGTCCTGGAACTCAGTTTGTAGACCAGGCTAGCCTTGAACTCATAGAGATTGCTGGGATTAAAGGCGTGTGCCACCACCACCCAGCTTTTCTTGAAATTTTTAAGAGTATACATTTGTACAGACTTTTTGGAAGTTGTGTTTCCCAACAGGTAATCATATACCCTCTCATTCTTGGGTGTCTAAAGAGTTTTCTCTGTTTCCGTTTGCTCATTTATATATAAATTCTCTAAACATAAAGTAAGATTTTATTTTAAATTTGAAAACCTATTTTTTTGTTGTTGTTGTTTGTTTCTTTGGTTTTTATGCTGTTTTGTTTTGAACTAGTCAAATCTGGAAAGAATGTCTCTGAGATGTTTCTGGGTTTTTAGTGTAGGGTGAATGTGTTGAAGTTTTGTATCCTATAACATCCATTTAGAAAATAAAAACAGTTCTTTATGATATCACAGACATATATAACACATGGTTATTGTTTTAATCACACACATTGTGGTTTAATTAGAGCTAGGTGAATAAACTGTGAGAACGGATGCTTGAGTGTCACCTGTATACTGAGTGACTGCATGAGAGGCATTCATCTTAACTAAGATACACATATAATAAAGTACTGATTTGAAAGGGGTTCCTTTGAAGCCTTGCATTCTAAATTTAAAAATAAAGATGTATCAGTTGTACACCAGTGGGTGGCCCCATACCCAGGAGCATATGGGCAGCACAAATTAGAACTGGGGGTTTTAAGAAGTTGGAGGGATCTTGGAAGGGTGGGGGTGAGTGTGATCAAAATACATTGTATCAAGTTCTCTAAGAACTAATAAAAATTGTTGTGTGTTTGTTTGTTTTAAATGAAATTCTACTCTTACTCCAAGGAATTTTAAAAATCAAATTCTAGCACATGCTAGGCAAGGGACTTTCCATTGAACGACACACACCCTAAACCCTAATAATTTTTTTTTCAAAACTTAATTTTAAAACTGTGATCCTCCTCCCTCCAGTCTGAGTTGGAGAAGCCTAGAAGTCGGAAAAAAGCACCTGTAGCAGACCCAGAAGAGAAATTAGGTATGGATGACCTGACTAAGTTGGTACAGGAACAGAAACCTAAAGGCAGTCAGCGTGGTCGGAAAAGAGGCCGTATAGCTTCAGAATCAGATGAGCAGCAGTGGCCTGAGGAAAAAAGGCACAAAGAGGAGCTCCTTGAAAATGAGGATGAACAGAACAGCCCACCCAAAAAGGGCAAAAGAGGCAGGCCGCCAAAACCGCTTGGTGGAGGGACATCGAAGGAAGAGCCAACAATGAAAACATCCAAAAAAGGAAGCAAGAAAAAACCTGTACCTTCTGTAGTAGATGATGATGATGAAGAAGAAAGACAAATTGGAAACACAGAACAAAAGTCAAAAAGCAAACAGCACCGGTCATCAAAGAGAGCACAACAGAGGTGAGTATGTGTAATCCTAAACTGCAACCATCAATGCAGTAAATGTACTTACCACAATGTAAATCATAATTTGATGCTATCCACATTTGGGTCTTCCCCAAAGCAGAGCAGAATCTCCTGAAAGTAGTGCAGTTGAATCCACACAGTCCACACCACAGAAAGGACGAGGAAGACCATCAAAAACGCCATCACCATCACAATCCAAAAAAAATGTGTAAGTTGTAAATAATATTAAACTTCAAACCAATTTCAAGTTATTTTGCAAATTTCATAAATTTATAAACATAATTATTACTGTATTTAAATTCCAAATATTTTGTCCCATTATACTAGGTAAGATATTTTTATAAACTTACTTAGGGGATTAATAGCCCAGTTAATAGTTATACATTTTTATAGGTCTAGAGAAATCTTGATAAATGAATGCCAAGTAGTTATACAGACTTATGCTGTAAAAAACATTTTTCAGTAATCACTATGCATCATCCAGGTTTCCTCATTGCTGCAGGCTATGATTTTTCTTAATCATTTCCCTCAACAGTGTTTCCATTGGAGAAAAAGAAATGGTACTACACCTTGGTTTTCATCCTTTGAACTTGTATAAAGTAATAGGCATTGCTTTTCTTAAATTGTCCATAGATATGACTGCAGGTTGCTCTTAAGCTTTTAATATATCTGTGTGTACTTTTGGATACTTGCTAATTTAAATGTATTCATAAGAGAGGCAGAACAATGAATCTGTCCAAAATCATTGCTATAATATGAGCACCAGCATTGTCAGCTGCAAACTGGGCAGGGCTGTCATCTGTTTTGAAAGTAGAACCAGGATAGATAGCATGTCCTATTAGCCAGAAATGCCGTCTCATTTCCTGAGCATGCTCAAAATGTAACTGTACCCAGTACTTGACTTTTTTTTTTTTTCATAATTAAAACTTTATTGAAAAATTGGCACTGAAATTAGAGTTCATTGTTGGGTACCTTCAAAATCAAACATAATTACATTGTCTTGGTAATTAGTCTACCAAGAACTAATATTATGCTTGACTTTTTAGAGTTTCCAGCTCATCTTAGCTCAATACTTGGATATCATAGAGTTTTTCCTGTTCCTGTGTGTTGCACAGGAAGAGAAAGTTTCTTGAGTGTCAATCAGTGCTTTATGCCTTCTTCCATATAATTTTTCTATAACCTTAGTAGTAAAGGTAAGTACATTATTGTGACAGCTTCATAAATGTGTTTGGTCCAACAAGCAAAACCACTGTTTCTTAAGGAATAGTTAGTAGCCTGTTGTGAATTTTACAACAGTCATCTGATAACAGTTTTAAATATCTCACTCCTGTAATTCACCTTTTTTTCTAATATCTGGACATCATAAAGTTAAGGGCTCAAATGGTTGTGATTTTCCTTCAAGTTTCATAGCTCTTCCCATGAACATTCAAAGCCTAACTATATCTTTTTCAAAATCAGGGCAGAAGGAGACTTTTTGTTCTATCTTATACTTTCTGGACAGTTCTTTTTCAGAGCTGAAATAATACCATGTTATAATTTGTGTTTTGTGTTCTAACTGTAATGTAATTGAAAACATTATCATTATCATCCATGTAATTCTGTATGGTGGCACATAACAGACAAGAGCAGGTAGGCAGTCACTAAGGAGTCACATATATATGTCTGGTATATGTCCTGAAAATATTTAGGGCGTTATAAGAGAATACAGTGGAAGGACCTGGGAGTTGGGAAAGTTTTCTTTTTGGAATGTGTCGGTGAATAGATTACTTGAAAATACAAGGAGAGATGAGATGAGATGGTTCAGTGGTAAATACATTTGCTGCCAAGCCTGACTGACTGAGTTCAGTCCCCAGTACTCACATGGTAGGAGAGAACCAATTTTCTCAAGTGTCCTTTGACCTCCACAGGTGCACTGTGGCACACATGTTAACACATAGTATATAAATACAAAACAGAAGTAGGAGATAGTAGGGAGAAGACAATTTGGATTGGCAGAATACTATAGTTGAATTTTCTGAAGGTGTGAAAAAGTTGGTAAATCCAAGAAACTGGAACAATCAGGGGATTTACTGGATTGTAACTGCCAGGAATAGACTGGTAGGCCAGGACCATCTGAAGGAACACACAGTGTTATTCTCAGGTCCTTGCAGGGGTTTGTGTGCAGCGACACCACCTGTTCTGTTTTTGAAGGTCATTTTGTAAAAAGGAACCGTCAGAGGTAGCACATCGGTGGGGAGGAGTGAGTGGGTTCATTTCCTCTGTGTAGTTTTGGAGGGTGAGAGGAAAGGTGCACAGTTGTACTCAGAGGATGCTGCTCAGAGTGGCTTAGTGGGTCAGATGTTCTGTGATGAGGAGGAAGGATGAAGCAGGCATCAGCTTCAGGTTGTCATGAAGTCCTTTGTATAATCTGTTAGAGTATCACAGTAATGCTTAGGATCAAGATAGAAATTTATTTCTTATGGTATAATTGAGGATAAAAATGACAAGAATGCATACATGTGCTATTTTAGGATATTTCTTCCAGTGAGTTAATCTACAACTTAAGATCGGAACTCTCATTTCATTTAATGTGTTTTGCTTTAGCCGTGTAGGACGCTCCAAACAGACAGCTACTAAAGAAAATGATTCGAGTGAAGAAATGGATGTGCTTCAGGCCAGCTCTCCTATCAGTGATGACACTGCACAGGAAGGAGCAGAAGAGGAGGACATTTCTGCAGGAAATGTATGTACTTATTGAAGTGTCCTGTGTGTTGTTACAAAGGGCACAAACAGAGCCAATAAATGCTTAGTCAGCTCCATTTAGCACTTGCTATGTATTGTCTGTAATTCTAGATATTTGTGCTTTGTTCATTAGTTTGTCGTGTTACTTACTTACCAGCTTGAATTATGGGAGAAACAACTCTGAGAGGAGCTTGAATAACCATGACGGATGTTGTAATGTCTAGTGAACCTGTCAGCTGAATGTTGAGTGGTGTGACACTGGTATCTGTGAAATGTTTGTTTCTGTGTTAGAAAGCAGAAGAAAGCCACACTGACTAAAACTGAATCTTGAAGTAAACTCATCCTTCAGGATTGAAGTGTGATCTGGCTTTGTATTGGCACTGGGTGCTGCTTCTGAACTTTGTTCTTGTAGGGAATAAATGGTGGTGCTAGTTACCACATACTTCTCATTAGAAGAAAATAAAATTAACACAAATAGCCGTTTTCTTGACACATTAATGCAAAGATTTTTAGATCAGCTCAGTTTTCTTCATCTGGAAAACTTGAGTTTGGTCAGTTCCCAGAGCTGGCCTCTGCAGGTTGCTTCTGCTTAATATGTTCAGCAGTCCTATCTGTCCAGTTTGGTTTATATGAGTCTCACTTGAAGTGTCTCAGAGCCGCTCTGCTTTGTTTCGTAAGGACTTTGAGGAGAGGGATTTGAAAGGAAGACTGAATCATCCATAGTAATGGAGAACAACTGTATGTTAGGTCGGTTCTCTTAAAACCCTGCTCCTTTTACTTATGCTGTTTTTTGATTTTTCGAGTCAGGGTTTCTCTGTTGCTTTGGAGCCTGTCCTGGAAGTAGCTCTTGTAGTCCAGGTTGGTCTTGAATTCAAAGAGATACCCCTGCCTCCCGAGTGCTGGGACTAAAGGCATTCACCACCACCGCCTGGCTACTTACGCTGTTTTATACCAATGTTGTTGGATTTGTTTTGGTTTTTGTTTGGTTTACTTTGGTTTGGTTTGGTTTTTTGAGACAGGGTTTCTCTGTTTAGTCCTGGCTGTCCTGGAACTTGCTATGTAGACCACACAGGCATTGAACTCACAGATTAAAGGCGTGCGGCACCACTGCCTGGCTCCTGACCTTATTTTTTAATCCAAGTTTTAAGCTTCTTGTAGGCCTTGCTGGTAAATGGTAGTATGTTTGAACTTGAGGTTGTGTAGATGTCACTGCAAGTGTTGGGAGCCAAATTCACTAACCTCTGTCTCAAAATGGCCTAGTCCAAGAGTCAAGTGTGTTCTTTGCCACAAAAAGTAAGGAGAAAGATGATCAATCTGAAGATAATTGCTTGCAGGCTTTTCCATCTGCAGACATCCTAGAGGCCTAACTACCTGAAGATAGGAAGAAAGAGGGAGACAGTTTTAGGGAAAAAAATGCAAAGAAATTCAGAAGTGTGCAAGAATAAAGATTGTGTTAAACTCAGTGGTTGTTACTGTGAACGTGAATGTGCTCGCCTTAGTTATCTGTTGACTTTTCTCTTCAGGTACGACGGAGAAGTTCCAAACGAGAGAGACGGTGAACATGCCAGAAACTTGCAATGTGAAAGCTTTGGGGGAAAAACATTTTTTTTTTTTCCTTTGGTCAAGTATGAGGCTAAATAAAGCCTTTGATGCACAAAACAGGACTGCCAAAGTGTGGACAGTTGGACCTTTGACCATGAATTTGTGGTCACATACGTCAGCCATTCACATAGTGATAACATTGACTAAAAAAGAGTTTTGTGAAAGTGTCATGTGTGATGGCTGTGTAGACATAAACTAAAGAAGAACCCTGTAAATACGCCCTCCCCATTTCTGACTTCTAAAGTGCTTGTATAGCTTTTCTCTGCGGCTTTAAACTGACAGTGCCCAGCTGCTTACTGGATCTCTTGATCTGAGAAGCATTTGTTAGGATGGATCTCAAGCAGTAGTCTGTCAGGGTTTGTATTTGTATTCTCTGCAATTTTACTGTGAACATTGGTTTTTTCAACAATTGGTGTCATTTTCTTGATGTCACTGTTTGTTGGAGTTAAGTAGTCTCTTCCTCTCTTTGTATCTCGCCTGTGTTTACCCAGGGCACCCTTCATCCCGAGAGGTGCTAGAGCGTCTGCCATTACACTAGAGCAGCGCAACTGTCAGGAGGACACCACACAGATTGTGAAATAGTCCTCAAGTTATTTGATGACTTTACACCTCAGTATTGGTCCCAGAATTTTCTGGCCTTTCATGGCAATGAAAATTTTAAGAAAGAGATTTAAAATATTTTAATTTTAAAGAGTGTGTTATAAAATAATGTACTAAATTCTTTATTCCATTCTATCATCTTTTTTCAGTTTATATTAATCTACTGTATCAATAAAATTATGTAATTTGAATGGGCTTTTAATAGTCTAGAATGTTATTGTGTATAGATATTACTTCTTGAACATTATGATCAGAAAATGCAAATTATTACACTATAATATAAAATCTGATATATACACATTAGAAAAGTTCTCGTTCTCCATAACCATGTAAAGTTAATCACAAACAAAAATTTTATTGATGCAGTGTATCTTTATAAATCTGTTCTTGAAAGCCAAGTGTTTTGTATTTTATAGTGAGTTGCATGTTCATGAAAAAAATTGCTAATCATGAGATGTGCTTTTTCTGTAAATTCATACTTAGCCATAGTATATGATAGATGACCCCTTAACATAGTTTTTCATCAAGAGTTTATAATTGTACTTTATTTTGGAGCCAAAAAATTGTTTTGGGGGGTGGGAGGGTGGCAGTGATATATCTAGTTTGGGCTGACACTGTAGGTGTCGCACTCTCATAAACAGTGAGTCCCACTGCATCCAGAGCAGGAGAAATGGACATTTGCCTGGGTCTATCTTAGAGATCTGTTCTGTTGTCGTTTATACCTGCAAAGTCTAAAGATGACTATTGAGGCAGCATCCTTTATATAGTTGTATGAACTGTACTTTGAATGGAAATGTATTGGTTACCACCTTGTGCTCACCAGAATCAACTCCAGATTTATGGGTGCAGGTTGTTTTTGCACAGTTGTTAATAACAGCAAAGGAAATCCCATTCTAAGTTACCAAGCTTATTATGTCAAATACAGAGCATTTTCATATAGTACACCTTTATGTTTAAGGTATGTTTCCAAAATTGGCTATAATAGATTGGGGATGCAATAAAGAAGCGACTATTTTAGAAAATGACGTTTTGCTATTTTCCAGTATGAATATTTTCCAAATGATGTGATTATTTTTTTTTAAATATTTCCTCATGTTTATGAAACACTTTATTTTTAAAAAGGTGTTTGAATTGTGTCTTAATCTTTCAGTGTTGACCTTCTCTTCCCAACAGTGCTGACAACACCAATGGCGAAGGGAGGCTGCTGTCTATCAGGGCAGCCAACATTGGGTTACAATACTTTGGATTTTAAATGTTTCATTAGCTCGGCTCGCCAAACAATGTTGTTTCAATTTCAACAGTACAAAAGCATGTTTTTAAATCTATGGCATAAATAATAAAGGATAGCTTTGTATTTTTGTCATCAAAGTGCATTGAAAATATCTATGGAAATATATCTTTTAAAGCCATTTTATAAAACATACAAAAATTATTATGGAGGATTTTTATTTGCATGATCATCGTTCATCAAATTTCATTGCACATTAATGTTGTGCATCAGTTCATGACAAATCATGGTCATTGTAGATTTCGTTTGTATTCTTTGCCAATAAGTCTGTAATTTTTAACCTGTCTCTTTTTGGGAGGCTTATGATGTAAAATTTTCATTTTTGTGTAGAGAAATAGGTGCAATAATAATCAAAGTTTCTGTCATGAGTCTTCACTCACTATTATTATGTTTAAACTTAACATTTCATGCACTAATATTTGGAGAGCTACATATTTAAAATAAAGCTAGGTGTATATGCAACATTAATTGCTGACATTGTTAGCACACTGCGGTGATCATACTCATCTTGAGAATGTGTACTGTCTGACATTAAGGAACTGTGTCTCATTGTAACAGGCAGACTGTGGGATCTGTTGACCCCCCAGGTGAGCTTTGCTTGCACTGCATCATGAAGCTGCCTCAGCACTCTACACTGTGTGTGGTGAGAATGTGCTGTAAAACGTGGTTTAGACATTAAAACTTAAGTGACTTTCTAGATGCTCTAGAAAGTTTGACTTTTAAGAGTTCCCTTTACCTACTGGAAGAGTATAGAGTATTATGTTGCCATAACAAATGAATGGTTCTTAGACAACCAATTTTCAGACACAGTTTTAGATTTTCTGTGAAGTTAAATAAACATAAAAGCTCCTGTAATTATTTTTTTTATGAGACTCAATATATATTTGCCAGAGAAAGTCATGTTTGTGATTTTTAATTTTGGAGTCTTTGTTTCCCAGTGACATTTATCTATACTTTATGTTTAAACTTTTCCTGCAAAATCTTGGCTGGCAGAAATTTACTGAAAAAACTATTTAAGTTAAAAAATTACACTTCCGGGCATTGGTGGCGCATGCCTTTAATCCCAGCACTCTGGAGGCAGAGGCAGGCGAATCTCTGTGAATTCGAAGCCAGTGTGGTCTACAGAGCAAGTTCCAGGACAGCCTCCAAAGCAATACAGAGAAACCCTGTCTCGAAAAACCAAAAAAATAAAAAAATAAAATTTACACTTAACTAAAAAATAATGTGAATTTTGAAACTAAGTGCTATGAAAATAAGTTGCTAGGTAGGTTATTTACTTGGTAGACATTATGGCCTTATTGCACGCCAGTCACTCAATTTTTATTCAGAATGAAGTTGAAGTTTGATCAAGACAAACTAGTCTTTTACATTTGTGATACTTACGTTGCTTTGGAAGTAAGTGAATTAACAAAAGAAAAGTTGTGAAAAATGGTGTGAACAGCCCTGGAAAAGGTGAATTGGGAAGAAGCTGCTTATGTAGACTTAAATATAGTTGAGTTATCCAGAAATGAGATCTGGAGCTGCTGTGTGTTCGTGACTGGGATCTGTAACTATGGGTGTCTTGGGCCTCTTGAGTGTACTAGCTAGCTGTGTGTTACCTGGTTCCGAGACCGTCGTCGTCGTCGTCGTCGTCGTCGTCATCCAGTGCTCCTCTAGCTGCTGTTTGCTGTCTTTTCTTGTGTGTGTGCCCCAGCATGTTGATGTGGGGACCTGTCCTCTATCTAACTGATCCTCTAAAGAGGAGGAATTCTTTTGGTTAGTTGTAAACTATTAACTTTTGTTTCTCTTGTTGCTTTTCCCCCCTCCATCTGTCCTTCATTTTCTTAGACCTTTTTTAGCTCTATAAAATGCTTCTGTTTTATTTGACCTCTTCTAGTAGTTAATTTTAAGTTTGTACTTGGTGGTTTGATTTCCTGTAGGCTGGCATATGCCACCTTTACCACAGGTGGGAAGTTCCTAAGGTTCAGCTGTTTGCTGCTACTTTGTACAGTAGCCCCTACACCATGCAAGCATGGTATATTGGTTAATTTTTCGTTACTTTGACAAAAGCAGTGTAAGGGAGGGTAGAGACTATTTTGGGTATACAAGGAAGAGTAGCTGCACCTTCATGGTGAATGGAGTGTTGAGACTCCTTGCCTCTCCTACTTCCCTGGAGATACCTTTGTGGAACTGGATGCAGGTTGGGCAGTTGGTTTTTCAAGGCCCTTCAGCCCCAGAGAGCCAGTTCCTCTAGCTAGGCCTCACCTTCCAAATGCCACCACTTCCCCAAACCACACAAACAGCTGGGGGCCAGATGTTCAAACATGAGTCTATGGCCCACAATTTATATCCAAACCATAACTTCCACCTACTTCTGCCTGCTAAGGTTTATGGTCCTCTCATAATGCAATATGTGTTCAATCCAACTTCACAAGTCCCCACGGTTCCACAGTTCCAGTGCTGATCAACAGTTCAAAGTCTCTTCTGAGAATCAGGGCCGTCTCTCAGATCTGAGTCTTTAAGAAATGAAAAATCCAAGTTAACATACAAGCACCATATGAGGAAGCAGAATAAGACAGCATCCCCAAAAGGCAAAGTGTGACATAGCAAGAAATAGACAAAAACAAGACCAAGACACAGCAGGTCAAACCCCAAGCCCTACAGTTGTCCCCACGTCTATTGATACCATCTGTGCTCTTGCAAGCTTTGGTAGCTCCCAGCTCTCACCTGCAGCACTTGGAACCTGTTGAGTGCTCATGATGTTGCCTGTCCACTGTAACTCTGGCTTCCCTAGATCACTTGGCTTCTTTGCAAAGAATCAGATCCTCCTACATGATGCCTGCCCTTGGTGCCTTTATAAGGCCTTGACACAGGCTTCCATAACCTCTTCACTCATTCTTAACCAAGTTCTACTGACTTCAAATGTTGCCTAGTTCTTTCTGCCACAGCTGTGGCAGTCAGCTAGCAACTGCCTGGCTAGCCACAGGCAGTTTTCCAATAGGGAATACTGGAGCCTTTGATGGGTGGGGCCTTAAACAGTGCACAGTGTTTCTTTTATTGCATCAGTTTCTTTACAATTACAGCTCCATTCCTAGTCTGCTTGTCCACAAGTGTAACAGTGACTGTAAACCTTTTCCCTAGCAAATTACACTGTTTTTCTATCTTTGTGCTCTCACTAACTCTTAGCATGAGTAGTAACCACGTTGTAGGCTAGCTGTTACTCTGTTTTAAATTTTCTCTTTTATAGTTCCAGGACCTGAGCAGGATGCAGTCAGAGTCTCTGCTGTAATGAACGTGAATGCCCTCTAGCTTAGTTCCTGTAGAGCAGTGGTTCTCCATCTAATGCTGTGACCCTTTAATACAGTTCCTCATGTTGGGGTGACACCAAACATAAAATTATTTCTGTGGCTACTTCATAAACTGTAATTTTGCTGCTATTGTGAATTGTAATGTGTTTCACCTGTGTTTCCCGGTGATCTTTTTGACCCCAGTGTAAGGGTCATTCGATCCCCAAAGGGGTCCCAACTCACAGGTTGAGAACCACTGCTATAGAGTCTTTCATTTCTGAAACTTGATGAGGTGGGGCCTCTGCTCTCCGTGTTGGTCTTGGCATGCTAATCTTTTGAGGTGCATCTGCTTCCAGCCTAGAGTTTCCTTGCATGTGGCTCCAACCTCTTCAGCACTTCTGCAGACCATTTTCAAGAGCCCATGAACTATGTGGTCAGGTTTATGAAGCAGTGGCCCTGCTTCTCGATACCAATAATCTGTATTGGTAACTTCACTCATTTCTGTGATAGGCAATCTGATGAAAACAATGTAAGGGAGGAAGGGGTTTTTGTATATTTGTTTCCTCGCTCACAGTTTGAGAGACTCCAAGTCCATCATGGTAGGGAATATGGTCCCCTGACAGTAGAGGGTTCAACTAGGACTCCTCCTCTGGGCAGAAGAGGATGCAGAGCCTGGCTATAAACCTCAAACCTTCTTATCCTCATCCTGAGTCATGTCCTCTAGGAAGGCCCCCCTCTTCCAAAGAGTCCAAACAGTGCCAGCAGCCATAGACCAAGTATTGAGACACATGGACATGGTGAGTACATTTGACAGCTAAGCCATAACATATGGCACCTGACGTTAGGGGCTTTTTCATTTGGGACATTGTGGCAGAAGCAGATTTACATGGAGAAGTTGTTTAGGAAAAGAAAACTGTGGTGCATTGAGAATAAAGCTGAAAGGTGTGGCCGCAGCTTCTCAAACAGAACAGCAGTGTGAGGCAGAGGAGCCAATGCGGTCTTTTGAGAGAGGCTTGGAACAGCTAAGGGACAAAGTTGGGCAATATAGTAAGTAGATAGCTGTCATATACAAGGAGCAGCTTAACTGCCTCAACGGTTGTTTTCAGAAGTTGTTTGCAAATAGAAATTGTTAGGACCAAGTTCTTTAGTGCCATTATTCTAATGGCAAATGCTGTGCACATTGAATAGAAACCAGTTAAACTTTTAGGTTTTTTGTTGTTTTTTTTGTTTTGTTTTGTTTTGTTTTTAAACAACTTAGAGGAGGCAACTCAAAGGAAAATAAGCAAAGTCCTGTGGGTGTGGATCTCTGTGAGTTCCAGGCTAGCCTGGTCTACAAAGTGAGCTCCAGGATAAGCTTCAAAGCTACAGAGAAACCCTGTCTCAAAAAACCAAAACCAAAAAAAAAAAAAACAAAAAACAAAAAACAAAAAAACACGAAAGAAAGAAAAGAAAGGAAGGAAGAAAAGTCAAGTCCTGAGACTTTAAAATTTTTTTTTTCCCTTATGGTGTATATATTTCCTCTTTGTGTCCTTTTCTCCCCAAGACTTTTTTTTTTTAAATAATTGTTTTCTTGAGGATTGGATTTTGAATTTTAGTCATACCTTGTGTCTTACGTTTCTGTGAAGAGGCACCATGAACCATGACTAAGGCAACTTATAGAGGAACAAGTTAATTGGAGGCTTGCAGTTTCAGAGGCGAGCCCATGACCATCATGCCAGGAAGCATGGCAACAGGCAGGTAGTTTGGGTCTGTACATTCTCTATGTGAATGTGTCATCTTCCTAGGATTCTTTACACACTAACTTTTCTTTCAGCATTAGAATGGTTTGGCTTCTTCTTCCTCCTCCTCCTCCTCCTTCTTCTTCTTCTTCTTCTTCAGGTCAGGCACTATAGAAATGTTTACTTTTTAACTTTTTTTTTTTGTGAGATGTTGGGGATCAAAACAGTCTACAAGTGAACTACAATCCCAACCCAGTCCCCCGCCACTTTTTACTGTTTTGAAGAAACAGTAAAAAAGTTTTTTTTTTTCTTCTATGTTACCTAGGTTAGCCCTAAACTCACTATTTTCCAGGCAAACCTTAAGTTTGAAATCTTCCTGCATTC